ATAATGCCTTATTCTGGTTGCCTTGTTTAAGTAACTACTCACTTGGACCGAAGTTACTTTAATAACTTGTAATATTGATAATACTTTTAGATTTTTAAATATCAGTTATGTGTTTGTTGCAAGGTTTACCACCCCTGACTGATGCTAATATACAGATACTAGCTATGCCCGCGACTTCGTCCGCGTGGAATAGTGACTTGGGGTAGAATTTTTAATTATTTAGGCTGTTTATTAATTAATAAACAGTCTAAATAATTAAACATAAATTTATGTAAGGGCGCATTTAGGGCAGCCAGTATATGTTGTAAGTGCTACTTTGCCGCAACACTCTCACTTCACATGACTCGTACTCTAACTCCCACTCTCATTCCTACACTCACTCCCACTCCCACTCCTATTCCCAAAAAGCCAAAGAAGAAAGTTTCACTGTTCTCGCTTCAAAAACCACGAATTTCCATACAAACTTTAATCCCCTTTTTTATCAACCCTTTTTTGGCATTAAAGTGTCCTTTCTTAGGTTCTAAAATATCTGTGTACCAAATTTCATTTAATCAGTTCAGTAGTTTCGGAGTTAAAGCCGGACAGACATACATACATAGTTACATTGGCATTTATAATATTAGTATAGATTAGCGCGAGTCAGGGGTGATAAACTATTTGTTTCTTTATATGTGGCAAAGATTTAAACTGAAGTTTGAATGTTAGATTAACCGTAATTTTCATAGGGACCTGAACACACTTTCGTAAAGCTGCAAAGCACAATGTGACATAAGATAATGTGACTGTTAGCTTACATTAAACTGTTTTTAATTACAGATATAGTGAATTATTTTTTACGTTCGATGGTAACCCATATACGCGTTGAATGATAATCTAAATATCTACATTCATCTTAACATCGATCGTTACTGTTACTGCAATTAATGGACCATAGCTACTGAATAAAGAATAACAATAACATTTACAGCAATGTGGGTAATTAGTCAAGTGATTAGACGTAATTAGAATTTATCGTCGAACCATCAGTACAGTGAATATTGCTTGTGCGAGAAAAACTTAGATCACAAAGTTCATCGCTCCTGCGCACAATATCATATAGTAAAATAAGAATTAAGATATAATAACTCTAATACAAAACCACTAGCTAGACTGTCAGCGACTTCGTGCACGTAGAAAAGTTATTTTAGGCATCAGAATCATCACGTTTTTGCAAGTTAATCTTAAAACATTTAAAGAGAATCAATTATTTCATACATATTTTCCTTTCTCTTTAAATGACCTAAAAAAAATCCTCGACGCTATATCTTTTAAGATTAACTTGTAAAAACGACGGGAAGTGACGCGACCGATGGATACGATGGACCGTCATGGATAACAGCTTAAGTTTATAAAGATAAAGAGGTTTGCAAAAGTGTTTGGAAAAAAAAAATTCGACTCGGGCAGGACTTGAACCGGCATCGTCAGCGTTCCGTGCTATTGCTCTAGCCAATTGAGCTACCGAGTTCAGTAGCATGTGAAGAATATTAGTTTTTAAATGTGTACTGATTGCATGAACAGACAATACTCAAAGAAGCTAGCATAAATAATTAAAGAAGTGATTCATACCTATTATAATAGAACTGTTATTCTTAAATTATACACGAGAACGAACAAAAACAATGAATTATTTAAATAAAAAACGGGAAGACGGAGAGAGCCCCCGTGAGCGCGGCTGCTGCAAAGCATCCAAGAGGTCTGGCTGTAGTTAAAATAATTTTTAAATAAGTTTGACTAATATATAACTCGATCTAAACCGTTAAAATGTTTGATTTAAATGTGTGTGTTGTTGTAAACTACAGTATTTAACAATGAATTAGTTTATCGCTTACACTAATGTTTATTGGCCAGATGAATGACTACGTGTGAATTTGTTACTTCACAAAGATAGCCGCGGGAAAAATTTGGAGGTTCTGTGGAGCGTCATCACGATTTCACGGCCATATAATGGCTGCTATTAGACTGGCGACACAATTTACAGCCATCAGCGTCCAGCCTCTTTGAATATATTCGATTAAGTACGAACTGTTTTGGTAGGTAGGTTTGCTTATGTTACATTCTTGTATATAATGGACTAGCTTAGTCACGCGAATTTGTACGCGTAGAATAATTATTTTGGATACCAATTTTGTTTTTGCGAACCCCTGTTCAAATTTATAAATTTTGCGTCTCTTTACGTCGTTCTTGCAAGATTATCTTAAAAGATAGACATATAGCGTTTGGGACTTTTTTTTAAAGATGGATCATTCTCTCATATATATTTTGTGGATATCCTGAACCCTTTTGCAGCGTAGGCCTCGGCAACCCATAATGTTGAATAATTTCCCCAATTTTGTCACATTTCTCGCTATATTATCGCTCTTATTAGTCACAGGATGATCTTTTATAGCTTATAGCCTGCTTCGATAAATGCTCTAATCAACACAATTTTTTAATTTGAGCCCGTAGTTCCTGAGATTAGCGTGTTTAAAAAAACAAACAAACTCTTCAGCTTTATATATTAGTATAAATTTGCTAAATATCGTGTTGACCCCGTTAAACTAAGGGAATAAAATTGTTTAGATTACTTTACGCCTGAAAAAAATATTACCGCCAAAAAAATAATTACATAACTGAAAATCGCATCAAACAATATATATTATGTAAATGTATTAGAAGAACTTGCGGGTTAATTTAATATCATTTCTGGTAAATTAAAAATATTCATTACTTTAAGACGTTTGCACTAGCTGTGCCAGCGACTTCGTCCGCGAGAATAATTATTTTTGGGAATCCCAATTCATATTTGCAAACCCTTTCTTCATTAAAACTTAAGCTGTAACCCATCACGTACTCGCGACCCTTCCCGTCGTTCTTGCAAGTTTTCCAATCGAATCCGTTGTTCCTGAGATGAGCGCGTTCAAACAAACAAACTCTTCAACTTTATACATTAGTATAGATATCTGGAAAATTTTAAATAATAGTTTCTCTTCTCTTTCTCGAAAACTATTAAAACATTTTGTAAATCTTTCAGAGTAAAAAACATCCTCCAAACCACAAAAATGCTTTATCACTGTAAAATCTCGTTACATTAGATCTCTATGCCCTGCCCAATGAAAACAATTGTTTCCCCGAAATTGAAACCCAGGACTCTCGCTTAACGGATCTTTAGACAACACGTTAACCATCTAACTACAGTGCCGGTCGTTTATCGTAAGGACTTTTCCTAAATTGTTAATTGACCCTTTTCCTAAATTCCCAGTAGATATTATAAAAATAAGTATCATCAAAGTATTTGGTAGTAAAATATTTTATTTAACTGTCAACAATAAAATAATGTACATCATCAGTGGCTTAAATATAACTGTACAATATTTATAGAATATTTACATCTACGGAGTCTACTTGGACCCACTAAGATTAGTACACTAACGAAGTTACGAAATATCTTAAGTACTAGATAAAATCGTGTTCTCAAAATCTTATATTGTACTAGACATTCATCAATATTGAAGTATTTACATATTTAAAATGAGATTTGAATGTGCAAATTAGTAAATTATTTTGTACATATAGCTAAACATTTATTTAAGACTGAAAAAAACACAATGGACGTGGGTTCGAGGTCGGCTTGTGTCATCAAATTATTTTCCATATAATAAAATAATTTTCCTAGCCGAAGAATAAGAAAATATCTGCATCATAAATACAGTGTTGAGAAATATTTTTTTATAATAATTAGTTTAAAAAAATGTGTCAATTAGATAAAATTAAGCTGCTTCAGTTAATTTACAGTTGTATAAGTTGTCTTAGTTTCTTTAAAAAAATAATGATGATCACAGATTTAATAATTTCAACTAGATAAGATTAAATAACATTCAGATATTGAATAAGTTTGATTATTAGTAATTGACTTAACTTGTTGAAAAGCGGGTACAAGTCTCACTTAAACATGAACAAAACCGTTGACAGTAGCAAGATTTAAATAAAACACTTAACTATTTAAAACGCGAAACATATTAGTTGAACTTCTTTGAAAATTATTTTACGGCCCGACGTTTCGGATGCTTTGCAGTTTTATTCAAATGTGTACTTACTCGCGTAGACTACAAACGGTATAAGTAGCTTACAATGAAAACAGTAACTTATTGACAAGCAAGGGGCCCTTATATTCAGACTTGTACACAGCTCGTAATTTATGGTACATCAATATTAAATATATTTAATATACACAGATAGAGCACAAAAAATTTACAAACGCAATGATTCAGATCATAAGTACAACATTATAGAGGCGATGCTATTTCACTTCATATTGATTAAATGAGTACATGACTTAAATTTACTAAACCTTCTACTTTGAGTGCTTTACTTGAGGTATTGATATCGTATTACTTCTTATACATAGAATTAATTAACCAAAAACTTTACTGATATATATTATTTGCAGGCCCAAAACAATGTCTAGTACATTGTTTCACGGGGATATGAACGCCTGTGCGTTTATGGTTAAACGTCCATAGTTGCAGATAATGGGTTATATTCACAACTAACAAAACAAATTTAAAATACCAAATATGTACATATAATTGTGATAAAACATGGAATTAACTCCACAGAATAGAAAATTACCACTTAACTACACAAACATACATATATTACATTTTTAAATTAACTATGAATAAAGGCGGTTCATGATTGTAAACCTACTTAACTTTACTTATATGTTATGTAAAATCTAGTTTTCATAATTTATTTCAATAATTACAACATTAGGTGATAATGAATTAAACGAATCATCAAGATCACTTACATTTACAATATTTGAAAATTTTTCTTGCTGGAGTAAATTGAAGTGAAAAGAAAGATAATAGCTAGATCTGTCCTTTTACATTGCAGCACATGACTGTTCACAATAAATAAAAAAAAATCAAATTGGAGCTGACTTAGCCTTCATCTTGGCCTGAATCCAAGATGAGCATTTCCTAACTGTCCACGTGATCAGGTTCCATCTTAGGCCCAGGCCTTATCATAACCAGTTTCTCGTCATTGTCGTTAGAATGTATCGTCTCAATTGTGAGCATCATCTTCTCTTCACAGCTATCATCTCCGGAATCAGAATACATAGATTGGGTCGATGTGGCTACCTCCTGGAATAAAAAAAACAGAATGAAATAACATATATTTATTTAATTATTCCAATAGCAGCCCAAGGTGATGTGTGAAAATTATAATCTCTTGAAGAATGAGTCCAAAATTTTTTTTAACTATTCAGTGAAACCATAAAAAACAAGTTATTTAAATTCCATAAACAAATTTGACTTTTAAAAGGTTATACTCTCTACCACAATACTTACTGTAATTCTATTTTTGGTGTGTATCCGGACATGCTTGGCTAAATGATCTGATCTCATAAATCTTTTACTGCACTCAGGACATTCAAATCTCTTTTCCCCTGTATGTGTCCGCCTATGACGCTGTAGCTCGTCTGATCGAGTAAACCTAAAATGTGAAAAATAAAAACATGAATATTTCACATAGACTTTTAGACTTGTAGTATATATGTATATGTATACTTATCACACTGTTTTTTTTATAAATTGTTAAATATGTAAAAAATTACTAACAAATCAGTTATAAGTTTACTATATTCATCTATCTAATAATAAAGCCAAGACTTGCTTTGGGCCATTGTCCAAACTCACCTTTTCCCACAGAAAAGCCAATTGCACAAGAATGGTCTTTCTCCAGAATGCCAGCGTAAATGCGCACGTAAATGTGACGTTTTTCCATACACCTTGTTACATCCTGGCATGTGGCAGACATGCTGTTTTTTCCGATCAACCAAGCGGCTATAAAGAAAGAAACATTTATAAGACTGTTAATAAATGATAAACTTATCCAAAATAGGTTCTATTTCCTTTAAAAATAAATATGTGAAAATGTTTCAAAACTTAATTTGATTTTAACAATTTCACATTATTTATTTATGTAAGGAGGTTATTATTGAGCAATATTATACAGCTAGGAGCTTTAGACGCAAAATTATAAAGGCGGGAAAGATTTGATTCATTTTTATAAGACATACTTTTAAATAACACACTTTAACGGTTTAAAACGCGATATATTAGTTAAACTTAGCCGTGGTCACGGGGAGACCACGGCTGCTGCAGAGCATCCGAAACATCGGGTCGAAGTTAAAAATCATTTTCAAATAACTTTAACTAATATATCGCGTTTTAAAACGTTAGGGTTTTATTTAAATATTTACTAATCGCTTAAACTATAAACAGTATTTAAGACTTACTTTTCTCCCTGATCACAATTCGGGCAAGTACATGCTACACGCTTAACCAATCGCTTCCCACTGTTGGGACTAACTGATCTCTGCTTGGTGACTTCACACTCGGAAGTAGCGCTGACTGCATTGTTCCCATTATTACCACTGCTTGAGTTCACGGTCACAACTTGCCATTTTCCAGGCTCATTAGGATCCTGTTGTATCTGCTGGCCTGATGAAATTTACATACATACAATCATTTGGGTTTTTTTTATTTGAAACGAGGCTACTATTGACCAAGCAGATGATGTCAGGGTCGTATTACTTTTATTCTCTCCTAGCGTGAAAATTCTATCAAACCAAACAAAACAAAACCTTTTTCATTTAATATTAATGTCAATTGTCACACTGACAATTTCGATAAATAACAAAGTTTATGCATTATTAACATTGACAGACACAAATACAGAAATCGAATGGATAAAATAATAAGAAAAACCGAAATTAAATAACAATTATAATCAAATAATTTAATGATAAGAGCTACTTATAGCAATGTATCAGATGTGAGCGTGTTAAAACAATTTTGTTTAGATCACACTTATTTACCAATAGAAACAGCCTGTTGTTGTGGTTGTGGTTGAGCCTGTGGTATTTGCGCCAGCTGTACTCCGCCTGGAAGGCCAACTGCGGGAACGAGCTGCACAGCACCTCCTAGACCCCCCACACCCAGAGTTGGTACCTGTGAAAAGAAACTGAATAAGCTTTGTGGTACCTCGATATACACAATAATATCCAATTAAATGTTTTGCTATTCTATTTGAATTTAATAATATTATAAGATTTAAAACCCACACTTTCATGGTTGTTACATTGGCGTTAGCTTCACACACTAAACTTCAGTTTTTTTTCTTTTACATTTACTACTGTATACCTGAACGACGTTAGCACTTCTCACATTGTTACATGCGGGTATAACGGTCACCTGCTGACCGTTTGGAGTACTTGTTATAATTGTTTGAGTCGGTTGCTGTTGGATTCCGCTTGAATCAGCTTGCATTTGATTTGCAACCGCCTTTATCCAAGCAGCGTTAATAGATATTGTTTTATATAAATGTTTAGCATTCAATAAAATTATATAGATTAATAGAGTATTAATGGTTTAAATATAATGCATGTAATTAAATGTTAGGAATAATTTACAAATATTATTGCTCCACTATTAGTAAATCGCTGATAAAATGGTTAGTTAAATATTATACTATTGGATACGTTTATAGAGAAGATATTTTAAAATACAGATAAGGAATAATTTTGAATATGGCTACAGCCCCATATATACAGATCTGAAAATGCATTACCTGTAAAGTAATGGTAGCAGGCGTTGGAGATGCGCTGACTGCGTTCTGGGTGGCGCCATTTTGCTGCACCTAACCAAGCTTAATATATACACACCAAACCATAACCAAGACCCTATAATAACCCTCAATATACAAATAGCACGCATAAAAACCCTTAGTAACTATCTAAGGATAAGAAGCCTTTGTCACAACGAGGCTTTCAAAGGGAAACTAAAAATAGCAAGATTTTTCTCAAACTACCTTCAGGTGTTTTACACATCAAATACTATTTTTTATAAAGGACTGCGTATAGCAAATATTAAGTTTTATAGATAATTAAATATTCATATACGATATACATATGTATTGTAAAATTTTATAATCTATACTTAAAATAACACAGATAATGTTAGTTATATTGCTTTGTAAGATAATATATGTAATAATCTATTTACCTGAACATTCCCTAAGGACGCAATCTGTATTTGTTGAATCTGCCCTGATGGAGTCAAAACGTTGGCGACCTGGGGTTGTGCTTGCATCTGAAGTATTAAAAATGCTACTTAAAGATGAAAGAAATACAATGAAAATATTATTAAAAATAAATTCACTCAAAGCTATTAATATAAAGCGAAATAGAGAGATTTAAATAGAACCATTTCAACAGTTTGAAATGCGTGGTCAAGGCGGTGGGGGTGGGATTGTGCTGTAAAGCATCAGAAGTGTTGAGCTCTAGTTATTTTTTTTAGGTTTGGTAAAAAATTTGGCGTTGTTAAGCATGTAAAGTCTTTTATTCATAAGAATGAATGTTTTTATAAACCGATTTGAATGCCAGGCGTCTATTTTTTATGACAAAGGACGCCAGATAAGCATAGAGTCCACTTCACGAAAGGTGACAAATTCTAGATGTAAAAATACTAAAAAATCTGTGTTGTCGACCTATTTAATGATGCTGAACCCGACGTGTACGGAACCCCAACCCGTTGCTTACTGCTACCATTAGAAAAACATGATCATATACTTGGGGTTTGGAGGGACCCGCTCTAACAAGAAAAAATATGTAGTGCACTTAAAATACGTGAAGAGTAAAATGAAACTTGGCGACAAAAGGAGTGGCGGTCTACACCCTTGGCTTGAGAACTGGTAGCAAATGTAAATTTAGAGTCTTTGGTTTTTATTGATTTGATGCTCACATGTGTACCTACGTGGATAAATGTTTTTTTTGCCTTTGACTACCATTCTATTAGTTACGAACCTGTTGCAGCTGCGGTATAATTTGCAAATGCGGCGCGTGTACGGGTACGTGTACAGTTTGATACACTGTATGCCCATTGGCTATGCTCACGGGGACTTGTACGGGTACCATGCCCATGCTGCCAACTCCACCAACACCCCCCACGCCCCCTCTTACTGCTACACCACCTCCTGTTTAACATAACTTTTATTACGATCAACTGTATAGCTATTTTTAGTAGTTTATACTACAAAACTTTAATAGTTTAGTTAGGTCTATTTTTCATGTAGAATTTAATTTGTATAAAGCCATCGTGGATAAAAAATATTAAAGTTTTCTAATGTTAAACTCTGTAATTTTATCTACAATGATTTTCTTGTATTGTAAAGCATAAGATATTGAACCTTAATACACAAGACTTAAGGTTTAAATTAAATTGCATGTAACATTCGGTTGAATAATTTCGACGATGACGTGTCGGGCACGGTATCTCAAATGGTTAGAGGACGGATCGCTGTGGATGCCTGCCCATGTTGTAATTTTAATCTAAAATCGATTTTAATTTTTTTATACTATGCAAAAACTTCTTGGTAAACCAATTTTAGAAATAAATAGCTCTTTATCAGTAAAACACTTGGAGGAAGCTGTGACAAATAAATTTAAATCAAAGACATAACAATTTTAAGTAAGATAGTATTGATATAGTAACATAATGTGCAGATAAGATGATGAGTGCCCGAAATGAAAAGACCAAGCAAGGATATGAAAATTGCAAGTAAATTAATAAGCTTTAGGATACTTCGTATTATACAATTTAATTATAGACACAATCACGTAAGCGGGTTCTTTAAAAGTTCCTCTTGTATCTGTAGTATACGCGAGTTGAACTCATTCAATTAAAACTAATTTAAACTCGTATTATTTTTATATTAATACATAAGGCCTTACAATAGCGTTTTCACCTGTTTAAATTAGTTTTATTTTAAACGTTTTAAAAATCCTAGTTTCACTGGAACCAACCTTGTGCTTCGGTCTGCTCCTTACTTTCCTTCTTCTCCCCCCCATTTAATACGCCGTTCGTCACGTTAGCGACGCTCACGGGCAACTGAACCGAGTTGGGTATCTGAACGCCGGGTATTAGGTTCGACCCGGGGATGATGACCGATTGGTTCCCGATCGCGCTCAGGGGGATGCTTATGTTAGTACCGGGGATAGTGATGGTCGCTTGCTGCTCTGTTAGGTGCGGCCCGAAAGGGGGAAACATATATTAGTATGTACCTCAATGAGCGCGGTGGACTAAAGGTATACCGTTACCAAATCAACCAAGTGTATGTTAAATAACAAAAACCCTCCTTCCCCCCCACCCCCAGATATAAAAAATGATTTTTTAGATTATTAGGTAACTTTTTCCAATATGATGAATATGTCATATTAAAAACTTGGTTGAAAAAGTAACGTATACCCCCTTAAAAGATTCGTGCTCTCATCGAGATACTCTGTAAGATCCAAGCCGAGGCGAAGCGATGGTTCAACAGGCAATGCTACATTTTGTCTTCAGCTTAGTTAAGCTGCTCCGTATTTCAATTATGGAAGCATTATGCGATTAGTTAATTGTGAGTTCGAATTTTAGTTTACGTTTTTATTATGTTCAAGAGGGCAAAGCAAATAAACAAAGCTGTCTCAAAGTAAGATGGAAGTGTTACAAGCAAAGTATAGCGTCTATTGCGAGTATGCTGGTATGCGGGTTTATAGGTTAGAAAAATATGACTTACCTGTAGGTAAATGCATCACGTTTTGTAGGAAGCCAGCCGGTAACACTGGTGTCCGCACTAGCTGTCCATTCACTAGACTTACTTGCCCCATGCCCGAGAAATTCTGGAAAAAACAAATATAAAAATAAAAGCCTAACAGTAACGGTTTGAAATGCGACATATATTAGTTAGTTTATTTAATTTATTCACGACTCGACGTTTCGGATGCTTAGTAAGTTTGTTTTTTATATGCTGCTATATAACTAAAGACCGTATACAAAAACTATTTAACTTAAAAGAAATTTCCATAGACTCAGAAATAAGTAATAATGTATTAAGGTATACAACTATGTATTATCTTGCTTTTTACCTGTGCATGTTGTGCGGGTATGAAGAGGGCTTCTTGTCCGTCCACAGTGACAGTTTGCATCGGGGCCACACCCCCACCCACGCCTCCAACCAAACAACCTCCATATACGTTGCCCGCTTGTTGCTACAAATATACAATGGGTGATCGGTAATCAATAAAAAATATAAATATCTGAATATAACAGGAAAGGATTTTTAAACTCTTGATTTTTTCTAACTTTTGATTATGTCTAATCATGGGTAAAGTTTGTGGAACAGATAAACCTTTTTTTTATGATATAGGACGACAGGTAAGCATGGCGTCATTTGTTGATATACCCCAGCGATATTCTTATAAGTACCTGTAATAACTGTGGATGTAACTGAAGAAGGGGCTGCGATGGGTTTTGGTAGGTAGCGCCATCAGAGCTTGTTACTACGCCCCCGCCCAGTAAGGACTGAAGCTGTTGCATCGATATCACCTGGACAATTAGTTAAACCTATTAGTAAAACTGTACATACAGAAAAAAATCATTCCTAACTTGGCAGCTATTGTTATCAAGTACGATTATAATATAAAGAATAAACCATTTAATACAAGTTTAAGGATATATCAATATATATCCTTAAACTTGTATTAAATGGTTTATTTTCTAGGTTTGTGGTGTACATAATAATATAATAAATTAATAATATTAAATGTTTTGTAAACATAAGTTAGCTTTAAGAATTTAATTGTACAAAACTTGGCATAAACTAATCAACAACCAATTACCACCACAGGCTTATCCTAATGTCCCCACATTGGACTCCCCACTAGGAACTCTCTATCTGAAGATGTATGTATTGAAACATAAAGAATTTTGATTTCAATATCAAAATTAGGTACCTAAGTAAAAACTCTAAGTAAAACTTCTTTTTCTAGTTGTATCCATGAAATAAACCTACCTGAGGTTGTTGCACTTGGATGCCATTAGGTACAGTGCTTGCAGCATTCACAATAGCTGCAGACAGTTCGTTGCCCTGAAATAGTCAGTTCTTTCTTTAGTAACTTTGCAATCGATGTCGGGGAGGTGGGTTGGGCTTTGGTATACTAAAGGCACTTGTCAATAAAACTGGCCATTTAATAGACAAAGTTAAAAACAACGCTATAAATGAAGTAGAAGAAGTGAATTATCAATGACTCCTGGTGGTGGCAAGGTAGACTTGAAGCCGAAGACTTTGAACTATAATTTATGCCTTAAGACCCTGTTGGATACGTAGAATACAAGAGATATATTTGGGATATTTAAGTAGAGGACGAATATACCATAAAAATGATTGCAACCAAAAATTGCCACGCACACTAAACTTACCGTGTTCGTTGAAACAGTTTCAAAATTCATGCAAATACAAGCATGCCTTACTTACGTGACTGCAATCAGTCTAAAGCTCATGGGCCAGCCACAGCTCAGAGAGCAAGAGCTGAATTTCACGTGTTTGCGGGTGTTACGCATCTAACCACTAATATATTATGTATACAGGGTGTACAAAAGAGGACACATGCTCAACTTGAATGAGCTGTTCGCTAACTAGCTTTCCTTTTTCGCAACCTGCTTTAGATATAATCTACTTGGGTCTTCGAAGGTCAATTTGGACAATTTTAGTCATATCTATGCACTTCCAATTAGGTACATTTTAAATATTGCATTGTTATGCTACAGTACAGACCTTCTGTTCTATTTGATTTATATATAGATTTTTGAGTCAGGTGTCTAATTTAAATACCCCCTGTATATCCTATCCCTGCCTAACTCACCGACAGCCCTTGCGCTCTGAGCTGTTGAACAACAGCAGTGCTGATGACTCTCAATTGCGGTTGCTGCTGCTGTTGTTGTTGTAGATAGTGCTGTTGAATGGCGAGCGCAACTTCGCCTTGTTGTTGTACGAGCTGTTGTTGGACCTGTTGTTGTTGTTGGACTTGTTGCTGCTGCTGCTGTTGTTGTTGCTGTTGCTGCTGTTGGGCCTGCTGTTGTTGAACTTGTTGCTGTTGCTGCTGCTGCTGTTGGACTTGCTGTTGTTGCTGTGGGCCTGGAAGTACAAATTTTCTTGTTAATGAGTATAGTCTCTACAAACATTAAAAAGAAGCAGAACAATTTTCAAAAAATACAACAATTGTAAAATTATTTGTTTGTGTGATTGTAAAACAAAGATATAATATACAGCAAATAGTTACTCACTGTAATGTTGTTGTTCTTTATCTTGTTGCTGGTCGGGCCCCATGTTAGCGGGGCCGAGACGGCTGCAAGTAGCAGCTAGAAGAGCAAGAGGAGACTGAGCACCACTATTTTCCTGAAAATTTAATTTACTTTGTCACTTAAATAACTCTAGAGTAATATAAATCCAAAAAAAATCAATGGTCATAGATTTGAAACAGCTAACTTAAAGGTGTCGGAAAGAAACATAAATTTTGTCAATATAATATGTAATAATGTGGTATCCTTTGCTATACATAACATTGTAAATTGTAATGTTTACAAAACTTACAAGTGTCGTTATCAAATCTTAGAGTATTATTATCACCAAGGACCTATATTTCTCAATATCAATGGATCATAGTAAACAAGAGATAGAATCTCAAAGTAGTTAAGAATAGTAGTGATGTTGTTATTAATAATCATATGCGCTCCCAGTATATTTGATCAGCATAAATGTGAAGTTACCGGAACACCTCCACAGGTTAGTTCAAAATTTATTGTCTAACATAGTCCTAGGTTTAAGTTCCAAGAAAACATAGAATTATAATATTGATTTTGTAAGGAAGCAATGAAGATTAATGATCTAATAGTCTATTGATTAAATAGATCGGCTAAACACTGATGTTCGTTCCTTATGACTCAAGTGGTTCAGTGGGTCTTCATCCAAAACTGAGAAGTTAGCATAAATAATATCATTGCTATAATAAAATTATATTAAAAAGTTGACAACAATATAAGTGTTGTAATTAAAATAGCACTACAAATATCATACCTAAGCTAAATATTAAATCAATAATTTTTGCAAAACACTGGAAAAATAATCTGATGCTATCACCGGACTACTGAATTTATAAGGAAGATACTTGTAAAAGAGTAAATAGTAGATTTTAACACAAATACTAGTTATCTAACATTTACTTACATTGTTAAGAAGGTGTATTTTATATTTACCAGTACTTTCAAAAATATAGCTTTATTTTAGACTTTTGACGATAGTACATTCGGCAGAATTGTTTTATAACAAGAAGTAGAAATAATTAATTTTCGAACCAACGTTTTGTTTATTAGCTATATAATGAAAATATTAAAATGTGAATTGTTGTGTATCATTAAAACACTTTATAATTATCAAGAACTTGAATTGTAAGAGCACACATCACTAATTGATAGAATTTCGGATAACGAAATAAAAAGAAACTATCTTTGAAGTGTGTATGTAAATAAACGAATCGATTTGCATTTTTTGACATTTCCGATTTTACCTGTCATTATCGTACTTTAGTGATGTTTGGCTATACTAAAATATTACTGGTGTGGGTACAAAAAAAAATACATTTTAATTAGAAATGGCGCATTTATAATACATGCCGATGGCAACATTATTATTAAGGAGTTTAGTTTGTGATGTCTCAAGTTTTAACAAAAATGTTTGGAACTATTTAGTTTGTTGACACGCCTTTTCCTAACAAGTGTCGGGAGCCGGGAGTCGTCGCGTCAAGGCCGCCGCCGCCCTTTGATCCACCCACCTTAGATCGCGTGACTTTGATTTATACCCACTTGTAAGTAGGTTACGAGTAATACCAAGTATAGATAATGCCTCATCGCTGTTAATGGCAAAACATCAACCAATTATTAATTTTTAACGTGATACGCTATAAAATAATTATGTTACCAATAAAATATTATTAAACGGTAATAAATGATTTCGTTGTATTGGCGTCACAAGCGTACCATATCTTTGCGAATCGTAATTAGATTTAAGTTTTATGTAAACACGTTTAAGATGTCAATAACATTTTGGTTTGGGAGTATCACACGACGCGGTCACAACCTCCTGCGTGTGGCCTGGCGAGACCCACACGGCCGGGACTGCATTCGCCCCGCCCTCCCCCTGCGCTGAGTAATACACGAGACCGCTGCCCGCTAGCGTCCAATGTGTTACACAATAACACTCTATAGTTTCACATCAGAACATTTACCTTAATTAATTTTTCTTCACTAATGTATTCTACCTCCAATTTCGTAGGCTCAGACGACATCATCTACTTTAAACTTGGAGACATTTAATTTTCTTTGTTCACCAACGAAACGCACCATTCTCACGACCGGCCGCCAAGCTTCGGCGAGCGAACTAGCGACGATCAACATCGACCGCGCTCGGGTATTTTCGGAGATCCGCCTCCTATCGCGTTCACTACGTTTAAGTAATAAGTCATTTTACTTTTAATTTAAGTATTAAACACAGAATCGATGAATAGTACGATATTTCTAATATTGACAGGCGCATGCATGCATATTTTTTTGGGCGATACACTGAAGTAAAGTTAAAGAAAAGTGTTTTAATCGTATAAAGGCCAGTATTGCCGTCTCGTTCTATTGAAGACAAGTCTTGATTATTGGTAGGCAGCAGCTGCGCCTCTCTTCTCCTCCCCGTCACGGGTGCGGTGTCGCTGACGCCCGATAATAATAATTGAAAGTAGGAAGGACGTAATAATGGGTGTATAACCTCGCGCCCGCGGCCTCCTTGGGCGGGCAAAAAATGCACACATGTTGTGTTTTTATGTTGTACCCAAAAGATACATTGCCTGGCATGGTACTAGCACTAGTTCACCCTAATGAGGGAGTCTTAAGATAAGCAGAATTACATATTATCATAGGTATAAAGATAATACATGTATAAATGTGTTATTATTAACATGATAGCAATGCCTTATTAAAGTTGTTCCAGAAATGTAGTGAATTTAATTGAAATGCTCCTGTTTAGATAATTTTTTACCTTCTTAGCAACCATGACCAATAAACAAATACGACGAAAACAAAATGTATTTGTTTTCTTGACAGTCTTGACAATTTAATTTAATTGCGAAACTACAGACACTTATACAGCCATCGATTTCTCAAATTTAAAGCATTGGGCTAATTGCACGTTTCAATGACCGAAAAATAAAGCAATACCTATATAAGTAGTTCGCCACGAAGAGACCTAAAATGAAAGTGAAAGTCGTTTCACGTTTGTCAAGCGTCTGTTGCTTTAGCCCCAAGTCCATTATGCACGAATGAGCAGCCGCCCCGTGAGAGCATGTATCCGAGGCTTAATTATCACCCGAACTTTAAAGTAATTTTGAACTCTATCTAATAGATTATACAGTTTATAGTTGAATTGTGGAAATATGTGGATCAAGTATTTCTGTGGAATATAAATCTATCGACGTGCTCAAGCAATACACTACTTTAGTAAAGTACAAATAGAGTTCATTTTATATTGGCGTTGCTTGCGTTTTTATGCTATTCTTTGGTGAACGATAACTCTATTATGGGTGTACCTTGCGTGGCATGCGGTAGTCGAGTGACGCGATAGTGTTCGCGAATACGTAATTACAAGACGAATAACACTGATGAAATCATCCTATCATTTTTTTTCTTTTAATGACAGAAGAACATAGACTATATGTATAGTATATAAGTATACCTATGGTTCATTTGGTGGTAGCCCCATCCATAAAACATCTAAAATGCACTTCGACCTTTGCCTTGCCTTTAAACACGTCGGAAATTATAACATAGACTGCAGCCGGAACATGAACTAACACTTCACGACTTTAACATCTGTTAACAGTGATTGTTGTAATGGACGAAATTTCGAAGAACCATCCCCTGTCGAATTTAAAAATAAGTATTGGACTAACAAGTCCGTCAAACGTAAACGTAACGTAACGCTAAATAAGAAATAATATTATTTCACTGGGTAACGATTTATGTATGAATAATTAATTCACAAATATTATGTCTTTGTATAATTTTGCAAACAAATGGACACATGCTTTTTTTATGATAGTGGAGGATGGGGCTCAAGATGGAAGGAACCCCAGTACATGTTTTACTACTGATGGCTTTGAATATTTGGTGTTAAACTAATAGAAAAACGTAAAAAATAAATCAAGAAAACGAATAAAAAAGTTACCAGTTACACTCGCGCCCTATCAATATGCAAACACTCAAGTACTACAGTAAGTAGGCACCCAAGTTTAAAATACTTAATTCATAAGATCGTTTGCAATTCCTGTTAACTACATCATCCATTCAACGGTGGTACGATCATGCGTTCAAGTATCGCATATCGTAACTCGTAATCAAATTAATTGCTTCCCGCCAAGGTGGTCAGGTCGATTTATTGGCAGTTACTATAATAAATTCAATGAGTGTATCACTGATATCGCGTTAGTAAAGTCCATTAAATTATGAGACAGAAGCCTTAGTCAAAAGAACTTTGTAGTTTTTTACATTAATTACTTTATTGTAACCAAAAACTGTGCTTTTGAGCACGTAAAGCGCTCAATTCTGGCTTCCGACATTTACAGTGTAAACTCCATGTAACGTCACTCTATTTAACGACAAACTCTCTTAAGCGTCGAAATTAATTGGCTTTGGTTGGTTTAGCTTGTTTTTCATACAATGTTTCTTCTCTCCATTTAACGACAACTCTCTATAACGCCATAAAATGTACAGTCCCTTCAGTGTCGCTATATAGAGTTTACACTGTATTTACTTAGTAAAGCCCGCTCAGCTATAACGTCGTGGATCTGTACACAAAAAAACCTTCTCGTCTTATAAAGAGGTATGCACAGTAGTGGGACGTTATTGGATTGTTATGATAAAATCACACATTCGATCAGAAACATTGATTAATAAGTTGCGTAATGCTTTCACGGCCATCGTTCAGCATATCATTGTTTTTTGGACTATTTGACCGACGTGAGCGAGAAGAGGTTCTCGACGTTTCACCATCACGAGCGGACGGCATCGTCAGATGTTGTTAGTTCCTCGATTAGTCGAAGAATTATGCGAAACATCGATTGTTGATTCGTTTAGGCAGATATATATCATTTGTCGTGCCCCGTAACTCGGAGCTATAGATTATAACATGTTTAAAAATATATATTCTTATTCTTTGTACAGTTTGGTTGAAAGGGAATCATAAGTTTGTGTTCTCCACTTGGCTTCTTATTTGTTCTGGTGTTAGATTTCACTTTAAGAGCAAAACCCTGACCTACAGGTTACAGTTAAGATAATCGGAAGCGGAAGAGCGTGGGCGGGCCGGACTACACCACCCGCCCCCTCCCGACACGCCCTTGCTCTTGAGAAATTGCATTACGCTAATTAACATATTAGTAATATATTTAAATGTACAACATTTATATTAAAGCAATGTATAGACCTTAAAGCAGCAAATCCATCAAAGTCCAGCAGATAATACCACCATGTAATATTGGCGACAGTGCAAACACACTCAAGTTTATATATTCATTTTCTGGGTATGTATAGTAGGTATTACTTTTATGTGATTTTTCAAATTTTTTTTATCTTCTTCAAAATTTCAAGTGTATTTTGTGAAGGTCTTGAAGAATGTCACAAAGGTTTAAAATCATAAAGTCACGATTTTTTCGCTAACTCTACGTAGAAATTTAATGTATTTTAACGTTTTAGAATCCTGTTCTTATTTCTATTTACTTGAATTTTTAATTTAATTGAAATACGAATTATTATTATTATTAGATTTTTCTAAAAATATGGGTACCAATTTGATCTATAAGATTCTATCCACCCTGTGTTTACAATTACTGTATGAACAAATTCGTTTGTAGTGGGTACTCGAAGCAAAACATTGTTTTCCGTTTGCGTAAAAATCATCAACACACGGTAGAGCGACCACCCACCGCCCGAAGTGACCCACGCGGGGGCGTAACCGCCGCCCTACATTTGAAATTACTTGGTCACAGATATTTTTCTAATCGCACTTGAAGCAACATATTTGTTATTAAAAGAAAAATTAAACGCGATGAATGCGATATTGAAAAAAATGCTGTATGATTATGGGTTATTCACTATATTATATTTTAACTGTCATTTCCTAAAATAAATACAATAAATTTTGCTTTATCTGTTATAACTAACTTTAGAAACGAAAAATTCTCGTGTGTACTACTACTAGTGTTGTCCTGTAGGAAACAGTATACACTAAAACACTAGTTACGCCATAGTTTGACATTTGAGTCTCGATACCAGGCCGTAAAATGAAAAACGAAATTACATTTGACATTTGCTTTTTTGTTGTAGAAAATTTTAAGGTTATGTTAGGTTTAATTTTTAGTGTGATTTTAGTGCGATCTTTACATATTCAATTCATAAAGTTACAATGTAATTGAGTTTAGAGACAGGTAAAGGGTTACCTATTGAAATAAAACAAAAATAAATTTGAAATAAATTCTTTATTTGATCGAGGATAATTAGAAAAGTCGTAACAAATTTAATGAAATAATGATTGTAAACATTCAAAATAGGAAATTTATACAACACTATTATTACTTGAACATGGTGATTTAATCTACATTAATGTATTAAGCGTTTCATTCCAATTTTATCATAAAATTGTGACGTGGGTAAACAATGAATAAATTGAGAATTTTGTCATTTAAACTATACCTAATTGGTAATTAAAGGTATCTAACTATATCTTCTATTAGTAATTTACGTGAAATAAATAACTACTAAGTAACAATTTAATATGTAGGTACTAATTTACAATAAATACTAGGGAATACTATTTCAGTAATTAAATAAAATAATACCTTGGAATACAATATTTCAAACACTAGGAACGACTGTGATTCGAAGTTTTTGAGGTATGGCAAGGCCAAAGTGACTTCGTTGTCCAATAATACACACGTCTGAGGTTCACAAAATAAAATAATTTAAACATTTCTTTCAGTGCCACCTGTTGGCCATGTATTGTACAAAGTAATGAAGCGGTAAACACGTGATATTGCGTATTTACCCTTGCGATAGGTGGCGCTTTTCGCAATGAAAATAAATATATTCAGTGAAACCTGGTTAATTGGGATCTCAAGGGGCCAAGACAAATGTACCAAATGCTGAGGGTTTCCAATAACCCAATATTCCAGTTTTGTTTGTAAACAAACACATCATAACGTGTTAAAACCTGATTAATGTGTCGAATTTATACTGGTAATTGAGTTACAGTCTAAACTCTAAACGAAAAAGTCTTAAAATTCCAAACTCATCTAACCAGGTTCAAAAAGATCCATTAACAGAGGTAATTTAATGAAAAAGAACCGGGACCTCATTGCAACTCTTAATAAAAGAGGTTTCTCATTTATCCAGGTTCCACTTAACCAGATTTCACTGTAGGTACAAAATCGTGATCTGATCGATAGTTGCATTGATACTAACCAGAAATGGGTGTAAAATTGATTACAGACCACCACCACTTCTCTCTACGCTGATTTGTTTCTTCAGGATTTCCTTTTCGTGGTGTTCTTCCTCCATTTCCGCCATTCTCGCGAAACGAGAGTATGTCACATGGCCAGATTTGATAGCAGACATCATCTGCAGGACATCCCATATTGTAATATATATGTTAATTTTGGAAGTATTAAAAGGTAGTCAAGCAAAAAAACAGTGACTAGAGATAAGGCTTTTTAGTAGTATTGTTAGGTGTAGCACGAGAGTTTAAGCATATTAGTTTTTAATTAATATCTTTGGTTAGTTGCGTTACTAAAATTACCCCTTTTTTCTCTCGTAGCAATAATAAACACATACAATTTTCATATAATCACATACATGCTCCAAAGTGACAAAAGCATTCAATAAGCAAAACCAGTCATAACACAACATTATAAGGCACTCTCTTATATAATTTTACATATGTAATATACAAAAGTTCTTGTTTAAATTTAGAGTTTACTTATAATTGTAAAAACTTGTAACATACAATCTATTTTTACCCGCAGCTCAACGGTTGAATACGTTGCTTAGTATCGTTAAGCACGAGGTTCTAGATTTGAATATCGAGGAAACGATTTTTTCAACTGCCAAATATTTTATCCTATTACGGCATCCGTAGCTCAATGGTCGAACGCGTTGCTTATCATTTTGTTAAGCGCTAGAGGTTCTGGGTTCGAGTTTTATGGAAATGACGTTTTCAACTGCCAAATAAATGGAGCAGTGAAACGGACACAGAAATATGCTTTTATAGAATATCCAATGGATCTTTGGCTGTTGATATTTCACCTCTTATCAATCTCATGACTATTTGTCGTCTACATAGAAAAAATGAATATCATGCAATACCACAGGCCTATAGATAATATTTGAAATGAACCTGTAAGTATTCATCGAGTTCGACTTGTCCGTTCATGTTAGTGTCGATCTCGCGCAATATTTCGTGCAATTGTTCACCGGTGACCTCCTCGCCGTAGTTCTGGAATGACCTCCGACATTCATACAAAGCATGGACAACACAACCCCGTGACCACCCAACAGACATGTCTGATGAATTTGGGAATTCTAGAATGCTAAATTTCAACTACATGAAGTAATTTAAAAAAGTAAAAAGAATTGTTTGTCATTAGCGGGACTCAAACCAACATCTAAAAACTTACTTTGTTTTATACTGTTACGAGACGGTAAGTTCAGCGGTAACCGTACCTACAGTGAGTAATATAGTTTACGCGAGTAATACCCATTTAAATAAACTACTTTTAACGGTTTAAAACGTGAAATATATCGTAACTTATTTATATTTTATTTTAGCAAGGGCCGTTATTTGTATTATATAACGGGGTACTCCCGTTATATAATACAAATAAGATTAACTAATACATTTCGGGTTTTAAACAGTTAAAAGTGTATTATTTTAACGCTACAGTGGTTTTAGTCCCGCGTCTGTATATATTTTTTTACTTTTCAAAGTAGAATTTCAATTTAAATCGAATATTAACAATAAATCGTAGTTATACGTGATTTTTCCGTCAGAAAAGAATAAATACATCTAAAATTCCCAATACTTCCCAAGCCGCTAAATCTAAACACGAATAATGTTCTTCCCTTTGACGTCTCTACCTGAAGATAATCTTGTATTTCCAGCTGACCGTGATAGGTAGCATCGATTTCTGACAAAATTGCACTTATTTCAGCGTCTGAAGGCTTCACACCCATACTCTAAAAATATTGTTTCACCATCATATCCAGAATAAAATTAATCTGGAATATTTCTAACCTTCTTGTGATTATAAATAGAAAGGATCATAAAAAATATTCGTACACAGAGACTCCAAGAGAAATAATTTTTAAACATTTCTGGGGCCACTGAAAATCAGTGTGCTTTTAACACTGATTTTCAGTTGCCAAGCGAATCGAACAAGCGTTTCGTAACGCTATGCTGAGTGGCTCCTGTTTTAGGAGTTGCCATTGTTGAAATTTTAAGGCTTATATATTTATATAATACGTCCAAGTCATTAAGTTAATTTATTTCATAGTTTTTTTTAAACCATGTAAATGTTATTTTAAAAATCGAAAATAAAATGAAAATATTTTCGACTCGGGGCAGGACTTGAACCGGTGTAGCTTTCCGTGCTGTTGCCTTGTGCAATATATTAATGTTTTCAAACATGTAAATGTTTTTTTGTAATTAAAAATTTTGTAGGTTTAGATTATTTCTCCAACCAATTGTTCGATTTATTTCCCTTTTAATATGAAAGTTTTCATTTGATTATAAATTTAGTTTCGTTCATTACTCACTCATCTATATGTTTTATTACTAAGTTTTCCCCTATTTCTTTCTACCTATATTTATTATAAGTAAAAACAGTTTATCACCTTGAGACTTCTTCTAATATCGTTGATAGATACGTAACCCTTCTTGTCCTTGTCGATGATCTGGAAGCGCTTGATGTACGTTTGGATCTCGTCTTTGCTCAGGTTTATCGGTATCTTGTCTCGGCTAGCGCGGTTCACCATTTGACCCATCTCGTTAGCGAGAAAATCTGCTGCCAGTTTCATTTGTCTCTGTAAAGTAAAACTTATTTGACATTTGTCGTTTAAAACGGATCCCAAGCCAAATTAGGCATTTCATCTGTCAAGTGAAGCCTGTACTCTACCATAAAAAAAATTTTAGTATTACCTGGTGTAATAAATAGGACATCCCGTATTCTCTATATGGAGCAAGGAACGAGACATATTTATATGTCCTTTTGATATATCAAAGTTATGTAAGATTACTTTAATTCACCGGAACATCTTACTATTACCTAAACAGCTCATACAAATATTTTTAAGCTTAAATTTATTTAAGATAACTTCTCGATAACGTTCTAACAGCGTCAAAGTCCCGTAATAAATCATTAATTTAATAATTAACTATTGGATAAATATTCTCACTTAAGTTAAGAAGATTATAAGGTCTTATAAAATACTGTCTATAGTTTACACGAGTAGTACACATTTAAATAAAAAACTTTAACGCCGTGGTCGCGGGGCCCCCGTGACCACGGCTGCTACAAAGCATACGAAACGTCGGCCCGAAGTTAGAAATCATTTTCAAATTAGTTTAACTAATATAATATCGTGTTTTAAACCCTTAAATTGTTTTATTTAAAAGCTCTTATTAAGTTCTTATATAAGAGAGTAACAACGAAGCTTCAATGTAATCTACGTTTATGCAGTAGATAGGTATAATTGACGATTATGTTAACCCGAAGATATTTTCATACCTGCTTCTCAGTTTCATTCCACTTCAATTCCTCAGCCATGATGTCAATGATGGTAGGCAACGCTTCAGCAGCTGCTTGCACGTTGAGGAAGGCCAAGCGAAGGCGTCTAGCGATCATGTCGATAGCTGTGCAAGCATATTCACGTACTCCGTATCTACAAAATTAAAAAAAAGTAGTTATTAATTAAGGACGGGCTAAATAATACTTTGGTACTTAGATAATTATGAATCACTTAGTACAGTTCATACATAAAAGAATATTATATAGATAATGGCTGTGTTAGCGACTTCGTCCGCGTAGAGTTGTTATTTGGGGCGTCAAAATTTTAAATTATAGCTATTACCCACGACGTCGTTTGCGTCCGTTCTGCAAGTTAACTTTAAAAGATAGACCAGTCCTAACGGGACTTGAGTCTGCATAAGTTGTAGCACAGTTAAAACACACACACACACAGTGATTAAGTAGATAATTAATAAGTGTAGTATTTTGTAACAGAATTAAAACTATTTCTTACCTAATTTCAGCATCGATATAAGGAAACTCCGGGTGCACTTTCTTGCCAATAACTGGCCATCTTTGGCCTGTCATGGCCGCCATTTTAGCCACCGCGAACGCTCTATCACCGTAAGATTTCGCTAAGTGTTGGGCCACCTGTAAACATAATATCGGTATTAGATATTTATTCAGATACATTTTAAAAGAGTAAACAGTTTAAATAATACATTTCAACGGTTTAAAAACGTGATATAAATTAGTTAAAGTTATTTAAAACGTCGGGCTATAGTTAAAATTAGTTTAACAAATATATATCGCGTTTTACACCGTTAAAGTGTTTTATGAGTAATTTTATTGGAAATAATATAAATACCTCCATTTCTAGCCCGAAATCTTGCACCAAACGGATGTACATAGTCGGTGTCCAGCCATGGGCGCCTTCAATTAGGAATCCATCTGTCTGGCAATCGCGATACAGTGGTTTCAAGTTTGAACCTTAAAAACAAAAATTGAATTATAAAATACGAAGGTAATAAGTTCGTGCTATAATTAGAGCTTATTTAATTAGGCAATAAAAAAAAATTTTTTTAAATAACAGTAACACAGATCAGAACATTGACCGCCTCTATAGCCAATTGTAACATTCCGTTAAGTCAAGATCCTAGGTTCGAACCCTAGGGAAACTATAATGGGACATAGGACACAGAAGTCAGGATCAACGATATGTCTGTAAGAGAACTGATCAGTAAAACATAAGTACACATAATTGTGCCCCCCGTCCCACCCCCGAGAAAACGAGATTTCACTAATTCAATCTAAATCAGAAAATTCTATTTTCAAAATGTTGAAAACATTGGTAGATCACGACATCTATCCACCACGACAAAGCGTCGGGTCATAGTTTAAAACTTGAGTCAGTTAAAGTTGGTTAATTTGCCTCTCTTTTAAATAAAACACTAATGATTAAAAACGCGATACATATTTGCTAAACTTATTTGAAAATTATTTTAACTACCCGCCCGACTTGTCGGATGCTTTGCAGCGGCCGTGGTCACGGGGAGACCACGGCCACGTGTTCTATTTAAATGTGTACTACTTGCATAAATTGCAGACATTATATTCTCTCTCCTTAAATTTTGCTATATGTATTAATAAATCAATAAATCAGTTATACAAAGTCCTTACTCTCAATAGCTGCGTCAATCGTCTCGGCGGCCATAGCGCGGTACGTTGTCCACTTGCCACCAGCGATGGTCACTAATCCAGACGGCGACACGTGCACAATATGGTTGCGGGCTAGAGACTGCGTGTCAGGTTTGTTAGGGTCCGAGACCAATGGTCTGATCCCTGACCAAGCTGATAATACGTCTCCGCGGCGTACTGTAATAATTATTATTATTTAGCGTATATATAACAAAATTTAGTTACTAACTACGCGTCTTCGTCCACGTAGAACAGCTATTAGCACCAAAATTGATTTTTACAGACCTAGCTAGCTGTTAACCATGACGTCGTTCTTACAAGTTAATCTTCTAAAGTAGACGTATACTGTCGCGGATATTTCTTTAGATGATTTAAAGAGAAACCATTCTTTCATACATATTTTTTTGGGTATTTTTAACCGTTTTCGCAACGCACGCAACAGAAACCCACAAAGTTTCCGTCATATTCACATTATTCTATTGTTTTTTCGCTTCTATTGGTCGCAAGGTGATGGTTAGCCTTCCTCGATAAATGATCTATCAACCATCAAAAAATAATTTATTAATTCGAACCAGTAGTTCCTGAGATTAGCGCGTTCAAATAAACAAACAAACTATTCAGTTGTATATTATTAGTATAGATTAAATTATTTATATTACAAAAGTAACAATAGAAATCGATCGATTCGTAAAATGGGCACACAATTGTGTCTGCATTACGGAAGGTTAAAGTTTTATACATTTTGCAAAAGAGATCTTTTAAATGACTGTATTCGATATTAAAAAAAAAATCGATAGTTTCTGAATTATTCGTATAGTAAAGGATATCTATACCTTCCACATCAGGGTTGAGATAATTCCTAACTTCAGTGAGGATGAACTGGATCTCATCTTCAGTAGGTTTGGGGTTGTGAGTGACATCGCAGGGCAGATCTGTAGTGCCCGCAATTGTGCCTTTCAGCCATGGCAGGAAGAAGATGACACGGCCATCGGAAGTAGATGGGTCGAGAAGACCCATGTGCTCGGGACTGAAATATTCAACAGAAGGTATTAAATCCGTCAGTCAATATTATCTGTTACAATGAAATAACTCAAACGGATTGAATTTGCAGTGGCTCGTTTGTGTAATGGCTCTACCATGTGAGGCTAATAATCAACGGATCGGGACTTCGATGCCGACCGGTGTTTCTAAGCAATGTATAATTCTGAAATAAATTGGACTTCATCTTCATTAAATTGTTGGTAGGAATATGCAAATTCCGTCCGGGTCACGAACCACCGTCCTCAAGTGAAAAAGGCGCAAGTAAGTTTAATCGGATTTCTGTTTCCTTCCTTCCGAATACCCAAAGCCAAAAATAGGTCGACAGCATAACTTGTTAAGATGTCATATGGCTGGGGTCCACTTTCCATCAAGTGAGGTACATCATGCCTGTCTATTCTCCACTATCATAAAAACACGACACGTCTATTTAAACTACGACCCGAGTTTTATGCTTTTTTATTTAGCATTTGTTATTTGAAATTGTGTGATAATTATGTATCACTCGTTGAAAATTTTGCGAACAGAAACTAGAAATTTTATCCTTTACAAAATTAAACAACGCCTAAACAAATACTGTCTATAGTTTACGCGAGTAGTACACATTTAAATAAAACACTTTAACGGTTTAAAATGCGATATATTAGTTAAACTTATTTGAAAATGATTTTTAACTTCGGCCCGACGTTTCGGATGCTTTGCAGCAGCCGTGGTCGCGGGGAAACGTCGGGCCGAAGTTAAAAATCATTTTCAAATAAGTTTAACTAATATATCGCGTTTTAAACCGTTCAAGTGTTTTATTTAAAAACGCCTAAACAAATAAAATTATCTCTATTACGTTACAGTAACAAAACAATAGTAAACAGTTTCATGAGATGTAGTTTACCTGTAATATCCCGGTAATACAATATGTACTCCCGAAGAAGGACAACAGATTTCCTTGACGTTCTGATCATCCATCTTTCTGATTGAGTCCGTGAAGGGACCTGTCGCATTTATTATGCTCTTAGCTTTTACATCCCATTCCTTGCCAGTTAGCTCGTCCTAAAACGTTGTATTGTAGGTTACAAAGTTTAATGTACATATATTATAAGTTATCGTGTTGTTCTAGAAATCTAGTCCCTAATAATAATAGCTTCCTAAAAAGGTAACTTCATTTCAAATCTATACTAATATAATAAAGCTGAAGAATTTGTTTGTTTCTTTGAACTAATCTCAGCAACTGAGTAGAATTGTTTATTTATTGAGCATTTATAGAAGCTTTAAGCTCTAAAACACCAAGCTGCGACTAATAGAAGCGAAGAAATAGTAAAAAATGTAAACAAACACATGAAATATATACTGTCTATAGTTTACGCGAGTAGTACACATTTAAATAAAACACTTTAACGGTTTAAAACGCGATATATTAGTTAAACTTATTTGAAAATGATTGCCGTGACCACGGCTGCTGCAAAGCATCTGAAACGTCGGGCCGAAGTTAAAAATCATTTTCAAATAAGTTTAACTAATATATCGCGTTTTAAACCGTTAAAGTGTTTTATTTAAACATGAAATATAATTAATTTTTGAGCGGTTACCGTTGCATGCGCCGCGAAAACGATTCAAGTTACTCAAATAATAGGTATTAAAAATATCTGACAGTATCACTCTCATTACAAAACGAAGACTAACTCTCAAATCTGGTTTATACCCTGGCGTACTTGAAATCCTTATTACAAAACGAAGCGGCTTAAGAGTTAAACCACAGTCCTGGTTTAAGTTTTTTTTGTGATAGGGCTGTATACGTCTATCTTTTAAGATAAGCTCCCAAGAATAGCTTTTATGGTAATCAAATTATAGTCTAATTACTTTAAATGGCAAAAGAAAGTTTGTCAGATCAGGATAAAACTATTAAACATAAACCCAATATTAACTCAATATACTTTTTTAACACTAACATCGAAATAAATTACGAAATCTATTAATTTGTCGACTCAAAAAAAACACAAAGCAAAGATAACATCATACCCTGACTCTGGCGCCACTAAGTTTTCCAGCAGTTTTGTGCAGCTTAAGTACTCTGACGTGGTTAGCTATAGTCGCACCGTGTCTAGCAGCTGTCAAGGCTATAGCCAAGTTCATTCGTGCGTCGTCTTGTTGACCTGTAAAGAAGTATACTCCTGATTATAATTCAAAATTATCATTCATTACTATTAAGAATCTTTTTTGGACCTTATTGTACTAATGGCTGTACTCTACGATGTTAATTGAATAAAGCAGGAGTACCACAGCCTATAACAACAAGAGACGATATCGACCTCTTAGTTTTTAATAACCCGGTATCTAGATAAGTTCCATTATGTTTTATAAAAATTATAAATTGAATAGAAACTCGGTGGAAATCGAACCCACAACTTGATTATAGCCAAACATCACAACCAACGATCCAGTCAAATGCACAACAATCATATCAATATCTCAAAAAAATTGCCTTTATTACTTAAGGTAATTGTTCATTCTAAGTATTAAATGTCGTATTTTGCTTGTTCGATTTGAATCGTGTGTCAGTGTCAGTCTTTAGCGCATGACATGGTCAATATGAGCTTAGAGTTGTAAGCTCAACGACAGAACTCTTAACATGTACTAGGATCGTTAACAGTTTCTGATAATGATTAAAAATGGTATATTCCATTAGTGCTATCGGTCATTACGTAATACTACATTTTTCGACCATTCACGGTGTCTCGTGGTCTTGGGAGAATTTTTCACCTTTGGTGTAGATTTGTCGCAATTTTGCTTCTAGAAATTCTAGAATGCAATTATCGATTCATATTTTTCCTATCATTTCATAAAGCACCTCCCCCCCCATTTACGAGTCACAAAATTTAGTGTGTATTGCCTGCAAGTAAAAGACTTACCATCATAATACACAATGCCACCACATAAGTTGTCCGATTTCAGCATAGGGAATAATTCCAAAGTGTTTTTCTTCGATAGATAATAAGAACTCTTCAGGTTTCTATCACCAGCTACCACATCGTACATCTTTATACCAAACCAGTAATATGGGACTTGCCACCACCTGCAAGTTTATAATATTGCTATTAATATATATTCAATCACTAGTAAATATAGTTAAATCCAAACCTCGCAATTTGATGGAAAACGAAATAAACAATAGGTACTTAATTTAAGTAGGTACGAAGTTTACGCGAGTCTCCCCGTGACTACGGCTGCTACGAAGCAACCGAAACGTCGGGCCTTACTCAAAAATAATAAGTAAACACGTTTAACTAACATATTTCGCGTTTTAAACCGTTAAAGTGTTTAAACCAGGTAGTTCTTGGTTGTTTGCTAGATATATAATTTATGGTCTTGCTTCATGCAATGGCGTATTAAAACAAACATCTAAAACACAAGAATCCGGCTGTAGGAAAAAATACAGTGAAGTTTAATGATGTAAGTACTTTGTTTAACGTTTGTTTTGTCTCTACTCGAGTTTTGAAAAAAATATACTTCAAGCTGAAAACTGTATGGCAGCCGTTTCAAAACTATTTATTAATTACTAGAATTAAGTTTTTCTTGATATGGCAAAAGCCACTTGTTGTACTCCATAAATTTCCTATTCTTATTGTATTATTGGTATCTGAATTAACCACAAAATTTACCACACTCACTTATATACTGGAAGCAAGATGGGTAAGGGTCTGGTCAAATGAGGTGCAACTTCCAGCATATTGGCTCGTTCGTGTAACGCCTCCTTCACCATTTTATACTGATCATAGTCGAGTTGAAGTATGGCCTTCTGAAGGTATCTTACTCCACCGTGAATCAGCTTTGTGCTCCTACTAGATGTACCACTGGCGAAATCGTCTGACTCTACTAGAGCTGTGCGGAGACCTGAAATTGATGTGAAGATTCTATATATAACTATGGGTAATGTATAAACGTATAATTTTGAGGAAACAATGGACATATATACTACATTAAAAATCAATTCAGATTACAAAAAAATTACAACACGGGCAGGACTTGAATCGGCGTCCACAGCGTTCCGTGTTGTTGGAGCCGGTTCAATGGGGCCCTTCCCCCCGGGGGTTTTTTTTTTTCAATCTAAAATCGATTTTTCGAGATCGGTCACCACGTAAGAAATATTAAAATTCAAAAAAATTACATATTTTTCGCGTAACGAATTGAACTGTGTATATTTTGCAAATTTGATATAAATTCCCTTTTTTGCAAACTCTAGTACCATATTTCATTTAATAGACCTTTTCACCTAGCAGTGATTATATCCATCTACTAATATTTTTGTGGAATTTCTATTATTTCTATAATATATAGAAGATTATTTATATTTTATGAGAGATTATACCTCGTGTGGTAGCGTCCAATGCACAACCAGCACCTGTAGCGCCTCCTCCAATAATGAGAATGTCATAAGTGTGGCCCGCTTGAAGGGTCTTGATTTGCTCAGGCCGGGACGGCAGAGGGCGCTTCTTACGCTCAGTTTTTGCGGAAACTGTTGCAGGGGTATACCAGCTCTATAAAAAAGAATGGATAAATTTATTCCGTTAGGTAGTTACATAATATATTAATAGACTAACGAAAATTTTTATTGTATGTGATGTTACTGTAAAAACGTTATTCATTTATTTTAAATTTTTATGTCGAGTTGAACTAATTTGAAATAGAGATAAATCCAACAAATGAAAGTGAGTCCAGGCTTTCCCTACTTGTAAGTATTCGAATTTTTAAACTTAAGAAGAAAATATTAATAAAAAAATACGTCACGAAATTGCATTAATTTGTTCCAAAGATTAAAATGTTCATAAACATGGTTGAGCACGGTCTTTCATAAATTTTTGGACATAAATATAGATTATAAGATTACCACTGGTGAATCATCTGCGGAGAAAGCCCACGACGCGAACACAGCGCCGGTAACACCAGCTGTACAACCTATTAACAATCTTCTTCGCGACATATTAATCTGTAATTTTTATTAGATCCATTAGTTGGTGATTGGTGTATATCCGTGTTTCTATCTGGCTTATTAACTTATATCTATAATTTTTCGTGCATGTCAATATCGTTTAAATAACCACAAAATGCGATACGAGATTTAACCAAGTAATTTCGAAATATTATTCGTACTGAGTAACGATTAAATATAAAAATTAGTGTCATAACTAATTTTCACATGTGCACACGATAGCATTGTCTAAATTAAAAATCGATTTTAAATTGAAAAAAAAAATTACATCACGAGCAGGACTTGAACTGGCATCTACAGCGTTCCGTGCTGTTACTCTAACCAATTGACACGGTATCTTAATTGGTTCGATTAAAACAAAAATTTAAACCATTACTGACCGATTAGAATTTTAATTGATATACTATAATAGAATATTTTAATCTGTAAGAACTAAGAGCAATTCCGATTATATAATATTATATAAACGAGTACAATTACAAAAATGCCCATAGTCTTTACCTATATATAGGTCAATAAGATACTTTTCCCTCGTTTTTGAGGGCATTCTGCGTTTATGAGAACAACGTGGTTCATATACTTACCTACTACAGGTAGAAAACCTAAAGCATTGTTTATACCTGGAAGTGAGCCAAATGCCACTTCGAAGCATTTACTATGGCGAAATCGCTACTACATTTTATCTTTTGTAATGTGTCCAATTATTGACGGGGAAATTTTATTGATCGGTAAATGCGCGGTTGGTATCGTTTGACTACTGTAATTGGTGAAACGTTTTACGAGACGCCTAAGCACAAAAACGGGATACAAACGTTAAAATACATTTGTGAGTAATATGCTGAATATGTTGACTAAATATATTTTCTGCTAGTTAACCATAAATTCATTGGACTAACAACAAGGAAATTATAGGACTATAATAATGGAACCTTTTACTTATCTATTCTTACGAGACAAAAAAAGAGAGTTGGGTCTCGAACCTTCGTTGTTACAAGCTAAATGTTATGCAGTAACTAGTAAAGTTCGGTACTAGGGTATTTTAAAACTATTATAAATATAAAAGAAATATTAAGACTAAATAGAAGATAATTATTAGACTATAATGTTACCGTCAACTTATCTACTAAGATCTACTTAAAAATGCACACACGGCCTTATAACCCGTGTGTTTGACATTGTAACGAAATGTAATGGAACTTCCTTATAACACCATCTAAATAATTTCAATTTAAAAAATTATTTAGTAGGTATGACGATGATTATCACGCATCTACCACGCTACTTACACGATATACTTTATTCTACTATCAATAATAGATGACATAAAAGTTTGCAAGTATCAACCGATTGGTACAGGATGATAAATAGCTAGTTTATCTCTATACATCATATTATGGGGTTCTCCAGACTTAGCAGTCGGGAGTAGAGGTAACTATACAGAAAGAGTGGCAACACTAAGTGCGTACAGACACTCTTCTTAACCTCATTTATAACCCGACTCTTATTTTGTACAAATAATATAGAACCTCTTTTAAATCGATATTTTTGAAAAAGTAAGTCATGATTGAGTTACCCTAATTTGAATTTCGAATTTGAATTACAATCATCATTTTGTTTTACCAAGATCGTAATATAGAAAGCGGTGCCTCACAATAAGCCATAAACCCAACATAGTGTATCCAAGATTATAAAAAAACGTCTATACAATTATAAAGAGCTAGAGGTGTCTACGAATAAAATAGCTACCCAGGTATGCCGAATAATGAATGGCCGATAAATGAATAGATAACGATAATAAATATTAAAATGCCATGCTTGCATGAGATAGTAATACCGATTGTCTGGCATTTATTTCGTAATGTACATTTACAAGCATCAGCGTCTGGAAAATTTAACAACCGTCTTATTAGTGATGAGACACGTAATTTATTTTATCGATAGATAAGATATGCGCTTTATATCACGATTAGGTAATAACGTTTTAATTACTTCCGAGATCTCGAGCCTAGTGTCTGCGTCAAAAAATTTTACATACCTACTTAAGAATTGTTCATTTCTTTAGTACAAACTAAGAAAACTTTTTTTGTTCAGTGCACTATGCAGCTGACTGTTTATAAGACATTATGTATATATAAATTCAATGAAAGAAACTCCATAAAAGCATGTTACACTCAATTAGAACAAGAAATTAATTTCCTTCCTTCATTTGGGAGCGCTCAAACAGTGTGCATCATTATGAAATCTAATACGTGCATATATTATACACGTGCAGTCATTATCAAGGTCGTTATGTATATGTGTTCTAAAAAATAACATCAGGCGTATAATTATGTTAAACGCGCGGAAACTAAAAAAAATGCCTAAGTATAATTGAAGGAAAGAGTTGAGTTTGCCAATTCGGAAATCACTTTTGAAGAATTCAAAGCTTTGTTGCAATTGTGTTTAAGATAAATTAAGATGCGTTATATATGTCACCATTCCCTAACTATTCTTAAGAGCTTATTACACTACCAACTACATCGCAGCCAAAACTGAAATAGAATCAGCTCGCCAAATTGTAGTTCAGTTATTAGGATAAAGGTACTATGTTAGGTGTTTTTTAATTATTTTACGTAAGCTGTTTAATCTTTAATTACCGTTATATGTAGGTGAAACGTCTACTGTATTTACTAAGTTGTTTTACCGTAAATCTGACCTTCACAGGGCACCGGCATGATGTCATAATAGCAGGATAGAAGCACAATTTATTCTATGTAGACTCCAGGGTCCAATAAAAAATTTCAAACTGGTAAAACCGAATTTTATATGCCTTTTTTAAATAAAACAAAACATTTGTTTTACATATTTAATACTACATTACTCTATATATAAGCATATTGCATTCCATTAAAAAGCACTACACGCAAGCACAGAAAAGCTTAAATTTACTTACCTTATTTTATTTCCTTAATAAGTAGATCTCAACAGGACATGTAATATAAATAAGGTTTTATATTTAATACAAGGACACATAGAAGTTAATTTTAATCAGATCACGATGTAGATGTAACACAGATCTCTTCTACACAAAAACGCTTTAATTCAATAGGTTTTGTTTAAGGGTCACTTGAAGATTTTCTAACTATAGTAACATGTTAGCTAATCGTGTATAACCGCGGCAAGGCATTACAATGGCCTTGCTAGCCGACCCACCTACGACGAGGCAGTAGGTATAGTGAATATCAATGTTATCTATGGTGTGGGGGATAGAGTTGCTCCGAATTCAAAGCACAGACTTCACTCTGACAGGCCGATTTAACTAACTTCAGTGAAGTTGTCTATGCTAATTGCTTATAGGTTATTATGTATTTTAGATAACCGTGGGAATTACCATAAAAATGTGGAAATAATACAGTTTTAGAATGGGTCATTTACAATAGGGATATTTAATGGATACAATGTCTTCATATAGGAGACATATTATGTAAAATGGTAAGTGTAACAACTATATGACAATTGACATCTAAGAGAACACAAATATTACAGGCTATATTTAGGGTCCGGTTACTTGAAATAAAAATATGAAGATCACACCGTATCTTTTTCGAACTTAAATTATAGACAATGTGTAGAAGAGCTTTTAAATCATTTCAATTGAAACTTCATGGTTTCAAGCTGCACAAGTTGAAATACTACCTTTGGTACACTACCCTTTAGAGTTTAGGTGATCGGCCTTCGTTGTTCTGACCAACAAAGAAAATGCGAACCCAGGATTTCAATTCAACTCTTTCTGTTTCTTTATACTCTACAGGGAAAAATAAAAATGGATTAGGGAAAACTACTTTTTTATATAAAGATACATATAAGCATATACGTTTTAATGTGAAATAATAGTAGGTATTTAGTCATTATAACTTTTACTTGTCAAGATTTAAGAAATAAACAGCTTCATTGTATTCACTTAAACTGTAATAATGCATAGAAGAGACACAAAGAGATCACTTTTCCTTCTTCTCTGAAGAAAGGGAGTTGTACAGTTTTGTGATTTCATTTGATACAATATTTTGGACAACTGCACCATTTGTATCAATGTAGTTTGCAAAGGACTTGTTGATAGAGGCCTCTCGACTCTTTCCAGTTGAATCACGCATAACAATTACCAGGTTATACTTGTCATCATGTCTAAAATTAAAGAAGGTATTAGGGAGTTGGAGTAATGAAGTACATACAACAATTTGCATTCTTTGCTATCTATATATAAAATCATATAAAACAAGATGGTGAACTTATTTTTTTGACATTGCAAGTTTAAGCAGAAATTCAGAACAATAAAGAAAGGTATTTAGGTCTATGCCTAAAACCAAAAAATATTCTTCCTAGATTAAACTTTCATGAGTATTTCCTCAAAACATCAGGCCAAAGTAAAAAATCATTTTCAAAAAATATGTTTAACTAATAAATCGCGTTTTAAACCATTAAAGTTTTATTTAAATGAGTATTTCCTCTTATTATAATAAGTGCCCTGTGGACTCTATACTTGTAAAATTTCACTGTGTATCTATGTTTTGAGCACCTAAGTGTAATTTAATAAATAAAAATTAGCTTTAGTTCTCAATATAGCCATTGTATGAGAATAGTATAGTTGAAACTGCTACTTAATATAAGGTATACTTACTTCTTCACATATGAACTGGCTTCCCAAACTCGTGTATTGTTGTTACCAACTTTTTCCTTGGCAACAACAAAAATGCCTTTCTCTTTGAAAGTAGTGTATAACGTCAATATACTCATAAGAATGAAGTAGGATGATACACAAATAATTAACACCAATCTGTAAAATAATTACGTTTTTTGGAAGGATAAAAACATTATTCTTATAGGACAGTTTTCTATTAATTCATATTATAAATTGTTAAATTTGTTACATACCTTGATTGTGGAAATGGATAGAGATAATCCCACAGAAGAGCATACAAAGCTACTCCAACAGCCAGAGCACAAAGGGACAATCGTCCATCAATAAGTGCAAAACTTTCATTACATTTTAGATCACCAGTCAGAACCTACAAAAGATATATACAATTTGCATATTTTTTGTGATTTTTTGATTAAAGATATAAAATAATAAATACTAGAATTAATTAATCTATTGTTACCTCTCTAATGGCATCATCAATAGCATTTTTAGCAGCAGCTCCATCCCATTTGTTTATTTTAACTGGCTGCAAGATGAAAAAAAATACTTGAGGCACAGCATTTAAAAGTGAAGAAATTTCAAATTCACTAAACGTGAGGAATATATAAGTGCATTTTAAGTTGTAGCTCAATTTTCTTAGGAATTAGGAAAAAAATAATATTGTATGTAGTTTTCTCGTGTTGAGTTTCAAATCAATGACGTGTCGATTGTGTATCGCCGGGTTTTGATAAAATAGACAAGACCAATACCGAAAATTAACAATAGATACCTCATTAGTTTCGCCCATATTTGTACAGTGTTACCTAATACAGAATTGTTAATATCAATTAACTTTTTTATTATAAAAATATCCTCAAACACCTAAATAACACCTCAACTAAACCACAACCGAACCTCAACCTATTAGTTTTGACCACAGGCTTGCGCGGTCGACACTAATGTCGATACGTCCACAGATTGAATGCTCTTATTTAATATAACATCTTATATAATCTGTTGAATAGATTTGATGAAATAAGTTGGCGCTGTTGGTACTACTGTTAAATGCTAAATGGAAATGTAAAATTGTAGATGGCCAATAAAAGATTATGGAGAATAATACATTTATCTATTATTGTTATGGCCAGTGAATTTCCAAGTAACAAATTTAATGTTTATTGATTGAACATAATTAATGGGTGTTCGGTGGTTTCATTTTCCATGCATTTATATATTAACATTAGCGCAATTGAGTGATGGTATGTATTGTATTTTATAGGTGTATTAGTACAGTTTTGTGTGTGTAAAGTTGATTTCGCCCGGTAATTAATTAATCTCAGGTGTAAATATGGCATAGTTCTTTTAATCATTATTTCAAATTGTAACAGTAATAAATATTTACATGCGTGTTTTTCGTAACCATAACGCGACGATGCGACAACAAAATGGCATTGTCAAAAATATTCGCAAAGGAGGTCACGGTAGCGTGATCTGTGGTATAATTTGTATTTAAATAATAATTGTTTCACAGGTTGATTGGCAAACATGGCGAAGAAACGTAGACCAGCCACTACTGCTTCTAGGCGTTCAGCAAGACGCGGAAAAGCCGCACAGAAGAGTTCAGAAGGTGAAACTTCAAGTGTGACTGAAACAATCTCACCTGCACCAACATCTGAGGAACCACCTTCAGATCCACCAAAAGATACTCCACTGGAATCAACCTCTGACATTTCTAGCAAACCTCAAGAAGTACCTACAATAGTCTTACACAAAAAGTTTGGCAAATATAGATGTCTGTTTAATAATGATGATACATTCACAAAAAAGTATGATGTTGGTAGTGACAGTGAAACAAATAGTAGTATTGAGATACGGGTTGTAGACCCCGGTGTTAGTTCTGAATCTGATTCAAATGCTGCTGTTGACACACAGTCTGACACAAATAGTGGCGCTTGTCCTAGCCCTTTAAATATTCCAGACCGGGCATTACATAGTTTAAGTTCTAGAGATGTATCACCATTGCCATCGGTTGAGAGTCTAGATATTCCATTACCTAACATGGAAATCACAGAAATAGATTTAAAGACTGCTGATGAGGGTAGTAAAGAAACTGAAACTGAAATGGATCTAACAGAAAATGTTCCTGAAGAAATTATTACAGAAATTAATAACGATCAAACAACTACAGAAGAGGAAGTGCAAACATTTTCTAGTCATCTATATGACGATGATGAGGTGATAACTATAATTCAAATATTAGAAGATGATAATCAAGAAGCCTACTACAACATTGATATTAGTAGTCCACAAGAACAGGTACAAGAGAGTAGTGATAATAAGAATGAACATGTAGAGCAAGAGGTTCAGTTCCAAAAAGATTTTGAAAACCTTCAATTAACTCAGGCTACTTATCACCCTAGTTCACCTATCAATTCTACAGAGAACATTGTTAACAGATCAGAATGTGTAACACCCGATTTGGTGTTTCCTGCTGAAAATCCTGAAATATTGACTAGGCCTGACCCTAGTTTAACTCCAAGCTCAACAATATCAGATGATAGCAATTCCTCAAGGGTGACAGATCAAGTTCCAAATTCGAATGACTCTGCTGAGTCCTCTCCTTCAGGTGTACGACGATCTAGTAGAATAAAAACTATAAGTACTATGAAGCAAAAAACTAAAGGGTATGGACTAGTGAAAACACCACTAAAGAAGGCTTTAATAACACAAACAAAGTTAAAACTGGAAGAATTAAGCTCAGACGGCCAAGATAAGACGTCTGATGGTCTTAATCAATCAGGTGTTAATCCTCAGACCTTTCCTGTACCTACAGAGATGCCGGTCAAGGTAAAGTCAAGATGGCGGAGATCTAGTGAGTTAGAAATGGGAGCTAATTCCCCAGCAATTTCACCATTAGCAAGCCCAAATTTACCAAAACTTCCTACTGTAGAGGAAAATCAAAATTCACTTGAGGAAGTACAAGAAGTCATACCCCTCAGTAAGGAAGCATATGATAAAATAATTGCGGAAAGGATGAGTCAATATCAGCATTTAGATGAAAATGAGTATATGTGTGAAAGAATGATCAGTAGAGATACAAAGAAAATGATTTGTGACTGTTTCATGACCAAAGACGAGTTAGAGCGAGGTGAACTTGCTTGTGGAGAAGACTGCTTAAATAGATTACTAATGATTGAATGGTAATTTTTTTAATATAATAAGTGCATGAAAAATCGTTTTAAGTATTTCTGCATCCTATATAAAAGCGAAATCCTGTACTATGCGGGCGAGCGCGAGCACATGTTTGTGTCTGTTTCACTGATCAAAAAATGTATCGTTTCCAGGTGATTCGAACCCTGGACCTCGGCTCTTAACGCAATTCGAGGCAACAAAGTGAACCATCAACACATCCTGCATAAGTATATAACTTAATAGAATGAAATAATGTTACAGTAACTCTAGATGTCCTGTAGGAGATAGATGTACTAACAGACGATTCCAAAAGAAGGAGAATGGCCCCTTAAAGGTGTTTTATGCTGATAAGAAGGGCTGTGGTGTGGAGGCCAGTACAGACATTCCAGCGTAAGTGAAGTTATATTAAGTTTATTCCTTTAAACAAGTTTATATGATAAATTAATTACTAAATGATAGCGAAGTTTGCGAAGTTATTAACATTATTATATGCTACGCGTATTGCTTGTGCGTTTTTAAGAGTCTGTGCTAGGACTTAAATGATTCTAGTCAGATCTATTATAAAACCTGACTTATGATATAAAGCCCAAATTAATATGTCATATTTGTTACCAAAACTTGAACATGGAGCTAAGTAAATGAGGAATAAAATGTTTCAAAGTAAGAACTTTACAATTGCTTCATTATATACAGTTTAATTCATATTCAATATCAAATGTGGCCTTACTATAACTTGACTGCCCAATCTCAATTTGTATAAAATATAAGTTTACAATATGTTCTACTATATTCTTAGTATTTTTAATATCGTACTTCTAAAGCCAAAGTATCAATACTCCATTTTGCCAACATATGAATAATTTATACACAACTATCACCTTTTGTAGGGTGTTTATAATAAAACTAAATGATCTGAAATAACAAGTAAATTTTATAAAATAAATATCATTTTATAAAATTTACTTGTTTATGTCATACTATTTTTTAATTTTCTTATTTCCTCTTTATAGGGGCGAGTTTTTAATGGAATATGTTGGTGAAGTCTTAGATTACGAACAGTTCTACAAAAGAGCACAGGCTTATTCTGAAGAAAACAACTTGCATCATTATTTCATGTCACTTAAAGGAGACACAGTTATTGATGCAACATTAAAAGGAAATATATCACGATTTATAAACCATTCCTGTGATCCCAACTCTGAAACTCAGAAGTGGACAGTTAATGGGGAACTCCGGATAGGATTCTTCAGCAAGAGAGATATTGCGGTTGGGGAGGAGATCACATTTGATTACCAGTTCCAGAGATTTGGGTAAGTTTTATATTCTTTAGTCATGCAATGCAGTACAGCATAAACATCAAATAGATCTATGAGATATATAAAAATGTATACTTTAAAAATAATTTGTATCTGTACAAAAATATTTGAATGTTTATTAAAAGTTTGGATTATGTAGTCATAGCAATATATGTGTGTTAATAAAAGGTGGTAAATGCCAAATTTCCAGCTTGTCTGGAGTTGTGAGCGTAACCATATATTCTTTACACGCAGCAAGGTGGCTCAGCGTTGTTACTGCGGCGCAGACAGCTGCCGTGGTTGGATTGGAGCTGAACCGGACTCCGAAGATGAGGACTATGAAGAGGTAACTAATAAAATTACTTATAGTACAAAAATAAAAAATGGACAGCTTCATCACTTTTGCCTTGTAGATGGCATCAAAGCTAGTAATGATTATTAATTTTCATCCTGAATCAATTATGAAATATCAAACATTGATTTTATAGGAGGAAGATGTATCTACGTCAAAGTCTGGTACGACCGAGTCCGAAGAATCGCAGGCGAACGACGCGAATGCCGAGAAACCGCGGGTTCGCGTTCGTAGACCGCGTCGCGAGCGCAAGTACAAGTCCAAGGCTCCAGACTTAGTTCAAGACGCGGATGTGAGTGAAAGCTCTAGTTATTTCTTTCAACTGAATATATATTTCTTCCAAAGATACTATATTAAATAATCACTCCAGGTTTAAATAAAACATTTTAACGGTTTAAAACGCGAAATGTACTAGTAACTTATTTGAATATTATTCTCCATGTGACCACGGCTGCTGGCATCCAAAACGTCGAGCCGTTCAAATAATTCTCAAATAAATTTAACTTAGATATCACGTTTTAAACCATTAAAGTGTTTTATTAAAATGTGTAATACTCGCGTATTGTGCGCCGTTAAAGATCTTTTCTTTATAACTGTACACATTTACAGTTGGTAGTTTCTCTGCTATAACTAACCAATATTGGAAATATTAAAATACAAAAAAAAAATATTATATAATCTCTCTCTTTTGAATATGTCCTCCAGATCATTAATTGAAATTATATTCCTATAGATTGAAGATGACTTGGAAGCTCTTAGCCGTACCGGAATCAAAAATCAAAGTCACACACTACGGCTGTCCCGTACAGTCGTGCGCGCAAAGACGCGACGCGCCCAAACCGCTCTATTACGTCTTTTGAGGGATGCGGACCTGCCGTGTCGCAGACTGTTCTTGGACTATCGGGGTTTGCGATTGTTGGCACCTTGGTGTACGGATGCATCATTAGATTTCAAGTATGTATACATGTTTATGAGGAGATGTACACAGATGACGAGAAATAATACTTTGTTTTCATAATAAAATCAAAAATTAAAGTTTTTAAATAAATACAAACACCAAAACCGTCTGTATAAGTATATTAGTGTATTTAAATGATAATAATGTTTGTATGTACCGTTCTAACAAATATTTGTAATAAAATCTTGGTGATCTAAGGAAGGATGGCGAGCTTCTTGCCAGTCTCGTCTGTAAGATCCTTCTGTTCTAATGTGTAACTTATTGCTAAATTATTAGATAGGTTTTCTTACTTACTCATACTGCATACTGTTAATTGTTGTTAGGTTTACTCTTACCACAATGTTACCAAAATTTCCTCAGTCTATTTTTCTTTGGATGTTGCTTATATTATTATAAGCAACATCCAAATCCAGCATAATGATAATCTTTCAGGTTAGAAATGCTTCAGACTGTGGATCGATTGCCGATACCCAACAAGACTATGGTCCAAGAGACACGTTTCTTCACAATCATAGAGAGGTGGCTCAGTTCTTCAGAGGTGCCACCTGAACCTCCGGTGTTCATTGATGAGGCAACAGGTATTTAAAGAATTACTAGATATGTTTCCTAATGTCTTCTCATCATCGTTAAATATTTTCTGTATACAGACAGAAATGCTGTTCGGCGGATAAATAAATGTGCAAGTAATAAAATTCAGTGTTGACTATATCTAGAGTGTCTTAAGTGTTACAGATAAATTAAGTTAAGCTTGTAAATTAAAACGGCGTTTAATTCAAACCGGATAGAAATGAAAAAAAGTTACTATACTCGCTATCTGAAACAGGCATTAATTTTATCTTTTTTTAAGGTTTACCAGTAGAGCTGGCAAATGGACCTCAAGTGGACGTCGATAAAAGCAAAGAAAACGCCGCCGCTATACTAGAGAAAGTAAAGGATCTTTCTGCTCAGCTTCTAGATCGTTGGTCCAGTTTGAAGGTTAGAATAGCACACACTACTTAACTGCATTTTAGTGTATAATACGTTCAATTTAGATTTATTTGTCTAGTTCACTTTCGTAGAATATAAAACAACTACGAATACGAGATATATGTTTTAAAATGTGTACTTTTAGGAAGTCTTCAAAATCCCAAAAAAAGAGCGTATTCAACAAATGAAAGAACATGAGCGCCAAGCCAACGTTGAGAGACGCGCCGCTGATTCCAGCGGGTCACGTGATCGCGACAGGGACCGGGACAGGGATCGGGACCGCGAACGTCGCGACGAACGCGACAGGGAACGGGAGCGTGACCGAGACAGAGAGCGGGACCGTGACAAGGAGAGAGAAAGAGACAGATACAGAGAGAGGGATCGAGACAGAGATAGGGACAGAGACAGAGATGACAGGGATAGAAGAAAAAGAAGGAGCAGTCCTGATGGGAGACGAAGTATTCGGTATGACAAATTTACTATGTAATCTATATTTAATAAAAATTAGTTTCTTATAAATCTAACCCATGATCAGTTCGTCGAGCTACATCATGGACCTCTGGTCGTGTGTTCGATTTCTCCTTATGACATCATTGCTTTTTAAGCTTAAATAAATTTTAAAATGTATGTTTGACACACATAATTGATGCACCATAACAGCTCGTTACGCCGTTAGGGTTCGAACCCGTCCGTATCATACATTATTGAATCTAAAATCATTCGTAATGTGACAGGTTATCGGACCGCGTGCTAGCCGCTATTCCACCCATGAGCAAAGAAGAACGGCGGCGGGCTTTCGCCGAAGCCGCCGCTGCAGCTGACGAGAATAGACGACAGCGAGACAGCCAGGCCTTCATGCCCTACTGGCCACAAGATACATTTGCTCAGGTCTAATACAGAATGAGAATTTAAATATTAAAACTTATTTTAATATGGAAAATTCCTTTTTAAACTAATTGTTGGTTGCGTAATCGTGTTTTTAAATTGTAAGATAATACCGAGATAATTTAAATTTATTTTATATAACTTTAGTTATTGTGCAAAACATTAACTTTATTCTTTACTATCCCTCTTTTAGACACGTTATATACACATTGCAAAATCTAATAAAAAATACTTCTTTTTCAGATGTTTCCGCAAGGTATGATGCCAGGTCAACCGAATATGATACCAAATGCACCAAACATGTTAGGAAGTAGACCACCCCTATTACCTACCGGTCCTAACATGCTACCAAATGGGCCAAATATGATGCCCAATGGTCCAAATTTGATGGGTGGCCCACCAAATATGTTACCAGGGCCACAGAACATCATGGGGGCACCCAATCTCATGATGCCCGGTATGATGCCAGGCATGATACCGACAGATGTGCCTCCCGAGTGGATTGGCCCGAATGGCGAGTTCCAAGGTCCTCCCGGGTTCTGTCCCACTTTTCCTGGACAACCGTTTTGTATGCCACAGCCCAAGTAAGTATTATATATAGGCATGTTGAAACTTCCTTGACATATGTACTTAAATTTAAATCCTGGATGGAATAGATAATTTTGAGAGCAGTCACAGAGAAAATGGATGCTTTCCTACCTCAATGCACCTGGGACTAAAGGTTGCTTAGCCCAATCATTGTTAGATGGCAAAATGTATCTTTCATAAAAATATACTTTCTTCAGCATGATGGGCATGGGCGGATTCGGCGTGGGTGGCTTTATGTTCGGTCAGCAGATGGCTGGGTTTCCGCCACAACCACAACCGCGACCCAACACACTGCAACCTCAACCACCAATGTTAGACAACCGAGTCCGGACGCAAGCTGAGGTACGACTGATAACCAATCTTCTTATTTAAGTTCAATTTGCGCGACTCAACGATAAAAAACGCGAATTTTATTAACTAATTAATTTTAACGTCGATCCGATATTTTCCTAACCAATTGTTAACAGTAGAACACTCGGCGATTAGGGTTAAGAAACAATTACTAATGTTGTCCTAGTTTTACATTGTTGAAAAAAATTAATTGAGTCTTGTGCTTACAATCATGAATACATGTATGCAATGTGCTCTATGTGTTTTAACAGTCTTCATGTTTATACTGTCCAATACAGAACATCAGAAACAAAGAAACATTAGATGAACAACGTATGTAAAATCACCAGTAAATAACAGCAATATCCCACATTTATGGATACAGTATATCATACACTTACATTGTGTGAACACAATAAGACCGTATCATGATTATATAATATATATATTCGAATTGGGGCCAAAACTCATTCTATTGAAGTGTTATATTTTCAATGTTCTTATATTTTATCAGGATTTAAATACAATAGAGGACGACGACGCTGAACCAGTGTTGCCATCTATGTGGCGTAGTGCTCTCGACAACCGAGGACGTAAATATTATTACCATGTTAAATTACGCCAACCTCAGTGGTTACCGCCCCCACCACCACCGGCCGTACCGGGTTCGTAATTCTTAATATATATTTTTATGATATTTATTATAAATAATGTGTGACTATCCCATTGTCCCTACGGTGGAAAGGGTTTGGGGCAGGCGTGTCTAGATCAAGGCGCAATTAATAGATAAGATCGCTGTGCCCTGCCAGACCGAAACTAATATTTTTCAACCCTACTAAGATAAGAACCCAAGACTTATATTAATGCTTCTAAACATAGAGCTATAAAGCTGCATAAAAAATACTCCGTTCTGATTTATTAAAAGTGTACATAAAAGTATATAATAAATTTAATAAAATATCATGGCGGGTTATTAAATACAATCTATTGTGTTATAGACGATAATAGCTCGTCTGACGAGGAGGCTGAGCTGATGAGTACTGTCGAAACGGAGGTCGTAAGAAAACAAGTTAAGGGCAAAATGGTGGAAGGTGTGAATGGTATTTATGAGGGTGAGTGTCGAAGTGTGTGAAAAATATTCAGAGTTGATAATTTCTGTCAAAACACTCAGGTTACTATTACTTATACATAATACTGTTTTGTTTAAAATTACGATTAAAACAACGTAAATCGAAACTATTTTGATTTAGTTTTTGGACTGATGTGTGTATCAGCATATCTAGAAATAGATAGCAAGAAAAAAAGGTATCTTCATTTTCCAATATTTTAAAAAGATTGGAAATGTTGAAATTAGCCAAGCGATCGATGTAGGAGTATATTTTTTTAATATTTCATAGTTAAGCTAAGTTGTTACGTAAACTTAATTTCGGTAATATTCAGTATTATAAACAGCCTCTATCTAGTATCTGTGTGACAGTTAAGTAAGGCAGTCACACAGTCTCATTCGTCATAATTCCTTTGCAGTGATAAAGGCGGACGCACACAACGGGCTAATACCGGAGCATGCGCTCGTTAGTGACAAGCCGCGTAAGCGAAGGCCGGGTCTCGTTACCGAGAGACCAATTAGTGTAAGTAGAATTTAGGGGTTTTTATTTCATAATTTTACATATAATAAGATAAGATAAGGATAAGATTTTACTACAGGACTCAGCTCTCAGCTTAGAGACAGATCGCCATTATTATTAAAATTATTATTTGAAACGACTGCAGATAATGTGAACGTTTATAAAAAGTAAAAAATCATTTATTTACGTAGGTACCCTTATGAGCGTCACATCAGTTAAAAACTAGACTCCAAATTTATATTTAATACCCTTGTTCCCAAATAAAAAGGCGTAGAACGAATGAGAAGAACTGGCAAGGAATTCGCCGCCACTCTTATTATTGCCAAGTTTCATTTTAGTCTTCACATATTTAATGTGCACTATATATTTTTTTCTTGTTAGAGTGGGTTCCTCCAAACCCCAAGCATTTTTACTGTTTAAACAATTAATACCTACTAAACGTCAGAAAAAATACTTATTTTACTATGTAACATAAAGACACCCTCAATGTAAGTACAAGTGACATAAATGTAGAAATAACTGTTCTAAAATATAGAAAGACTTATTAAAAAATATTCACTTTCAAAATGCATAATTTGGACATGTCTGGACATTCTAGCCACGAACTGAGGAGGACAAGTTAGCTGGTCGAATGGAGGTTAAGAGATATAAACAGACCAAGGAGAAGTTACGCCGTAGACGGGAAAAGCTGCTTCAGAAAGTGCGTCTTATTGCTGCGGATAAGTCAAGATTTGGAAAGGAAATAACACACAAAGACCTAAAGGATCTGAAGGTACAATAACCTTCTTGAATAGAGAGTTGATGATTGTTATCACAATAAGTATAATCCAAGGCTATGGTGTACATGGGTTGTATGATGGCTGATGGATGGATAAATAAAACATTCATTTAGATTGAAAATAATTATTAAAGTATAAGATATTCGATAACGTGTGAGACATGGTAGCTCAATTGGTTACAGCAGCTACACAGATCGTTGTTGACGCCGGTGTAATCCTGATATAATATTTACATGTAGTTGAAATTAAAAGCACTGCATAAACTTAATATTTTTGATAATTATATGTTTCATTGCTATTTCTAGTTTGTGGATTCGGAAGACTCTGATAGCGATTCGGATGCGGATTCAGACATTGTTCAAATCCTTGAAAAACACATTTCTCCGCCTCTATCCGTGCCCGCATCCGCAGCCGTACCCGCACCCGTGCCCGTTGCACAGTCGGTTGCGGATATGGAAGAAGCGGGACGAAAGATCAAGGAACAGTTCCGTAGCAATATGGCTCGTGTTATTGTAAGTAATATACTTATTTTATTGCGATTGATATTCCGATGTTATTTACTATTTATTAAGGTCTAAGTGCCGTTTAATAATATTTCAATTTGCTTTATAGGTGCAACATCTCAACCCCTACCGTCACTCTTCCGCTCCTGCGGGTAGGATAACGTGTACCTCTGATTTCAAACATTTGGCTAGAAAGGTAGGATATCAATTACGAACTACTAATAACTTTGTAATAAGCTAGTATGGCTAGACTCTAAGTCTTATAGCACGGGAGCTTGCAACGTTGGGAAAAAGTTTAGTTAATAATGAGTTTTTTTTTTTTTTGAAATAATAAACTTTAAATACTGTCTATAGTTTACACGAGTAGTACACATTTCATAAAACACTTTAACGGTTTAAAACGCGATGTATATTAGTTAAACTTATTTGAAAATGATTTTTAACTTCGGCCCGACGTTTCAGATGCTTTGCAGCAGTGCGTCTCTTTAACTAATATATCGTGTTTTAAACCATTAGTGTTTTATTTAAATAATAAACTTTGTCAATGCATGTAATGGATTTAAAAAAGTTACGGCACGGGCCGGATTCAGTCAGAAATATTGAACAAAAAGGAATCAGTTTACGTTAGAGGTTAGATTTTGATATTCTTAACACCCATTAAATATCACCACACCAATGTGCCCGTCAAAATTTATCAACTATGAATTATCACTTTCATTTTCCAGTTAACACATTTCGTGATGTTGAAAGAGTTGAAGCATTGTCGTTCAGTCGAAGAGCTGGTGGTGACTGACTCAGTCCGATCCAAGGCGAAGATGTTTATTAAGAAGTACATGGTGAAGTTCGGGCCAGTGTACAGGCGACCCCCAGACGAGGCCGACTAACACGTGTTAAGGATCAAGGCCATGTACGGGGAGCGATTCAAATATCGATAGACATTTCGGGACTTCAAAGCGTCAATTGTACACGAACGATATTAGTGTGTTGAAAAGTGTGAAACTATTACAAATATTATGAGATACAGGTCTCATAAACGATAGGGGAATACTCATTTTCTTCAGTGTTGTGGTTCCTCAGTGGGACATTAAGAATATTGTTTTAAATTAAAATTCCATTATGAATTGCAAAAATTCACGACTCGGGCAGGACTTGCCGGCATCCACAGCCTTCCGTGCCGTTGCTCTAACCATATGAGCTACCGAGGCTACACGTCATCGTCAAATGAATTGTTTTGCCGGTGTTGCAACAATATTGTTATTACCAATTGTAATGAATTTATAAAATACTTTTGTGTTTGTAAAATTATGGACAATATGTTTTTACTCGTAAGTCTTTGCCCAATTGTGACTGGAGTTGACTGTTCCCCTATAGACGTTGTGTCTAAATCCAAAATGACAACAATCTATGCAGTTAGTTACTTGGTTTATGGAGGCGTACAAGCTGGACATTTCCACCGATTTATGAAAAATTCCTTCGGATAAAACAAATGAACCATTGATGTAAATAGCAAATAAGTATTCACGCTGTTTTTGCAATTAAACTTTGGATAGTGAAGCAAAACTAATTTGTTATATAGTCAAGACGATAAGTGCGTTTCGGGTAGGACAAGTTTGTTCGTCGCCTTATCCATTCAACGAAAATAATTGTCTTCAATTATAAAATTAACTAAGTGTAGTTTTCTTCTAACTATGAACCGGCCTGGCGCCAATTCTCAAGAGAGTAACATAAGATTAACCTCCACGTAGCTCGCAAAGTATCTACGTTGAAATTTTAACGGTTTAAAACGCAAAGTTTTATTATTACAATTAACCTACATATTTACATTTTTTTAAACGTTTTCTTATCCCTTATTGTAACGAAACAGATGACGCCTAGCGTAGCAGATTTGTCTTTTACATTAGGGACACCCCCGATTATTGCAAAGAATCCGAAACTTTGGGCCGTAGTTATATATATTTTAAATAAGTTAACTAAATATGTTTCGCGTTTCAAACCGTTAAAAGTATTTTATTTAACTACTCGCGTAAACTAATGGCGATACTTTAACGTCACTGTTTGAGAAGCGTCCCGCTGTTCAATGTTACTTTTGTTTTATAATTTAATGATAAGATAAAACTACAAATAAGACAATGATGTATATATTGAATCTAGCTTCATAAACAAGCTTATTTATAATTATGAGTTTTATAACAATTATGACTTGATAAAACTATTTATTTTATGATGATCTCTGCAATAGGGGGTTTTAAGATAAGCTCGAATATGTTTAAGTACAGTATTAGGCGTGTAGAAGTTCATTTATGAACCCTGACTGTATAGTAAGATTTTTTCAACCATTTGTGTTTAATAATAGCAAATTATTCCTATTATATTCCTATGGCACTTATGTTGTTGGGTTTTAACTTCAAATCGTCAATCATAACTAAACACGATGCACTGTCGGCCTATTTTGGCTTTGGATAAGTTTTTCATACAAATTAAATACGGTAAAATACGTTTAATTTGAATGTGATAAGTATGGCCGCACACTATGTATTGGCGTAATATGTTTACACTCCATAGAGATTCGATCGTGGACCTGAAGATTTTGGGATAAATGTTTACATACCGTGTTTACAATTTAATACATATTGGAGGTTAAGTACTTTTTTTTTTCATAATCGATCAAGTGTTGCCATTGTTAAAGAAATCATGACATTTTCAGTTTTACAGCGTTGATCACTTCGTTCATGTATTGTGGTTATTGGAATGTTTTCATTACTATTATAAAGATAAGTCGCTTGATCTTTGAAAGCCTGTTTAAAGTCCAGTTTTCAAATATAACGTGTTGTATCAGTTCACTTTAGTAGTTTCAAAAATACCTACATGTTCATTTCCTAATGCCCTACGGTGCTAAATTATCTCTTGGTGATCCTTTGGTTTATTTCTCCCTGTATAAACTACCTTAAGATTAACTAATCCTACTTCTACTTTTGTTTCTGAAGCTTGTTGCAAATATGTTTCAGTCTCTACTAGATAAATTTAATATTTTTAGCACATGTTGGCATTATGAATGTTAATATCTATGAAGATACAAAAATTACGTTTCCGGACGGGTATTGAACCGGCATCCAAAGCATCATGTGCCGCTGCTCTAACCGATTGACGCAAAAGACACTGTAGCTCAAATGGTTAAAGCACGGAACACTGGATGTCGGTTCAAAACCCGCTTGTGACGTCAATTTTTTTCAATCTAAATAGATTTTTAATTTAAATATCATTTACGCCCTTCATTACCGAAAATAACCTTGATGGGTTAAGCCTTTCTTATCATAACATACTCATTAATATAATGATAAAACGCTTTGTATAAATCAAAATTAGTTAAGTGGGCTCCGTGTAAATATTGTACATTATTAAGATATAAGTGACGTCTGCTATTCAGTCTGTTCATAGAGTAACTATTTTCTTGTAAGTGAGGAGTAGCGTCATAATGAGAGTGAAGCCGTATGAACAATAAAATGTTATTTCTTTTAATACAAGTTTGTTTCATTTGAGGACGATTGGATTAGGAGTCCTCCAATTGTGCAATGCACTTTTTCATATCTGCAGCCATTTTTTGGCAGACAACTGTTGTCTTCCACGATTTGCAATTCTGAAACAAGGTAAAATGTTATTTCTACACTAATAAACCTGAAGAGTTTGTTTGTACCCGCTAATATCGGGAACTGCTAGCGCTGCGACTAATAGGAGCGTAGAAACAGCGGGAGATGAGGAAAAAAGGGGGAAAATTATTCACCCTTATAGGTCACCGTTGCGTACGCTGAGAAGATACTCAAAAAATATGTATGAAATAATGTTTCCTCTTTAAATGATCTAAAAAAAGGTCGGCTGTCGATCGATCGATATGACTGTCTCTTAAGATTATTTTGCAAGAACTACGGGATGCGGACGACGTCGTGGGTAACAACTTAAATCACTATTCTACGCGGACGAAGTCGCTGACGCAGCTAGTTCTTCGATGTATTACGAATATTGTTTTCAATTGGCTTTGATAGAGATTATTTTTTTTCGATAACCTAATGAAACAAATTCAAAAGTTTCTTTGCCTTTAAGACTTTTGGTATCTGGTAAAATTGAAATCTTGAATATTTTTCGTGTTATGGCATACGATGGCATTTTAAAAGATCACACGGGCAGGACTTGAACCAGCATCTACAGCATTCCGTACTGCCGCTCTAACCAGTTAGTACTTCGTTAATTTCTGGCTTACAGTCAAGACTGACGGATTTAACCGCACCTAACATTGTTCTTTTATGTACATTTAATATTTCTGTATACCTACATATATATTTTACTTGTTTAAGCAAACCCCTGGTCTAGACCTAGTATTGAATAAAAAACGTACTTGGAGCGTAGTGATGTAAGCGCAAATGTAGAAATTCATAGCGGGGCAATGTTCGTCGTCAAATTCGTAATCCTCGTACTTTCCGTCGAAACATGACGATCTTATACTCGATACGACATCCTTTTCTCCAGGAAACTGCTTATCCATATTCGATAATAATTTTAGGCCAGCATCTTCGTCAATTTTGTCATTTTTTATTAGACCCATCTTATTTAATACACATGTGTAATCCGCGCACTGTAAATATGAAACGTAAGCAAAGTAGCGAAGATTATATCCAATTAATTTCGATAAAATTATCACAACTAAGTTTTAAAACAACACCAAGTTTTGTTTTAAATAAGTAATGATACTATATATAAAAATATGGAATGATACGATAAACGTTTAGTAAAATTTGATTCATACAGCTATTCTACTGAATATCGTCTGTAGCTTACGCGAGCAGTAGATATTTAAATAAAACACTTGAAACGTAGGTCCCCACGTGACCATAGGTGCTGTAAATCATTCGAAACGTCGGCATAGTCTAAAAAATAAAAGTAAGTTATATTAGGCGAATATTTCGCGTAATAATTTTTTTAACTTTATTATAAAATGATAGCTTATTAGATTATAATATTATGCGAGATGTTCGCGTTTTAAACCGTTAGAAGTGTTTTATTTAACAATTATAGTTTTCTATAATTTTAAGATTTCTACTCAATTGTTGGTTTAGTGATTAGTATGTTGAATGCAGATCACGGGGTCTTGGATTCGAATCCCGCATTTACTTGGAGTTGTTATCCGCTCTTTATTTGGACCTTTACCAACCCTAAGTTTGGAAGTACACTTCCGTACCACAGAGCAATTTAAATCATAGGCCCCGGTTATATATAGTTGTGGCAAGTGGGTAAGGCCCACCAAACTTCAGTGGAGTAGCGTGGTGAGTCGAGGATCTTAACCTATTGTTCTATATATATGAGACTTGTGTGTACTGGCAGTAATAGGTTGAAAAGATATGTTTATGCTCACGGTATACTCTTTTGAATCCTTTTTTGAGATACATTCTTCATCAAATTCTTCAAACGGCTCCAACATGCTTAAGCTCTCGCAACAGTCTGTTTGCTCCTATTACAATAAATACATTTATATGCACTTTACATAAACAAAAACACAGAATTTCACTTAATTGTTTTTAAAGGTAATCGAATCTCGTACCTCAGATTCAAGTAGATCTATACAGGCATTTGAACTTTCATCGCTTTCCTCCGCTGTAATCTATTAAGACACATTGATTTATATTATCGATATAAGTTACATAACAATCTATAATCTATGCTAATATATAAAGCTGAAGAGTTTGTTTGTTTGAACGCGCTAATCTCAGGAACTACCAGTTCGAATTGGAAAATTCTTTTTGTGTTGGTTAGAGCATTTATCGAGGAAGGCTACAGACTGTAAAACATCGCGCTGCGACAAATAGGAGAAAAGAGATAGCGGAAAATGTTAAATTACATTTTGATGCCCAAAATAATTATGCTGCTTAGATAGTTCCTAATGTTATCTACGAGTAAAAATTTCTTACCGCCAGAATAAATATAGATACAACTACTAACAAAGCACGGTATATTAACATTGTTTGAACTGCTTAAGCTAAATATTAAAAATTTCTATCTAAAGCAGTAACGTAACAGTGTTCTTATGATCTCGACATTATACACATCCCAGCATTTTATATAACATGCGACAATAGGACAACTGCACATAAATTGCTTTATAATTTCGCAAGGGGATAATTTATTTACAAGTGTTAATAATAGACCGCGCGACCTTCGCTTTGATCGTTACAATGGATTATAATAAATTACGTACGGTTGCCAGAAATACGTAACTGAAATTTAGTCATTTTTTGTTGAGCTAGACGGATTCGTAAAATAGTCGTTGGTTCGATTCCCAACGGGTTCCATATTTTTCCAATCAATTTATTATTTTTTTGTTATTTTTGTCTTTGTCTGGAAACCTGGACATTAAAAAGGTGGTAGGAATATCAAAATTCCATCCGGGTCACGAACCACCATCCTCAGTTGAAAAGGCCGTCAAGTGTAATCGCGTTTCGCGAATATCCAAAGCCTAAATAGGTCGACCGCGCATCTTGTTCAGATATTATATTCCTGGGTATTTCACCACCCATCAATTGAACCCCACGCTTGCCTGATCATGAAAAAAATAAAAGACAGACGGTTAAACAATTTTTTTTATTTAACTGTTGCATAAACAATAAGATATTAAGATAGACTTGCTATAATAACAATAATACTGAAAGCTACTAATATTTACTACTTCTATTTACTCATAACATATACCCCTGAAACCGATTGAGTTAGTGTCGGTTAGCACTTTGCTGCTGTCTCCAGAACTCCTCCCGATTCTCCAAGAAACGAATAGCCTCTTCCGCTTGTTTCGTTACCACATCGTTCTTTTTATCCGCTATAGCGAGATCTGGATTCCTTAGAAGGTTTTCGAGGTAAAGTTTATCTGACATCAACTGCCCTAGAATCGGCCGAGATTGCTTGCTGTTCCTCTTGCCGCCCTTCTTCACTTGTTTCACTGATCCGATTGTGTTTTCTATTGCTTCCTAAAATAAAGTTAATGCTATGCATATCACTATAGTTTGTACTTAACATATGTCTGAAAATCGGCGTTGTGCCTACTTCCAGGTACAGCAAAGGTGAGTCTCCATTCTTTTGCTAGGGACCCCTCCCTCCACATACATTTATTTTATTGTATTTTGGTGTTACTTTTTGTATGTGGAATAGATAATTTGAATTGATATATACATTGATTTAATATCAGTGTATACATTTTAATTTATGATGCCCCATTTTATAAGTAATGTGTCCATATTTATTTTTGTCGACCTATTGGGGCTTTAAGTATTTTTTCCATCTGCAGACAGAGATTTGTGATCCGGACGAACTTTCTATGTTCCCATCAACAAATGTAAAGAGCATAATATAATTTTTTGATTTTCAAATTGTATTGTTGTTCGTTATTGTAATGCGTAGGGCATTATTATTAAAGTACTATGTATATTTATACTGACCTGCGCCTTCTGAACCCCGAGTCTGAATTCACTTAAATCGGGCCGCGCACGCAGCCCCCTATGATAATGGACGAGGCTCATTTCGAACTCTCCACAATAGTACAACGCCTCAGCTTTTTGAAGGAGTGCCTTTGCGTGTTTCGGGTCTAGTTTGAGAGCAGTTTCAGCGTCTGTCAACGCTGATCGCGGTTCACCGAGAAGCAAGTAGCACTTACTACGCGCTACATAGGCCGCTTTATCTTCCGGAGCCAACTCTATAGCCTGTAACAAAATTTTTGTTATGCTTTAAAACTGTGATCCAAAGAATCGAACAATTTCCTATTTGAAGAAGTTCTATTTTGACGGGCTACCTAAAAAGCAATGGATCTCTACCGTGTCCAACATGTTGGACCTTTTTGTTTCTCTTTATTTAATGGGCCTTAAACCTTATTAGATTATGTCGCCCAAGGAGACCTAAAATTTACAAACAACTATATTTTTGTTAGACCTCTAGAAACTTAGATTTAAACACGATCGTAGGATTATCGAAATTCAGTTCGGGTCCCGCTTCACCGTCCACAGATGAAAGCCGTCTGTGGATTTCCAGATATTCTAAGCCAAAATAACAGCTCATCTTGTTTAGAAGTTATATATCATCTACCATCAATTAGTGAACTATGCTTGTCTGTACTTCTCTTTTATAAAATAAAAAACTTATTTATCCATATACCACGTATTAGAATAATGTTATGAAGATTAAATCCATAAAACTATCCTTTATACCTTATCCACAAACACAAGCGCGGTACGGTATCGTTCCCTCATCAATTCAGCTCGCGCGAGAGCCAATAGTGTACCAGCATCCGCCTCCACTGGTATCTGCAATGCGCTACTTCTCTCTGCTTTATCCTTCATATTAAGGGAAAGTTTGATATCCTTATATCCCATTACAACGGCCGCCGCGCGATCCTTATCCGTATACAACTCTTCTTGACGAACACGTCTCTCTCGTTTGGGTTTGCGCTTAAATCTCTTCTTGTTAGGCTTAATAGATTCCTTTCGATCCTCCTGCTGCTTATCATCTTCGAAGGATTCGTTCTTCTCAGCGGTGGGTGGGGCTCGTTTGCTAATTGAAGCCTTTGGAACGGGGATTTCTTCTTCTTCATCGCCAACGCCGATTCGGACGAAACTTTGCAAGAATTCCGCGTCCTTTGTTGGTCCAAGAATGGATCGGACCTGGGCTTTCGCGTTATCTTCGCTATCCATGGTCCGCGATATATGCAAAGATTCGTATGGTTATGTAAGGTGTATGAGGAGCCATCGATTTCAACGCCCGAGCTGTTGTTGTCATGGTGACTAAATGTGTTTTCGCACTCTCTTATCGTCCTGACACTCGCCAGTATGCGAGGGTCTTTGAAGAGAAATACGTGATAGTTTTCGTCCTAAGCTCTACATAATGGATGCGTAAAAGTTTTAGTCTAATGTTATACACCTAAAATTTCGTTTCTTCCGTAATCTCTATGTATATGTCTAAATAAAACACTTTTAACGGTTTAAAACGCGAAATTTATTACCGCTAAATAAAAACTACAAAGAAACAGATGGCGCTAGCGTAGTAGATTTTGACTTTGACATTGGGACACCCTCCGTCTTCAGCCCCGTGACCACGGCTGCAACAAATCATCCGAAACGTAGGGTCGCAGTTATAATAAATTGTAAATACGTTAAGTACTATATTTCGCGTTTTAATTTGTTAAAATTATTTTATTTTAACGCGCACTACTCACTGCAGATATTATCTATTTGTCCTTTAAACCAACCTTATCAAGCGACGCAAGAGCTCGCTCATAGTTTCCATTTTTCGTGTGGCCACTGGCTTCATCTCGATACTTTTTCGCTTCCAACGGGTTGCTTAGTTGCTGCTCGGGCTCCTTCCCACGACCCATTTCTTAAAGCTATTCAACTTGCTTCTCAGTACCTTTTACGTAAATAAAAATAGTAAAATAAAAATTAGTTTAGTTAGGAGGACACTTTGTAGCAATATAATATACTAGCTGTGTCAGCGACTTCATCCGCGAGAATCGTTATTTTGGGCATCCAAATTTATAAACATAAGCTGTTAGCCACGACGTCGATTGCGTCCCTTCCCGTCGTTCTTGCAAGTTAATCTTAAAAGATAGACATATAGCGTCGCGGACTTTTTTTTTTAGATAATTTGAAGAGGAATCATTCTTTTATATACATTCTTTAGGTATCTAAAACCGTTTTCGCAACGTACGCATCTGAAACCCACAGAGATGAAACAATTTTACCCGATTTGTTCACATTCCCCGCTGTATCTTCGCTTCTATTAGTCACAGAGCGATGTTTTATAGCCTATAGCCTTCCTCGATAAATGCTCTTACCAACATAAAAATAATTTTTCAATTCGAATACGTGGTTTCTGAGATTAGCGCGTTCAAACAAACTCTTCAGCTTTTTATATTAGTATAGAATAGTAAGATCTGTAGGGGTTCAAACAATTTTACATTCAAGAATAATATATAAATATTTTTAACGGATCTTCGGAGCCGGCTTATCCAAACCGGGTTTCTTGTTAATTTATAAGAATACTGTACATAATACATTACATATGTAATTATATACATGTGTAAATTTTTAACATGATCTTAGCTTACTTAACAAAACTTGTTTAATATCATATAGGTATATGTATATTAGTTATCACCAACAAAACAAGAAATAAAGGCTTTTTTTTATTATTCTTTATAAGATAAAATATTTGCAATGCATGTATGTCTTTTTAATGTATTAATTTACTCCTAAGTATGTATATGCTTTCCCATACAAAGCACAACTTAGAGCCCACCACGCTGCTCCCAGTACGGGTTGGCAAACTTTTACGACTACCGCCACTAAATTAAAAAGTAATCGCGATAGCTTAAAGTATTTACAAAACAAAACACTACTACTAACATTTCGTATATTTTCTAATTGTAACAACGAAGCAGTTATTTTGTATAGATATAGTTTTTTCGTGACTAATACGTTTCCCGAAGAACATTAAATTGATTGATGATATTACCCAGCCTAAATTTGCCTTAAAATCCACTTCGTTCTTGTACAATATTGGGTAAATATTTGTCAACCGTCCATGACTTGATAGATTATGTTTTGGGGCTTCCTTGATATTACTTATGTTTTAAATGCTGACGCTAAACATACATTGATTTGTGTCGTTTATATCTATAGTAATATATACGCTGAAGCTGTTTGTTTAAACGTAGTAATCTCAGGAACTAGTGGTTCGAATAGAAAATACCTTTGTATGTTGGTTGGACCACTTATCGAGGAATACTTCATACCACATCAGGTGACTACTAATAGAAGCGAAAAAACAATGAGAAATAATATGGAGAAAGCGAGAAAAAACTATTCTACGCGATCTAAGTAGTATATATAGTACTAGTATTCAATATAACTTATGTTTTCAATGCTGACTGTAAATTTAAACTGAATTTGTCCTTTATATAAATAAATATATAAACGCCGTTTTTATTCTTCTAACATTTGTTAGGGCATATATGCATCATAGTTACATTCATACATTAGTGATCGATGCATACAGGCCGTTTATATCTCGAGTGCTTTACAAGTATTTTCGATTCGTTATTAAAATGTGGTCTCTAATAGTGAGAAAAAAATTCTGATATTTTTTCCGATTCTATATAAATAAAATACTACTATTATTACTTATTAATAGAAATAACGATGTAAGTTTTCTTTGGATTTTGAATTGCATTTTCTTAAATTGTAAATATTCTAAATTTTAAAATACCGCCGAACTAACTTAGGCTACTATAAATATTTTCAATACAATAAATTAAATAAATATCGCAGTTTCGTAGTTTAGTTTACGTTATTCCTTACTCAAATATGTGCTTTTATAATATAAAGTATACTTCATATTATGAAGTATACTGTATCGCGTTAGAATACGTTTCCTTTAATTGGCTAGCTATTGTTCAGTCGGAAAATGTTGCCTAATAAGTTTGAAACTTTGGCATTCACGAGTCCAATTATTCATGCAATCCGACGGTTCGCTTTTAAAAGTCGGTGCATGTTTTCATCATAATGCAGAAAAAGTACTGCATAACTTATAAATTATTGCCTTACAGAAAGCGTCTCCCATGTTCTGATTTATTCGTGTGTTGGAGATAGTGCCTATAGATACACATGACGTAACTAAGATTTTGTTTGTTTGACGGGCTAACCTCGGGATCTACTGGTTCGTAATGAAAAATTATTTTTGTGTTGGATAGAGAATTTATCAATCAATGAAGGTTTATAAAACCGACCAATAGGAACGAAGAAACATAGGGAAATGTGGGAAAAACGTGAAAAATCATTTATATTTAACAGCTGTTATTTATATAGTAAGCAGCATGTAAAAATAAATTTTGAATCCCAAAATAGCTATTCCACGCGAACCAAGTCGCAAGCAGCTAATTAATAATATAGAGTTATACGATCTATAATACTGTACTAAGACCTTGCCCAAGTTAAACATTACAAAGCCATAATTTTGTTAAGACAACGTCGCTAAGTGACTATAACTACTAAAACTTTCTTCGTGGCAAAAAAATAAAATAAATTGGGTAGGGAATTCATGGGGCATATACGTCTATGTGTCAATTTCACTTTATCGATTTAATTTACAGGTAAATGTTGATCATGCTTCTGTTTTCCCGCGCCTGAAAAAAATGCCCCGGGATTCGAACCTAAGATCATTTATTATTATTACGTTATTCTTTAAAATTTCAATAATTATTTATATTCGTCAATTTTTTTTTGTTTGTCTGTCTGTCCGTCGTGATTTTACAGTGTGTTCAAATATCAAGATAACTGGGAAGAACTTTTTTAACTTTATCTATACTAATATTATAAAGCTGAAGAGTTTGTCTGTTTGATTGTTTAAACGCACGAATGTCTTAACTACATATGAAATAATTGTTTTTTCTATTGGTTAAACCATTTATAGAGAAAGGCTATAAAACGACAGGCAAACGTACAGGTGCGAAGAAACTAAGAGAAATGTGGAAAACACGAGAAAATTATAAATCTTAGAGGGTATCTGTTGCGTGCGCTGCGAAAAATATTTATAGATGAATTATCCTTTCTTAAATAATGTCAAAAAATGTCCGCAATAGTATATATAGGATAGAATGTCTATTTTTTAATATTAACACACAATCTAACCCTTTTTATAGGAAACATTTCGTAACACTTCAAATGGCAAAAACGTTCGACAGGTCAGCAAGTTATTTATAAAAAACAACGCACTTTTAAACCCAACCGAATTTGGAGTTCAGTAGAAGATAAACAAACAAAGGCATAACAAATTATTTTCAATATCAAACGACGTCGAGAAATATGATCGGATGTCGTAAAGGGTTTTACCTGAAATGGCTAATTTGATTATTTTTGTTGTCGTAAGTCACGACCCGTCGCGTGCTTCAACCTAAGCGTAATTTATCGCCCAATGAAAAATTTGTTTTTCCGTTGATATAACAAAACGTATTTAATGTGTTAATCGCCTGTTCATGTAAACTATTAGTGTGACGAATTCTAATCAATACTCGTATGACCACCTCCGTAGCGAAATGATTGAACGCGTTGTCTAGTATTTCGTTAAGCACTAACGTACATATTAGGTACATTGCCAGTGGAGATTTAAAATTTATCGATAAGTTAATTTAAGAAAGTTATAAAATTTAGATTGTCTCAAAAGGCGTATTATTGTCTGATTTCTTTAATGACAAGACCGCCTGGCATATGAATTGCTCCTGTTAATAAATTTACAAAAATGTATTAGTTTATAAGACATGTTAAAGTGTTGTTAGTCTTTGTCGACAGTGCAAGAGCACTCCGCGCAGTGAGAAAACAAATGAATAATATACGTGTGGACACGATAAATAAAAAATACCTGCCACAGATCGCTGAAGATGTCGGCTCAGGTCCCGCACGTGACATCGATTTTATTAACCAATATTTTGGTCTAAATAAATGCAAAACTGTGACAAGCGTAAATAATAAGAAAATTGGAACAAAATTATTTATTAGTACATTATTCTAATACATACCGATTATATAAATCCAATTTGCTACAATCCAGATAACACTGACATAATCGAAACGAAGGAATGGATTTAAATGAAGCTTGCGATCCGAAGTAAGATTAGCGACTAAATAATACGATGAAAGTTGACTTGCTTTAAGGCGTTCTATACACGAAGTCTTATTATTCAAAGTTCTTAAGGGCGGATGAGCTTGAAAGTTTTAAAGCTATTGATTATGATGTGAATAGAAATAGTACGCATTTATGTTTATAATATAAATGTTTGCCAATAAAATGCATAGACAATCCTCCATTTAACGGCCAAGCCACTGCCACTGCATATAATATCTTTTCGTTACTTTTACGTGATCGAGTGTATGAGATGTGTATTAAAAACCAATGGGTATTGATAATCGGTGCTCCTCCTCTACTCTTTGGTGGTGAGGCACATGCCGAGTGCTTTACCCTATTTCACAAGCTTTCTTCTTTTCTGTCTTTCTTTTTTTTAATGTAGTTATTAAGCTAATATTTAAGCTATCTATGTCTTGTGATTTGTTTGAGTTTTTTAAATTTTTAATATCATGTTAAAATCTGAAAACGTTACCATATCAAGGATGTCAGTACATAGGTAAAATAATTATTTACCTAAGAAACACAGTAGGTACGATAAGTATTTTATGTTGATTATGTAATCCTACAAATACAAAGATAAATAAGTTAATTCCCTTCTTTCCTCGGGACACGAATATAGCGTGCCGTTTATAATTTTTGATAGAAAGAAAAATAAAATCGCAATTACTGACTTTCAGAAAGTTACGCTAATTGTTACGTTGCAATACAAGGTAAAAAATATTTTCTGGCACAGGGGCGTAAAAAAATTATGATGCTTTTTCCAGACTCCTTTTTTAGTATCCATTATTTTTTTCGTTGTTGATTTGCTTTTCTGCAGCTGGGAATTTTAACTATAAACAAGGAAAACTAAGGGTTATGTAAAAGTAAGGAAACACAAATATTCTGAACCTAATGATTTTACGTTTGAAATGGTCTAGCTTATCTCAATTAGCTTTTATTATAATGCAATAGAGTTCATATTGTAATGTTATACATTAGATCCGTTTTGTTCTTCGATGTTTTGCACGCAATGTTGACAGTGCTATAAAAATAATTAATGCATTTAGGCAGGATCGGCCGATTACGGTAGCGATCTCTAATGGCTGTCACAGTTGGCTTTTAGACAACACGATCATTGAGGTTTTTTTTTATGATAGAGGACGAAAGAGACAGAAAGAGAGAGACGGAAATCCGTAGCCGTAAACCGAAACGCGATTTATTTTTATTTATTTATTTACTTTATTGCACAAAAAAAATGAACAAAAATATAAACTTATATACTAAATATATGGGGTGCAATGGGCGGCCTTATCGCTAACGAGCGATCTCTTCCAGGCAACCCAAGATGAAAGAGGAAAAAGTTTACGGGAAAACGAGATGTGCAAGGTGGGCGAAACTTTTTTAACTTTACGGTTTCTTAATTTGTGTACGGTGTGTCGTAATCCGGACGGAATTTCGGTATTTCCCCATTTCATATCAAGATATCCAGTCGTAGTCCAAGACGTCTCAAAAATCTTATAAAATGATTTAAAACAGACCAACGATCTGTCAAAACCGTCTCTCCTATGTTGGGTTAGGATATTCTATAATCCATGGTCTTATACGTGGATTTAAACTTCAAGGATCTCCAACGGTTGTGGTAGGATTTTTATATAATTTAATATTAAGAAATTCTCGTTGACGTGATTATTATAATTATTCGATAATTCAAAATCATGTTGAGAAACTGTATCGATATGTTGATGAATGATGATGATATAGTATACAGAAGTTGTCCGTTGTGTATTAGCCATACATCACCCGGCTACCCAGTCCGTCAAAATTATTTCCACAGGACAGTAACGTCTCTTCTCTTTTATAGGTATTACTTAAAATAATCGAAATAAAACACAGCTACACATCAAAATACATTTATTTGAGTAATATTTGGTAAGTTTTTTTGTTTGTACACAAAAAGTACAAAAAATAGTTTCTGGTTGCTATAAAAATATCGCTAATTTATCCAGTTTTTAATATACATATACCTACATATTAAGTTATACAAAACAACCAAACGATTAGGAAGGTCTTCAACATTTGTCAATCGAACATTTGTGTAGATATTATCAAAATGTTATTGTTTTACATTACGATAATATTTTTTTAATTGTATTTTTATACAAACTTAAACAATACTTTTAAATAAAACACTTTAATGGTTTAAAACGCGATATGCTAGTTTAACTTATTTGAAAATGATCAGCCGTGGTCACGGAGAGACGGCTGCTGCTAAGCATCCGAAACATCGGGCCGAATTTTAAAATCATTTTCAAATAAATTTAACTAATATATCGCGTTTTAAACCGTTAAAGTGTTTTATTTAAATGAGTACTACTCGCGTAAACTATAGACAGTATTTGTATAAAGCTTTCACGCCTGTTTCACGCTTTGATGTCATACAAACATCTGGTATGTTCTGTTCAAGCTTTCTCTGAAGCATCGAAGCTGGCAGGTGTGATAAGTGATTCTAGGCAACTCGTGCCTGTGGTACGTTTGATACTACTAGCACGATCACCACAACTGCTTGCCATGGCCATCAAAAAAGGCTTTTACGGCTAATTTGCCTTATAACTTGCATTTCAAGCTGTGCGTCAGTTGTACCACACAACATTTCTTGAACACTGTCCACTCGTGATAGCGAACATCAAGAACCATTTGTCGACGGCTATAATATATATAATAATTATAATATTTTTCGCGCTTTATTATCATTTAACAACTATCAATGGCGAAACATACTTTGATATAAGCTTTTTTTTATTATAATGCTCACATTTAAATATTTGTAGCTTTTAATTTGTCTCACTGGAGAAGATAATTGTTGGTATTGGAGTTGCTACATCCGCTCTTTTAATATCCGGGGACGTGCTTCGTTCTGAATACACTCGAGAAGGCTGTAACGAAATTATTTTTTCATTGCTGTGAACTTAGTTCTTTCTATACTAAATTCTAAGTAGTGAAAATCACAAGAAGAAATATTTGGAGGAATTGAAATTTAAAAGAAAAGAAATCAAAATATTAAAATTAAATTTAAAATACCTATTTAAATAAAACCCTTTAACAGTTTAAAACGCGATATATTAGTTAAACTTATTTGGAAATGATTTTTAACTAATATATCGCGTTTCAAACAGTTAAACTGTTTTATTTAAATACATATATACTACTCGCGTAAACTATAGACAGTGTTTAAAATACCTATTATCTTTGTTATATTTAGAGTTTTTACCTTATCTTCAGAGACCATTGAGAGTTTCCTTTTAGAAAGTGCACTAGCCGATCTCATTCTCCTTTCGGTCGCATTACTATCGCCACTTCCACCACTTCTTCTCCTTCTTTTTAGACCTGAGTCTTCTCTCTGCTTTGCTTCTATCGCCATTTTCTGTTTTGCCTGCCTAGCCGCGTTTTCCCTTATAATCTGATCGGCTTTACGTCGTAATATCTGTTCAGCTTCCTTGTGATAGCTCAATGCTGTATCCAAATCGTTTCGAGACAGACCGAATAAAGTGGAATACCCACGTGAACTAAAAATATTAATAATTATTAAGACTGTGTGCCGATTGGAAATGTTTATAAAAAATTAAGCCTGGCTTTTATATTTAAAGTAATTATAAAGTTTATTTTTATTCTATTCCTTATAGCTATCTTATTAATTAAATACTTAACATATCTTAACAAATATTATGTTAATAACACAATAAAAAAATGGAAAAATGACATTGACAAAGATGCATGCATGTGTGTGTATGTGTGACTTGGTTCCACTTCACAAAAGCTCGAACAAAGTGAGTAGAGCAAAATTAAAAATCCCTGCGTAAGTTTGCTATGTAAAATTGCATTTAAAATGTGGAAGAAAAAAAAATTAACAAATTTAAAGTATTTTTTTTGTGAAAATATGTTTTATACTCTACCGTACAGTTGCCGTCCGTCGCCTTAACCCATCAATACCAAGAAGACTGATCTCACCAAACACAGAACCCTCGCCCAATGTCACGAGCACTTCTTTTTCATCTGGTGACATGACCTTGTGGAATTAACAAAAAGTAATATGTAAGTATAATTTAATATTTGCAGCTTTTCCTAAATGTGGGAAAATCTTACAATAAGACAAATTTTACTAAAAAACTAGCTGTGTCCGTGCCCTCGTCAAGTGTCAACGTCCTGTCGTTCTTGCAAGTTAATCTTAAAAGATAATTTAGATCATATAAAAATGGATTATCCTCTAATACATATTTTTTGCGTGTTCAAGACCTTTTTCGCAGACCACGCAACGGACACCTTCAAAGGTGAATGATTTTCCTATTTTTTTTTACATTATCCATGGTTTCTCCTAATTATTGCAGTGTGATGTTTGTCCTGATAAATATTGAAATTTAAACTAGGAATTCCTGAAATATGCGCGTTCGAAAACATACACTTCAGCTTTACAGTTTTTGTATACCTAGAAAGAATTACTTAAATTTGCAAATTCCAATTTAATGTCATTTTATACAAATGTAAACTTACAACGCATTTCCCAGTTTTTATGATATACATCTGGTGACCAACATCACCTCGCCGCACCACCACATCGCCTGGTAAAAACGAGACTGGTCTTAATTGCAGCACTAAGTCACGCAGCAGTGATGCGGAGCAGTCCCGAAAAAGTTGTACCTGTGTTCATAATACATATAATTTAAATAATGACGATAGTCAGCACTCAAATAAACAGGTATGAGGAATTAAAGGTGCATTGTTGAAAATTATTTTCAAATAAGTTTAACTAATATATCGCGTTTAAACCGTTAAAGTGTTTTATTTAAATGTGTACTAAGTACTCGCGTCAACTATATACAGTGTTGTGAATATATTCCATAATTGTTCAAATTGTTAGAACGCTTTATTAATTTCTTTAATTTTGTTTATTAATTGTTGTAATAAATATGGACACATTCATATCCTTAGCTTATTTCAATAAAACACTTTTACGTTTCAAAACAGATGGCGCTAGTGTAGCAGTTTTTACTTTGACTTTAAAGACCTCCATTACCTCATTCCCGCAAAATCCTCCATTGTTAGTCTACCCACGACCATAGTTGCTGCAAAGCAGCGGAAACATCGCCTCGTGGTTGATAATAATAATTTGTTTAACCAATATATTTCGCGTTTTACACCGTTAACGTGTTTTTATTAAAATGTGTATTACTCACCTTACTCAAAGTGCTCATGTGGACCTCAAGTGCTACATCGCGTTTCATGTTGTACGGTAAAGAATTTAGGATTCTCGCTTCATCTAAAAGACATACTTTATTATTGATCCATCTAAATGTAATGTACTTAAAACCAAAATAGACTTACCAAAACAACGCTGCTGTGCCCAAGTGTATTTGAACCAGCAAGTGACACGACGCTGGAGGCTTACTGGCATGTTCAAGCTGCGTAAGTACCGGACGCAACCATCTACTTTCTTGCGGTACTCTGTCTGTATTAAAGTAATTGTTCAATATACATATTATAATAAAGTACCTGTGTCAGCGACTTCGTGCGTGAAGACTACTTGGCCATCAAAATCATCACGCACTATACGACCAAAAAACGAGAATTTTTTTATTATTTTAGGGCTTCCGTTGCTTCCGTGCATTGCGAAAACGATTCAAGAATGATTCTTCTTTAGACGGTGTAAAAACGTCTGCGTCAGTACATTTCTATTTGTCAAGAACCGTTTTTATGATAATCTTTGGTCGAAATTATTACATATAATGCAATACATATAACCAATCATTTCTTAGAGTTCTCCCAATATACTAATATTTAAAGCTGAAGAGGTGCAAAAATAAATATAACAGCCAAAATAACTATTCCATGCGGACGAAGTCGCGATCACAGCTAGAAGTATACTGTATATATGTAGATTATAGATTACTGCTTAAAACCATGGACGTGAGGTGAGAACTATAGTTTCGAAATCTGGGAAAACGTAATTAATGGTTTCAGTAAATAAAACTTCTTACCTGCATCAACCATCGATCGAACAAAATGATAATCTCGAAAACACTTTTTGATTAATAAGATGGAACATTGAAACGGTCACGCAAATATGTCTGGGGAATTTAAACAAAATTCTATACACTATTTAGAGTAAAAGAACCCTTCTAATAGTGCTTTATTACAAACTCTATCAAAGAAACCTAACGAATACTTAGACTGAATAAATAACTTTAATTTATTGCTTACTTTCTGCCTTGTAGCTGTCGCTATAATATCTCGTATCTGACCGATGAGCAATGCGAACACGAAAACGCCCATGAGCCACGCAGCTGTCATGAATAAATACTCCCAAGTGTTACCTGGTTTTGGGTTTTTACCTACAATTTGATAATTAATAATTAAATAATCTAGTTTATTCGGGTAGTACACTTTTAAATAAAACACTTTAACGGTTTAAAATTTGAAATATATTAATTAAATTTATTTACAAATTATTTTGACTACGGCTCCACGGTTTTACGGGGTGAAAGAGAGTTCAGAGGTCATGCGCGTAAATAAGTGTAACTAATTTATTTCGCGTATAAAACCGTTAAAGTGTTTTATTTAAGAAAAGTATTTCTAAAGCTTAAATCTATTTTTATAAACAATATTAATTAATATGTTTAGTAAGTTGCTCAGCAATCTGATTGCTTAATTTTACCCGACGATGGCGAAGAAGTTTATGCATGTACGCGTTTGATATTTTTTAATATTGACATAGTTTTCATAACGGAAGTAACATTATAATTATATAAACATTATTATTCTCTCTTACCGATAGAAGTAGCAGTCTTTGTAGCGAAGTAGAAGCAGCGGATGTAAGCATTTCCCTCATTGTCATAGACCCAGGAATTGGAGCCAAGACCAATGTAGTCACTGATAGCGTAGTACACGCAGGCATTCAAATGAATCAAGTAAAAAATATAGAATAATGTCTTTCCTATTCTCACCTAAAAACGTAATTTTTAAAACCTTTAACATTTTTCACATGACTGCACTAGATAAATTAAAAATATAAAATAAATTGGAAAAATGTACGACTCTCGGCAGGCCTTGAACGGGCAACATAGGACACGGTAGCTTAATTGGTTAGAGCACAAAACGCTGTGGATGCCGGTTCATGTCCTGGTCGTGTTGTATTTGTTTTTTCAATCTAAAATTGTTTTCAAATTTATATAGTTGACTAGTTCATAAAGAGATTTGAAAAGAGAGAGACAAACCACATATGGAGATGAGAGCACGCGGTCCATTGCTTGGTGGAACTCCCAGAACGTTTGTAGTTTTAGTAATCTGGGCCATCGCAATATCACCATTTTCGTCCCAAAAAATACGTACAGTACATCAAGAGGCAAGAGAGCAATTACGTCGAACTAAAACAAAAGACTTTTATTACTAACTTCCTTAAAAAATCCCATAAAACTTCTCGAGTTACCTTATATTGTGTCTTCCTCTTGTAATGCTTCCTAGTTTCCTTCTGGTCCGTGACCCAAAATCCTTCATGAAGGAATATAAGTCGGGGCTTTACGAAAATGACGTCGAGGAAATAGATAATGTCGCAAAAGTAATCAGCCGTTAGCCATACGGGCAGGTTCTCTGGGGTCTGGTAAGGGAAGGTGGCACGAAGGGCAATAGACCATGCATTATAACTGTAGCAAAACGTCACCAGAAACAACCATGTGATATATCCTCGACCTGATAAAATAAAAGTAAAGAATAATAACCAATCATAACAAGTTCAAAATATGTTAGTAACAGCGCATGTAACTACATTAAAAACTAGGTACAAATTAAAAATCAATTTTAGATTGAAAAAAAATTGCGACACAGACGGGAACCGAACCGAAACCGCCCGTCGACATCCACACACTGGACAGCCACCGCACACGGTAGCTCAATTGGTTAGAACAACACGATGGGCTGTCAATACCGGTTCAAGGCCCGTGTTTCCAATGTAAAATCGATTTTCAATTTATATAATGTACCATACTCATGTACCATAGTAACATTTGAAAATCGTTAAAGTTTTCTAACTACATATAAATAACAAAATTAATTAAAAGAAGCTGTCTGTAAGTCCTTTAAAAACCTTTGGTTTAACCAAGTTTAAAAATGTCTTCAGTGATTTTAAAACGTATAAATCCACATCGCGATGCCCAATAGAAGTGATAACGTGAAGTAATAAATGTTGAACTCATTAATATAGAATTGAAAGCCAGATAGACTTAGCATAACGCATTACATAACAAACAATCCTCTCTTAATATTTCCCTACAAGAAGTTCACATTTTATGAAAAATAAATTGAAATACCATTTACCCTCAATATTGAAGAAATAAAGATTCCGCAAGCAAACCGGAAAGTTTGAAGGGGCACAGTGAAAGTTGGATTACCCCAAGAAATGGGGAAATGGCTGAAATAGTCACCAGATAATTTCGACTGATAATAATAACACCCCCAGCGTTCAAAGTACTTTTTTTCTACAGTAGAGTACAATTAACACTTTTCTATAATACGATTATTGTTGCTTTACGATCTATCAAACAACATCTCTTGGAGCGGATAGTTAATAATAATTGGTTTCCTACAGTGCATGGAGTTCAATTAAACATAATTGACGTCATAAAAAGCTATATGTTTTGCTAATACTAAATACTACTATTTTGATTGCTTATATTGATAACAATATAATTACCAAATACTTAATTTATTAATGAGTGTTTATTTTTGTTATATTTGTTTGTTTAAACATGCTAATCTCAGGTCTTCAGCTAACTCGTTCGAATGAAATTATGAGGAAGGCTTAAAGCCTAAAGCCTTCATATAGCCTTATAACGTCATGCCGGAACCAATAGAAGCGAAGAAACAGTGAGAAATGTCGAAAAAACTATTCACCTTTGAGAGCTTCCGTTTTGTAAACTCTTTAATTAGTCATAAATAAATATATAAAGCTGAAGAGTTTGTTTGTTGTTTGAACGCACTAACTACGGAACTACGGGTTAGAATTGAAAAATTTATGGAGGAAGACCATAGGCTATAAAACACCGCGCTGTGACTAATAGAAGCGAAGATACAGCGGGAAATGTGAACAAAACGGGGGAAATTTTTTATCTCTAGGGGTTTCAGATGCGTGCGCTTCATAACACTTTTTGGGTGTTACATGTATGAAATTTCTCTTTAAATGATTTAAAAATGTGTCCGCAACACTATATGTCTATCTTTTAAGATTAACTTGCAAGAATGACAGGACCCGAGCGACGGGACGCGACCGATGTCGTGGAGAGCTTAAATTGATATAGATGTAGAGGTTTGCAAAAAAACAAATTTTGATGCCCAAAATAGCTGTTCCACGCGGATGAAGTCGCTGCTTGCGATTAGTTTTTTATATGTTTCGTAGCAATGAAAAAATATATGTACACTAATTATAGTAGTGAATGTAATGTGGAAATGTAAAGAAGTCTTACCTTGCGGATCAATAGGTATATACGGGTCAAATAAAATGGATAAAGCTTGCTTAAAACCTTTGCATTTCTTGAACGGCGACGTAGGAATCGGACTCTGTGGTGATTCTATCGGTTCTATTTTATCCTCCGAGTTCCTATAAGGGATAACTAATTTTATATAAAGAGGACACACCACATCACTAACATAAAATATTTCTTAACAATATTTTACTTTTATATTTTATTACAGTTTTTTTTTATTAAAAATTATAGTCACCATTTAGAAAAATTGCTAGAAAAATAGAAAATAATATAGATCAAACACAACAACAGCATAACGTTCATCGTTACTTCAATTAATTACCATAGTTTACCCAAATAGTGCACATTTAAATAAACCGCTTAAACGGTTTAAAACGTGAAATATTTGAGTTTAACTAATTTGGTAATTATTTTAACTACGACCAGATGTTTTATGCTTTGCAACAGGCGTGGCCGTTGCACGTGTTTTATTTAAATATCATTAAATGTCTAATCTACAAACAGTTTAATTACAGCCTCCTTCGAAAGTAAAAAATAAGTTATGAAAATGTAAGAATTAACTATTTACTACCGCTTACCGGTGGTGTAAGGGTTTTTTTGCTTCATCAAGACTTTGCAACTCAGTTGCAGGATTTACCAATTTCGGTATTCAAATGTCTCTGTGATGAAGTTTCAAATAATCGCACCCGTTTCTCAATTAAAAATATTGCCCTAAAACATAATATAGTAAGTAAAATAATATTTTTAAATTATTATTAATAATCAACTAAAGTAATTATTAAAAAGATACTTACGCCTTGTCCTTTTCAAAATTTTCATCTTTTATTATAGACTTTGTTTCGATGTTTGAATGAGTTTTTCTTACTCTAAAAAAAATGCATACAACGGATTGTGAAAGCTTAGGAAAAATTTGATATATATTAACAATAAAAACAAATTAAATTAAATTATTCTTTCACATTCTAACAGTCAAAATGGTATTCATAAAAATTGGTCAATATAAACGTACAGATTGTGACATGGCGATGAGTCTGGAGTACCCCACGAACCATGCGAGACTCTTGTAACCTGAGGTACCTTCACAGGAGGTTCTGCTCTTGATGACGATGGGTATACGGTGTGCTGAAATTATTCAGTTTCTATAATTCAGGAGAGCTTCTACACCAATATAACAATCAATACAACAGGAATAAAGTAGTCTGTATTAATAGTTTTTTAATATTTATTCCCAATATTTATTCTGTCAGTTATTTGTATAATATGTTTAATCCCGTTCCCCCCGTGGATCTCAGAGCGAACAAATTTCAGTGTTCGTTTCACTGATCGCTTTTTTTTTACAAGTAAGTAATTGACAGAGTTCTGTGTCCTGCCCGACCGAACGATCCCGAATCCAGGACCTCCAGCGCAATGCTAGGCAACACGTTTAATTATTTAGCTATAATGGTCAAATACTGTCTATAGTTTACGCGAGTAGTACACATTTAAATAAAACACTTTAACGGTTTAAAACACGATACATTTTACGTTAATCTTTTTTGAGAATTACTTTTAACTACGGCCCGACGTTTCGGATGCTTTGCAGCAGCCGGTCACGGGGGGACCACCCGTTACCGGTAAACCGTTAAAGTGTTTTATTTAAACATAGGAATGGTTATTATATAAACTTAAAAAGACAAGGAAATACATTCACATTCAAAATCAAAAAATTGATAATGTATAATAGTAAATTAATATGCCAAGCTTGGAACTTAACGAGAGGCTTATTATTAATTGGTACTTAGTAACTAGAGTTTGTATCGACATCTATAACTTATATGTCAACAATAACGAATTACAAGCATCGCCCACCACTATACCGTTAAAACTCAAGGAGTGCACATCGTTTCCACTTTTACGACTTCTATAAAAATGACCGTAAAGCGCTCGCCATCGTGTTCGATGTGGACACCGCGTTATTGGCCATAGTTTGGTAGTGCGTAATAAAATTCTCGTAAAGCTAAAGTAGAACTCATAGATGTACGTATTTGACATATCTATACTATAATATTATAAAGAGTTTGTTAGTTTGAACACGGATACGAATAAGAGCGTTAAAAAAGTGAAAACGTACTTCTTTGAGGGCGTCCGTTACGTGCGCCGCGAAAACGATAAAGTAAATCGAAAACTATGTATAAAAGAGTGATTCTTCTTTGATTAAGTGATATTTTAAGATTAACCACGCAAGAACAACGCGAAAGGACGCGTATGAAGTCGTGGGTAACAGTCATAACTTTAAAAGCTGGGGAGGTTCTTTGCAAAAATAAATATGGTGCCTAAAATAACAGTTACATGCGGACGAAGTCGCGGACACATCCTATGGAATATAATCTAAATACTTATGATGTGAAATATGTTACTTTTTTAGTTTTAACATCTTCTCACTATATTACAGCAGCGGTGGTCACAGTCTGTCTGTGCCAAACATTTGTTAATATAAGTTTGCGTTTAAAACCGTTAAGAGTTTCATGTTATGTATAACGATTCCATAAATTCCGAATCACTTGCGTCATAGATATTATAATATTTACTCTCGATTCTTTTATTTTATAGATCATTGTTTCGTTTTCTTAAATGGGAAAGCATTTAAATTATAATTCAAATCACAACGTAATGGAGGTTAATGGACCAACCTTGTCCCTACTTGTATTACTCAATAATAAAGGTACCTAAGTATTTTTCATAATTCTTATTAATATTGTTTTTAAGTAATAGTTTACGTAAGACCACAATTGAAAGAACATTTAATATTAAAAGGGTGTTGATGAAGGTTTGAAAGTAAAAACCACCGTTCATGAAAAAACCGTGAAGTTTAATCGTGTTTCGGTTTCAGCCTATGGGATTCCGAATATCCAAAGCCAAAATAGGTCGACATGCCATCAGTCCTCCTCTATCATAAAAAAAAAATCTTGAAGGTACGTCACAATTTCCGCAAGGTATCTAAATATCTGTGTACTAACCATTATTATTCGAATGTAAAGTAGTTAGACTGTTTATATTTAGAATAATTATAGTAAAATTAGTAAGAAGAAATTTGAAGAAGGTGTCTTCACCAGCACCGTAGTGGACTTGGGTGAAGATCTATTATAATTTAAGTATGGAATAATATTTTTTAACATTTCTACGTCATCCGACATCCATTTGACGTGGTTTTACGGAACTCATTTCGTATCTAGCCAGCTATACCTAATTGCGTGTTATGGGCGAAGTCAATTACTTACTTATCAGGTGTAAACAAAGGATCGTTTGATAAATTAAAACAACAATTTACGAGATTGTGGAGGATAATTGACTACGTATTATGGCCATTTATTTCAAAGAGGCTTACGAACTAAATAATAAAAACTTCATCCACAAAAACAACCTAATATAAATAAAACACTTTAACTGTTTAAAACGCGATATATTAGTTAAACTGATTTGAAAATGATTTTTAACTTCGGCCCGACGTTTTGGATGCTTTGCAGCATCCGTGGTCACGGGGAGACTAAAGATGGAGGATGTCTCTGACGTGACGGCTCAGACTGGCCCGGGTATACATTAAATTCACGTTACGTTGTATAGATATTATTCTAAACACTATCAAATTTTATTCTTTAAAATGATTTATTAATTAGTAGATAGTAAGTTTTGTAGAGGCGTTTTTTATAGTTTTTAATGTTTCATTAAAGTATCATGTACGAGGTTGTATCTCTTTTAGATCAAGAACCAAGGTTGACAAAATCCATATTCAAAAACGTATTTGATATTCATTCACATGACTGCGGATTTTTAACAGCCTCCTTTTTTAAATTGTGTAGTATACTTTCGTCTTTACGGGTTTTGTCATAAATGTGACGAGACCTTACCTTAATCGATATGTTGCGCTCATTATCATTAGTCGCAAGATTGCGTGATCCATAGCAATAAGGTGTTAGTTAAGGCTAAAAGCCTTTCCATTAATGAGCGCCAATGTACTTATGACAAATTAATTTAGACTAAACTTAAACGTCAAGAAGTAATGCAGCCAAGTTGAAAGTTTTTTTCATTAATATAACAACGTCAGAATGGACAAGATAGAGATTATAAGTAGGAAGTAGTATGTTTAAAAAGTTTTTTTTTTAATTCGACGAGGTGTGAGACTCGATAGCTCAATTGGTTAGAGTAACAGCACGGAACGCTGACGATGTCGGTTCAAGTTATGCCCGAGGCGAAATTTTTTTCAATTTATTTTCGATGTTTAATCTAAGTAGTATGTTTTCAAATTAATCAATGTTTTTAAAACCTTCTTGTATGTTTTACCTATCCATTTAATCAAAATCATAATTAATTATTCATAAAAAATTCCTTATAATTTTGTTAATTTATTTATACGTCCATTATACGCAATCCATCGAAATATTATTACATTAGATATAACATGTTTTATAGCTTAGGTTGTTTCCTAATAAAAGAATATATACGATATTATACACTATACTTCGCTCCACTTACCACTTCCACTTTTATTTCCATTTCCATTTCTAATAAAAAAATCACTTATAACTATTGGTGTGCGTCTAAATGCCGAATCGTAAAGATAACATTTCTGTAAGTAATAGCGCGGGAGATCCGGAAAACTGTCCCGTTCGAGACTACGTCCCTTTGTTGACTGCTAAGAAAATTTAGGCGTGCTCAACTCAAGTGTTCTAAGTTTTTCTGCGAGGATTTCCTCGATCTATGTTTCCTTCGCTTAGTTAAGCTGGCCTTTATGTATTTTTTTTAATATTTGTTTGTTTAATATAGTTGGACATAGAAGATAAAGAGTATAGTATTATTGTTTTTCAAGAAGGGGGACAATCAAGGCGATCACTTAATATGGAAGGTGACTTTTTACTATCGAACGACGAAGTGGGTAACTATTCCTTTATATTACATACTATCGTTAGGTTTAAATTACCTACGTCGATTATTATTTATTGTAGAAGTATAAAGAGACTACTTACGAGTAAGTATCATAAAGTCCCATTTTTTAGAAGGTCACAATCTATATATTAGAATAAAAATATGCATTATCCTACTCCTTTTTCCCTGCTACAGTATTAATAATAATTATTAGCATTCCATATACGTATTTTCTTATGCAATCCCGTCACAGCACTCAATCTCTTAAATCATTTCAAGACTAGTATGTATATTATAAAATATCACAGCATTTAATACTTTTTATAACAATATCATACATTATTTTACCTTGTGTTAATTGTAAACAAACATAATAAAGTATTTTTTTTTGTCTGTTTTAAATGCAAAGAAATAAGAATGAAAATACATACCTATTTATATCAAATTCTATTATTAATTTGTAACATTAAACAAACTGTCTATAGTTTACACGAGTAGTACACATTTAAATAAATATAACGGTTTAAAACGCGATACATAGTAGTTAAAATTATTTGAAAATTATTTTATAAAAGCAGTTATCTCTGTAGTAATTTTAAAAAATTGATGAAAAACTTACCCCCTTCAAAAAAGTACTCAATCCCATTATTATTACTTTAACTCGCTGTATTGCTATGCATATGTGCTATTTCTAGAAGGTTAGCAATTTATTCTCTGTAGAACTAAAAAATCCTCAGAGAACCTGTCAATCACACTGCACATGTCCATAGGAAATGTCTTTTGCAATCCATTGATTTAAAAACACGACCCTAGCAGTCATTATCTAGTGTAGAACATTCTTCGTCCTAAGTAAGTACAATGTAATTTGGTCGAATTATACAAACGGGGTGTCAACTAGGGAGGCGAAGGTGTGTGTAAACATGGCTGAGGAGTGGAATGGGCATGATGCCCACAGCAACGTAATTCTGGTATTTATTTTTAAAATATTAAGGTATTGTAGTAACTTCCCTAGCCAGTGTATTCATCTTAGAATATCATATCTTCTTGTGAATTACCACAATTGACTCGATGTTAAAACTTCGTCCTTTTTCCCAAACTTAATTATGTATCATTAGTAATACCATTTTAAAAGCAAGAATAAATATGGAACTATCTAAAAAAGCTATAGGAATTTAGCATTATAATCTAATCTAATCTAAGCACAGCTAAACAAATATATATGGTACATAAGATATAATAAAATTGTATACTTTATCGTATTTATTGTTACTAATATCCTAGAAATTATAAATAAATCGCGCCATACATAAAATATCATTTGAAATTGTCATACCTACGATTTAGACCATACCTGAAAAATCTCACAAAAAAATTAAAAAATATACAAAATAACACGTAAGCACACAAAAATTAAACAATTATTTAAAAAAAAAACATTATGACTTTGATCAATGTGAAAAATAAAAATAAAAAAGGAACTCCACGGCGGGGAATCGAACCCCGGTCTCCCGCGTGACAGGCGGGGATACTGACCACTATACTACCGAGGATTGTGATTGCCAAGCTGAATTATAAGACTAGATTCCAACTATATTCGACTGAAGTGTCAAACGATGCTATGTGGTTTTTATTATAAGGTATTATTTAATCATCATATGAACTAGTATCGAGTCTATCACCTTGAGCTCAAAATACAAGTTTTATTTTAGTACCTGGCTATTTAAATTGAAGAAAAAACAGATCGCTGCAGAAATCAGCGTTGTGGTCTTAGTCATTTTATTGCTAATGGAATCACTATTTTAAATATTTCATTACTTATATATCTATAATAATGTTTCAGCTAGGAAAATATTGCCATGCTTTGGTTGATTTATTAACACTTCCTTAGCATATTAAACTAGCTTTTAACTTGCAGTTTATTAGAAAAAAAAAACAAATGTAACTTAAAAATCGAAAATAAATTGATTTTTATGATTTTAAAATTATGTAGTGCCTTCATGTGCAATAACATGTAAAAAATAATAAAGTTTTCAAAACAAATGCATAGCAACTGTAAATTGCAATTAATAAAATGGCCTATTGCGACGACACATTTTTTTTTAGATTCGCAACTGAACTCGATAGACATTTGCTTTGACTTGTTGCGTTTGTATTACGAAAGATTATGTGATAATAAGCGTAGTACTTGAGAGATCATAGAGTTCAAATTGATAATAATTATCCGCGACAGTATAGTTTTCTCACTGTATCAGCCATACGTGCATTTTTGTTCTACTAATTGTAACATAATGATAGTTAATTTGTGTCTCTCTCTTCTGCTCTTACACAGGTTAGTTTTAAGTTATTATATAAGCTAAACTTAAGTTTATTTAAGTGACTTATTTACCTCGTATATATGATAGGATGCCTTACTTTAGCAATTATTTGTAAGCTAAAATTAATTTTTAATCAACTTTCACCTTAGGTAATAATTTATAATAATTACTGTATAATTAAGTATTGTCTGTAGTTTACGCAAAACTAAAAATAATTAAACAAACTTCAATAGTCTAATAGAAACATCTGAATTATGTATGTAATAATATATATACAAATTATATAATATGCATACAACTTGACCAGTACTTGTTCTTGTTTAAAACCACATAAAATAGGTTGTTTTGTACTTTTCAGTATAAACGCTAAGGTTTTATTATCAGAGGATATATTGAAAAATGATGAAAACAATTTGAAAGAAGTAGTTAGCAGTACAAAGAGTCATATTATAGATATCACAACACCGAAATCACTAGCAAACGACCAGAAAGAAATTAAACGAAAATGTGAACATACGAATGATATTACTGGTGATTTGGATAGCTTATGTCCTGAAGAGCCTACGAAAATTGATAATGGCACTGCTCTTATATTGACGCCTTACATAGAAAGGAAACAAATCGAAGAAGCGCGGAAAACAAGTAAGGTTGATCCCAAACTATTATCAGGCGTCGAAAGTTATAGCGGCTATTTCACAGTAAATAAAACGTACAACTCGAATGTTTTCGTCTGGTACTTTCCTGTGGAGAATAAGAAAGTGAATGATACTCCTTGGATTATCTGGTTGCAAGGGGGTCCTGGTGCTTCAAGTTTGACTGGGTTGTTTGAAGAAATAGGTCCTGTACGGGTCACAAAATTTGGAACGATAAAACGTATGTTCTATATCTAATACTTATGGGTGGTTGATTAACATATGACAATTGACAAATGAACTAAGTTTTGGAATAATCGTGGCCACGCCAAACGCAACATTCATTGAAATTTTGCTCTATATACATACCTCTAGAGCCTAAAACCAATTTCGATCTCTTTCAGGAAACCCATATACCTGGATCCAGAACCACTCAGTCTTGTTCATTGATAACCCGGTGGGAACTGGATACAGTTTCACTGACCATGAAGATGGTTATGTGTCAGATATGGCAACGGTGCGTATGTAATTATATCTGAATACACAATACATTTACATATTGTCCTTGCTTCTGAACGAGTTAGATAAACACACACACACACAGTAAACTTGAAAAAGGTCCGGGAAGAAAAAAGGCAATTCTTATGCCGTTTTATGTTAGGTAGTTATAGACTATATTTATATATTAGTTAATACTTTTATATTGTCTATATGACTCGAGTAGCGGATAAAAATACCTTCATAACAGTTTAAAATTTTGTTTGTAAAATTGTATATTAGTTTTGGTGTACAAAATAATAAAAAATATATAAACATAACATAGAGATTGTTGGCGCCTAAATAATTGTCGAGTTGTCATGTACTTAACTTGACTGCCAAGTTTATTTTTAGACTAGTTGACTTGGCGAACTTTCTTTTGCCATATGAAGTATTTCGCCTAAAAGATGATTAGCATAAACAACAAACCGTTATTGTAAGTTAATCTTAAAGTGTATATATACTGAACGCAAATATTTTTTTATATTATTTAAAATATACACAGCGCACGTAACCCAATAATTTTCCTCAGTTTTTAACACTTCCCTCTCTTTCTTCACTTCTATTAGTCGCAGCCTGATATTTGATTCTATAACCTTCCTAGATAAATGTCCCAACCAATACAAAAATAATTTTTCCATTCGAAGTAGTAGTTTCTGAGATTTAGCGCGTTAAAACAAACAAACTCTTCAGCTTTTTAATATTAGTATAGAATATTCACAACTGAAATGAGGGAATGGCAATTATAAAGAGAAGGGTCGTAATATACATTTTTTTTCAGTACTCAAAACATCTACTCAGCACTGTAGAGCAATTTTTGCACGTGTTTCCGGAATTGAGAACTGCGCCATTATATATCGCAGGAGAATCATACGCAGGGAAATATATTCCAGCTCTCGGTATAGAACTCCACAAAGCCAAGATTAATTCTGGATTGGATATTAATTTACAGGTTAGAATACTTACTTATTTGCAATGCACTGTAGACGTTATCAATATTATTAACGTAGACATCAAATAAAACATTATATATTTTTATTATACATTTTTTAATTATAACGAGTTATAATTAAAAAATGGAGGTTTCAGTCGGACTTAGATTTTGAGGCCCTATATTCACTAGATGTGCCAGCGACTTCGTCCGCGTATAAGAGTTATTTTGGGCGTCAAAATTTGTGTTTGCAAACCTTCTCATCTTTATAATTAATTATATTTGTTACTAACGACGTCATACGCGCTCCTTTGTTTTTGCAAGTTTAAAACATAGATATATACTGTCGCAGACATTCTCCCATTTTTTTAAAAAGAAAATCATTCTTCATAAATAATTTCTGGCTACCTTGAACAGTTTTCTCAGCGTACGCAGCGGACATCCTCAAACATAAATGATTTTCCCTTTTTTCATATTTCTCTCTTCTTCATTCCTATTGGTCGCAGCCATGATGTTTTATGTTCTAAAACCTTCTTCGGTGAATACTCTAAGCGACACAAAATAATTTTTCAATCCAAACCTGAAACTCACGAACGTAGTTCCTGAGATTAACGCATTCAATCAAACAAAGTCTTCAGCTTCACGTTAAAAGTATAGATAATATTTATGGATATTATTTTCAAGTAATTTATCTCTGTAGATTGAGTGAGAAATACACATAAGTTACTTAGACGCAAATTATATTTATATAATAGGGTTTTAAAGCGAAATAATATTGTTTTGAGATTGTTAGAACTAAAGACTTAATATTATTTAGAAGTAATATTGATTTACTTTTTCATTACAAACACGTTGAATATATCGTGATTGTTATGAATTTTCAGGGCTTCATAATAGGAAACGCGTACATAGACCCATCTATGATTAGAAATGTACACAGACCGTTTTACTACTTCGGCTTGCTGAACAAGGAGCAACTTGATTCTTTGGAACCTTTGATGAAGGACTTTCAAGCGGACATTGACGCTAACAACAGCGTGGCTGCGAAAAATGTAAGTATCTTTTGAAGGTTTCTCTTAACACGGTTATGTGTAGTGTGTAGTAGTGTAGTTTCAAACGTGAACTACGTTGGGTCAACAACTAACGATCCACGACGTATTTTTACGTTTTAAAATGCGATATATTATTAGTTAAATTTATTTGGAAATTATTTTAACTGCGGCCCGACGTTTCGGATGCTTTGCGGCAGCCGTGATCACGGGGGAGACGTCGGTGTCTTATTTAAATGTGTAACTAGCGTAAATTACAGACTGCGTCTTATATTTGAATTATATCTTGGAATTATTTCTCCTGTTAGTTACTACGTAAGCTACTAACAACATTAACATAAATAATCTGAATATGTCTAATTAACATAAATGTCTGTTTAGAAATGGATGCAGGTCGTCACCGTATTACTTATATTGTCGCACCAAAAACAAGCATACAACTTCCTCAAAGACGAGCTATCGGTTGGCGCATATCCAAAAATCTTGAACACGCCAGAAATGAAGAGAGGTCTACACGTTGGAGACATACAATTTCATTTTATAAATACCACTGTAAACACAAAAATGGCGCCGGACTTTCTCAGCAGTTCCAAGGAGTTATTCGAAGAGCTCTTGTCAAATAATTATAGAGTTTTATCCTATTGGTAAGTTTGACTATAGAGTTTATTGGATTATATTTATAGGATATATATATCCTTAAAATATAAAATACTTAGTTCTGATGACAAATAAAAAAAACTGGAAAGTTAGAGGGCGTTATCTTTTTTTATAGCATAGACAACTTATGACCGTTGACTTTGCGGCTACGACAATGGTTTTTTTAAACGTCGTTTGTAGATTGAAAAAAAAATTACGACACGGGCAGGACATGAAGCGGCAACCACAGCGTTTCGTGCTGTTGGTCTAACCAACTACCGTGTTTTACAAGTCATCGTCGAATTTTTTCAATCTGGCAACTCTCGCGCAATTTTAATTTAATATAATTTCAATTTATAATCGATGTTTAATTTATATAGTGCTGTCATTTACATGTGACAAATATTAAATTTTTCAAACGGATTTCTGTCTTCTAAGATATAAATAATATTTTACACATTGAGTATATAGTACAGTATTCCTGTAATTTACTAAAAATACTGTTTCAATAGAGGGCGATAGAGGGCGCCTCGTATTTACATTAAAACCATTTCTTTTCAGTGGACAGCTAGACCAGCTGTTGCCCTGTGTTTTTTCAGCTGAGAATCATCGAACATGGCAATGGCATGGAAAAGAACAATTTACAAATGCACAACGATATCCATTTATGTTTCACAACATACTTGCCGGGTATGGTATTTTTAATAATAAATTATATTACATATATATTACACAGGCGAGATTCGAAGCCACAATAATTATTGTTAGTAGAGGAAAAAATAGCATAGAGTCAAAAGTCTACTGAGAATCTTAAGTAAAATTGTAAGCTATAAGAATGGGTAAATCATCTAGATACAAAAATAATATTTTTACATAAAAATTAATTTGACCGCCTCTGTAGCTTAATGGTTAAACGTGTTTCCAAGCATTACGTTAAGCGCAAGAGGTCCTGGATTCGAATCCCGGGGAAACGGTTGTATATAAATTTTATAAGAAAATTATCTTTCTTTTTATTCTTTCTCTTTCTATTGATTTCAGTAACAATGGAATATAGACAATTATGTAATTAAATCGACTTAATTTATTATTTTTAGATACTATAAAAGTGGGGGTAACTTAACAGAGGTCGTGGTCCGCGGCGCCGGCCACATGGTGCCCGTCGACGAACCGGCGCGTGCGCAGTTTCTCGTAACCAACTGGATCCATCGATTGCCGCTCGCTACCCGATTCACCTTAATGGAAGAATTCTTTCTAAGAAGTATACTTAACAATAGTTCTGCATTATACTTTTAATTATATGTTCAAATAAAATACTATTTTATATAATTATATACTTTATTTATATTCGTCAATAAATCGATCAACGATGAACTTCGCTACTTCGGGCTGGTCGATTGGTACCGCGTGACCGGCTTGTCTAACAAGTACGTCCATGAAGTTTCCACCGCTTTTCTTAAACCTAAAGGCAGTAATATTGTAATTAACATAAAAATATTTTTTATAAGACTTTCTCGAAGTCCTACACTCTACACCCTAAATTGTTTTACAATTTTCAGTGTTGAATTTAGGTTTCAATCAGTTTGATATGCTGTGTGTGCATTTGGTATCAAATATTTCTATGGCATCGTTTTACTTTGTCGTGGTTCAATGGTTAACGCAAAAGATCCTGGATTCGAATCTAGGAAAAGCATAATAGTTTTGATCAGAAATTGAATTGGGTGATATAAGGTTCTTCTGAACTACGACTTAACCTCTCGCTAGAAGATATTCAGAATCTTACATCTGATGAATATATTAATAAAATACACCACAAAGTAATTTATCGTTATATATTTGTTTGTCGGTTCGTGCATTAAAATTTTTTGAAGCATGTTTTTTTCGATACATAACAATATAGTTTATTTGTTAAACGAAATTAAAATGTGTTAAGAAGCATACTCACGCCACAATCCTGCGATCAGTAGCGCTGCGCAAGCGACGTCGGGGCGCTTCCTGATATTCATTTTTCATTGACCAGGTCAAGTTTTCATACAAATTCACAGATAGACCATACGGCAGTATCACATCTAATTGACCACTAATAAATATCAAATGAAAGGGACACATTAGTGTTATAATACTTACAATATCGCTATTCTCTACTTCCTCTTTCTCGCTTTTTTTAAGCATTTGTAAAATTAGTTTTATCGTGTCAATGAAACATCATAAGGCACTGATTTATATATTTTAAAATAAAACCTAACCAATGAATTATTCATAACTTTGTCAAAAATTGATTTTCTTGGCGTTGCGAAAACAAATCGATTAATTGTTGTTTTAAAACAACAAGCACTTATAATTTTAAACGTTACAGCACCATTCTGTATAAAACTTAAATCGCTATCAAATTGTATTTACTTGTAAATGATTTATGTTTAATAATCATATAGTTACTGACCTATAACACATTACCCCATAGTATTCTAATAGCTCTTCCACGAATGGCTTTGTAGTGTTCATCATGTCTGGCTGCATTTTTTCATATACCATTTGATTGTTCAGGTCAAACGACGCGTTACCAACATGTATCAGTTCTCTGACCTTATCTGTTTTCACAAAATCTTCGAAATCGATTGGAACTGCCCCTTTGCCTGGTTCTTGGTTAAAATTGTAAATATTTACTCCACTGTGTTTCTTTAAATATTCCAACGTTTTGTTGAAACCCTGAAAAAAAAATATTGAATTACACTTGTGTTTGCTATATTATATAATATGTATTATATAATATAGCAAACACAAGTTTCATCTATTGGTAGCAATTTAATAATAATTAATAAACGGGTTGTGATTCCTCTAGGGTCTATCAGGTTCGAAAATCATTTTCAAATTATTAGACCCATCTTCTTGAAAAGTAAACATTATATGAATGGAATATCGAAATTCTGTGTGGTCATGTACCTAATACCGTCCAAAAGTCTCTTAAGAAAAGTCGCGATGTTTTTATCGTCGCCTTTCAGTCTCAGTACGTGGAAAGCTAAAAAAGGTTGACCCCGTATCTTTAATTGTGAATGACATTTAGCTGTCGCATTCTACCTATCATTAAGTGAGCCCAATGCTTGTAAAATAATGAATATAAAGTACAGTAAAAATTATCTTTTGTTAAACATCAACCACAAGTTTATAATTTCCTTCATATAATATTTCTTCCATATAAATTAAAATTCTTACCAGAGCCGCGTCCAACATTCTCTCATCCTGTATCGCCTCAACAGTACTATCCTCTATAGCTTTTAGAACTTCAAGTTCATTTTGTCCAAGAAGACCGAGAGTACGAGAGAACTCTGTGTAATGCATCATACTTAGAGGATCTACTAAACCATTACCAATAGCTAAGCCCTGAAAAGAGTCACATCATATTGAAAACTTTGATTAATGCAGGCGTGATACTTATACTAATGAAAACCGGACTTATGTAATTCAGGAATCTGAATGAACATGGAATACCTTTAAGTTGATTGGATATTTATCTTGACGTTTATGAATTTGTATGGATAGCGCAGGCACATATTTTCCTGCATAGGACTCGCCGATTACAAATAGTGGTGCTTCTTTGGACTCGGGGAATAATTTAAAGAACTGAACAAGAAATATGTGCAACTGGTCACCAACCTGTGAAACATATTATGGTATATATTATACCATCTACTTTCAATACATTAGAAAATTTTTGTCCATTATATTGCTCCAATGACACCAAAATAATGTGTGATTATGGTTGTGATGAAAAAACTGCGAGTGAATTCAAAATGATCAGCATCCCTTTTTTAAAACTTATACAATATAATAAAATCTTCTTTTGATTTTCTCGTTGCATATTTCATATATATTAATTCCATATGTAATTGTATATGTCACAACACAATAAAGAATTATGTAAGAGAAGAACCTTACATCATCCTCGTTATCAGGGTACCCCCGTTCGTCATTAGTAAAACTGAATCCAGCACCGACAGGATTATCCACGAAAAGTAACGAATAATCAGCCGCCCACGACAAGGGACGTTTTTTTACTGAAATAAAAATGTCTCACTATTATCAATATTAGTACAAAAAGAAAACATTAGAGAATCGTTTAACATACAAAAAAAGACTGCAATTAAGTCAGGAAATGTTTTTAGTTAAAAAAAATTATTATTTATCAGTGAAAACTTTAAAATCTAAACCGGTCAAATTGTTTACACTCACCTTCGTTGTTTTCGATGGTGAAAGGTCCTATGATGCTGAACAGCCCTACTAGAGAACTATACCCTGGCCCCCCTTGCAGCCATATTATCAAGGGTGTAGTGGTAACATTACTTTTAAATGGGAAGTACCAAAAGAAGACGTTCGAATCGTACTCTTCTTTAACAGTTATAAAACCTGAATAGCTCTTTACATCAAGAAAACTCGAAGAATTAACTTCAGATAGTTTCCTCGCTTGCACCAGACTATCATTTTTGACAAATGGTGTTAAAATCAAACAGTTCCCGCAAACTTCCTCTGCTAATGTTACTTGAAATATGCTGAAAATAGTTTCATGCACACTTAATAAAACAGCTTTAAGAAACGCACGGTATCTTAGTTCACTAACTACGAGTCGATGTATTGGATTCTTTGCTGCAGACGTAATCGCCTGTGGACGAGGTAAGATAAAGACTAGTACTCAGTTTAAAGTTTAACAGTAGCAATATATTAAAATTTTTCGTAAGTCGTAGGTATATAGGGTCGTATCTGTTTTAGCACAGTTATAAATCATTTTTTAAACATGCTTGTCTATTGGAAACTTGGAACTTTTTTTAGTGGTAGGAATATCGAAATCCGATGCGTTACGATCTATAGATTTTCATATAAAAATAAATATAAGTCAAAATAGGAAGAGTTACAGAAATCACTATCAGTAAACACAAATACTACTAAGAATAACTACTCATGCGATAGTAAAACAAAATTCGGTTTACTTCAAAACGTTTCAACTTTAATTTTACGTCTAAGTTACGAAACCTAGTCTCAGTCTTATAATTTAAAATTAACTTACCATAATGCTAACAACACGGAAGCCAGCGCTGGTACCTTCATCATTACATAGAGCGATGTAAAATGGCAATTTCTACTGTGTCTGATCGGCTGTAAGTAAACTTATAACGAAGTGTGAAGATAATGACGTATTACCCAGTGAGTAGGTAATGGATAATAATCAAACAAATCGACCAAATTCTGAAATGCTTACGCTGTACTTTACCTTTTTATTTGAGAAGAAATTCATTGTTGCTCTACCAATTGAGCTGCCGAGTCCTATCTCAATTGGTAGAGCAACAGCACGGAACGCTGACGATGCCGGTTCAAATCCTGCCCGAGACGAAAATTTTTTTCAATTTATTTTCAAATTTTTAAAACACGTCTCGTTGTTATTTGAAAGATAATAGTTTTATGTAGTTGCTCTACCAATTGAGATAGGACTCGGTAGCTCAATAGCACAATTAACTTTCTCAATTCGAATCAGTAGTTCCTGAGATTAGCGCGTTCATGCAAACAAACGAACTCTTCAGCTTTATATAATTACTAGTTTTCCCACAATATCAGGGTGCTTATTGTCTTTTTATACCAAGTTGCAAATTGTCTGCTAAATTTAATAAAGTTTTAATTCTAATAACAGATTAATTCAATTCGTAATCAGTTTTGTTGTATGTTTATACAAAGTTGCAATCTGCAAGTTTATTTAAAGACCGTAGTTTACGCGACTAGTACACAAATAAAACACTTTAACGGTTTTAAACGCGAAATATATTAAGGAAACTTGTATACAAATTATTTTTAACTACGGTCCAAAGTTTTGGACAGTCTGCAGTAGCCGTTCCAACGTCTAGTTTATGTAATATATTTCGCACGTTTTAAACCGTTAATGTGTTATATTTAATCTAAGTGATCTAAAACATCACGAACATCCTTGAAACCGATTTATATTCAAAAGACCCTAGCAGCCTTTCCACAGCCTATCTGAGATATCTCAAAAGAAGCACCGATAACTCCGACCGCTGATTTAAATGTACGACGCGAGCTCAGAAAAAACCGTCGACCGTGGGAAAACGTTCGTACGGGCGTACGTAAGGTCGGCCGTATAGTGCCCGTACGAACGTTTGTTTTATCGCATTACGAATTACGAGCACGTCGCAATTGTAACGCATATCGATGTTTGTTTTACTATCAACGTCCTAAATATAGAGCAAATCACTTTTAAAGCGTGCAAGAATCTATCGCGGCTGTACGTCGGGACCGTGGGACCGTGTTCATGCTAAACAGGTCAATGGTACCCTATACCTGTTCGCGCATCAAATATGGTATGTTCCAATTTACGGGACTAATGGATTTATTAAAAATATTTCTACTTTACCTAAAAATCGATTTTAACGGTTTAAGGCGCGATATATTTAAATAAAACACTTTATCGGTTTAAAACGCGATATATTAGTTAAACTTATTTGAAAATGATTTTTAACTTCGGCCCGACGTTTCCCCCGTCTCCTCGTGGGCCGTGACCACGGCTGCTGCAAAGCATCCGAAACGTCGGGCCGAAGTAAAAAATAATTTTCAAATAAGTTTAACTAATATATCGCATTTTAAACCGTTAAAGTGTTTTATTTAAATGTTTACTACTCGCGTAAACTAAAGACAGTATTTAATGCCACCATGTGAAAAATATTACAGTTTTCATTTGTTGTCTTGCTTTGATTTCAAATAAAACCATTATTTTAACAACCGTGGCCGACTAGCTAAATGAAGCAGCAAACAAGCGAATAATTAAAAACAATGGTAGCTTTTGTATTTAATATGTTTAAATTTATTATAAAATATGTTCCTTAACTAAATTATTGGTCACAGTTTGTTTCAAGACATTCAAGTTATTTTTTAACTTAGATAAATACTTACACAAAAATTTTATTAGAAAACATAATGCAAGGTAGGAAACATAATACTAAAAAAGGAGGAGAAATCGCTACGAGCTAAACCAAGCTTTATTATATATTTAGTATATATTATATATACACCTTCATTTTAATGAAAAAAAACGGCATTGAAGTTGATTAAAAACGCTATAAAACGATAATGCTTGTGTGCACCATTTTTCATTAAATAAAAATGAAACAATAAAGTAAATTAAACTTAGAAATATATTTGTCTTTCCCCCGTGACCACGGCTGCTGCAAATGATCCGAAACGTCGATACATAGTTTTAGATTGTAAATCAGTTAACGTATACGAAAACTGTAAAAAGTGTTTTAATTCTTACACGGAAAATATTTTTACCAATCGGGACATCCCGTATAGAAGATCGAGATAAATCCAAGTTCAAGGCGCAAACTGTACAAACGAGAAACGGCGGGGTATACAAGATTCCTGCCGCTAGTACTACGGACCCATTCCGCGGTGATTGGCCAGGGACACTAGACCAGCCACCTCGTTGGGACTAACGTTAGATGTTCAGCTCGTTCGCGCATCATTAAGTGTTCGACAAACCCATCATTATGTTCAAATGGCTCATCTTTCTCACGTAAGTTTTGAGGAGTAACAAAATATTCATTAAACACTCTTAACGGTTTAAAACCCGAAATGTATTAGTTATTCAGAAATTATCTTTACTACGGCCCGACGTTTATAATGCATTGCAGCCGCCATGGTCACGGGCCCTAGTTAAAATAATTTGTAAGTTATAAACTTTACTTAGAAATTAATTTACTTTTAGGTAGGTTTAAGTTTACAATAATGGCAATTTATGTGATAAGATCCTTACGTAGTTTTTGTCTGTTAATAAAAATAAAACAATGTTTAACGGTATTAAAGACGAAATGTAATTTTGCATTTTATTTTGCTTTCAAAGCGATTTATTTGAGATGTAATTTTTTTGCTAGCATATTTTTTGATTTTAAAGAAATAAGAATTTATCTGTGTATTAAAATACGCCAGTCTTCATAGAAATAAAAACAATAGTTACTTGATACAAATTTAGATTCAGTTAAAATACTTTTTTATAATATTTAAGACATTATACATTGGCATTAAGACTTAACATTAGTATGATAACTGTCACTGTGTTTACTTTTATTATTAAAACACTCATATCATATATCATCGCATTAAAATAAGTTGAATGTTATATTTTGCGTTTTAAACCGTTAACATTTGTTTATGTAAATGTGTACTGACAACAAACAACATTGTTTACATTATAATATTCTTAGTGTTTAAATTTCGTACAAGAGTGTAAAACGTAAATAAGGACATATATGTAGAATTAAAACCAGTTATTTGTTTTTTAATCCATGTTCATTAATCTGGGCACAATTTGTTTTTTAATAAATGAAACTGGTATTTCAAGTTCGAGGAGCGTGGGAATATCGCATTATGGCGCCATCGCAAGCTTCGTCCTAGAAGGAAGACACATTCTAGGGCATAGCTTGCCTTTCCATAAATGTTTCATAACTTTGGGAACTTTGAATTTAGCGCATCTAAATAAAACGTTTCAACGGTTTAAAACGCGATATTAGTCAACTTATTTAAAATTTATTTTAACTACGACCCATCGCTTCATAATTTTCAAATAAGTTTAACTAAGTAATATATATCGCGCTTTCAATCGTTGAAGTGTTTTATTTAAATGTAACACTTTAACGGCTTAAAACGCGATCTTTGAAATCAGAAATATTTTTAGAGTTTCAGGTCTTCGTCTAATTTGCGAAAATACCTACGCGTAATACAACTATCCCTAATTATATAAATTACAATAATTTTACTTCTGAAGATGGTGATACCATTTGCAACATGTTCAATGATTATTTTAATTCGTTTTTGTTCAACAAATGTTACAATTTCCAAACTTATAATATGCAACTGTAAATTCTCAGACACATCCTTTGGTAGACATTTCCCATTTTGTATTCCCGAAGACTTGTTAAGGAACATTTCGACTTAGACTTAGCAAAGGTCCTGGTTAGACGATGTTCACCCATTCTAATTAAAAAACTTAGCTCTGAACTCTCTGTACCTTTAACCATAATATACAATAAATCAATTACTGAAGGCTGTTTCCCAGATATTTGGAAAAGAGCTTTGATAACACCTATATCAAAGGGTGGCGACCCTCATGACGTCAAACAATACAGACCCATACTAAACTTAGCATACTCGGTAAGATTCTGGAGAAAATACTAGCTAGACATTTAGTATATTACTGACAATCATATTCCTAATGAGCAAATGGTTTTGTTCAAGGTCGTAGTGTTAGTACTAACTTAATTTCCTTTACAGATTAATCTAAAGTCCTTAGCTATAGGACAACAGGTCGATGTTGTGTATGCTGATTTTTCAAAGGCCTTCGATAAAATAAAACATTCTCTTCTTTTAGACAAGCTTTTGGGGATGGGCATTCATGGCAATCTTCTACGTTGGATAGCTTCTTACATTAATAACCGTAGTAGGCTGTTGCTCTGAAAGGAACGTTCCAGGTTCCTCCCGATACCCTCTGGAGTACCTCAAGGATCCCATTTGGGGCCCTTGTATTCACGATTTATATTTTGCCTTCACACTTGTTTAGCAAACACAAGTCATTTGCTTTATGCAGATGACACAAAAATATTTAAAGTCATAAATTCAATTAATGACTGTATTGACCTTCAGAGTGATCTTCAGTCTTTTGAAAATTATTGTTACGAAAATCAATTTTTCTCAATGTAGAAAAGTGTAATACAATAACTTTTGTCGCAAAAATAACCCCTTAAAATATGACTACAAATTATTTGAGGACCTTAAGTCGAGTAACTTCTATAGAGATCTTGGAGTCACTCTTGATTCCAAGCTACAATTCAATTTCACATTGATAATAAGTTCTAGAGCTTTTAAAATATTGGTTTCAAAGAATTTCCAAACCTTTTAAAAAGGCTACAACTTAAAATACTATTTAACGCATATGTACGTAGTTTATTAGAATTTTGTAGTGTAATTTGGAGTCCCCAATATAATAATCATATAATAGAATTGAAAAAGTTCAAAACAAATTCTTAAAATCGTAGATTATAAATCAGGTTCGAATTTCGTAAATTATGAATTGATTCCAACAGACACAACATCAAGTCACTAAGTCACGCCGTGACTATTTAGATCTATTTGCTGTACAAACAAATAGCAGTATTGACTCTAACCTATCTCGAGAAATCGGTTTTAAAGTCCCCGCCTTCTTCCCGCATCAAGGAAACGTTTCACATTCCCACAGCGAGCACTAACTACGTGAAAAATAGTTTCATTATAAGAAGCTGTGATTTTTATAATAAGAATTTGAAAGTCGATATTTTTTCTAGGGTTTTTAAATACAACTTGTATATCTAAATTAATACTTAAGTCGTAGTTACAAAATTATTGTTATTACTTTTTAGATATTTTCTTTTACTGTGTATCTTGTTGTATTTACGTCACGTATATTTAATTAAGTGAAACTTTAGGTCTATTTTTTAACATTTTAAGTAATCCATTGTTTTTTAAGTGACTGTTTGTTTCTTTTCCATAAAATAAAAAAAAATAAAATAAAAATAATATACAACGTATAGATTGGCTACATAATCGTATTCTTCACACTTTTTTTCAGATAAAGAGCGTCGTAAATCAGAGACATACATATTACTATGTAAAATTATGCAGTTGCAGCGTTAATAATTATTATATATACGTATAACTACGTGTATAATTATAACTTATAGATGGAAACCTAAAGGCCTAGATCGTAATCATCATCTTTCTTAAATTAAGTCTGCTATCGAAATTAATAAGAAAAAATATTTTTACAGTTGCATCAACGTGGTGCTATGCAGCTCCGATCTGTACTCTTTACCTGATCTTCCCCCTGGAGAAGCACCGGAGCCTATCATCACGTTCATGGAAAATACCTATCGGTCTGGCAGAAGCCGGGCTGGGTATGACGCTGGAGAGCCTTTACTGTTGACAAAAATGATAGAGGAAAAAAGGCTTGAAGAGGCAAGGAAGGCGGCGTACGTTGACCCTGAATTTATTTTACCAGATATGGAGAGTTATGCTGGATATTTGACTGTAAGATATTCTTTCAATACTTACATCTATACTATATAATATAAAGCTGAAGAGTTTGTTTGTTTGCAAGGGCTAAATTAAGAAACTACTGGTTCGAATTGAAAATCCCTTTTTACTTGGGGGGGGAATTTTAAGGGGGGGGGGGGGGAAAAAAAAAAAAAGGGGGGCCCCAAAAAAAAAATTGGGGGAAAAAGGGAAAAAAAAAAACAAAATTTTTCCTCCCTGTGGGTTTCCGGTGCTATGCTGTGAAAAATACCCAAAAATATAAACGAAAGAATCATTCCTCTTTAAACGATCTAAAAACATGTTCCCGAAACTATATGTCTATCTTTTATGATTAACTTGCAAGAACGATGGGTCACGACTGGCGTCGTGGGTAACAGTCTTGATTTATAAAGATAGGGAGGTTTGCAAGAACGAATTTGGATGCCCAAAATAACGATTGATTGATGATAAGGGATGAAATATATAAATCATTACTAAGTACTGATTAAATACCTACTTACTGTATAATAATATGTACTAATATAGTGTTGTTTTAAATTGTAAGTTTGAAATATTATTTATTGATTCATTCTTTTTTTCTACAATTATAGGTAAACAAAGAATACAACTCAAATCTATTCTTTTGGTATTTTCCGGTGATGGAAAAATCTGTGGAAGAAACTCCCTGGATTATCTGGCTTCAGGGAGGACCTGGTGCATCATCACTCTATGGGCTTTTTACAGAGATAGGACCATTTTTTGTAAACAAGGAAAACACTTTAGAAGGTACTCTACCTTGGCTTAATAATACAGGTTTTTTTATGATGCAGTCATGCATGAGGTTTACTTGATGGAAGATAAAATACCCCAGCCATATAACATCCCAACAAGATGTGCTCCAACCAAGGTTTCGTTGGAGCACCATGGAGATCTTGGTTACAAGATGTGTGTCGATCTTATTTTGGCTTTGAATATTCGGAAATCCACAGACTGAAAGCGAAACGCGATTAAACTTACGGCTTTTTTGTGGACGGTGGTTCGTGATCCGGACGGAATTTCAATATTCCTACCACCCATTTAATATTCAGAGTTGTGGGAAGTTTAACATGTTTCAGAAAAATTGAAAATCGATTAGCAATGTCCCTTGGGTCATCGAATCCACGACCCGTTGATTATTAGCCATACATTGCTACCATTATAACAACTACCGTCACAGGTGCTTTCCTAACAACATTGGTCAACATCTTTAAAGCAATTGCATAAAACATATTGTTTTTTTTTTTGCAGAAATGAAATATTCTTGGAGTAAAAATCACTCTCTTTTGTTCATTGACAATCCCGTTGGGACCGGCTTTAGTTTTACTGATGATGATCGAGGTTATGCCACCAATCAGACTACGGTAAGTATGTTATTAAAATTTATAGATCTTCATAATGTAATAAATGATATCGTTAATTCATTGAAATATCTTAGTTAAGGTAGATAGTTATTAAGTTTATTGTTTTATGTTCATAGCTTCATTAGCCATTGCAAATAATCAAATAAATAATCTGTTTCAGATTGGCGAAAACCTTTATACAGCCCTACAACAGTTTTTGACGCTGTTCCCAGAATTACGTAAGGCACCTCTGACTATCGCTGGAGAATCTTATGCTGGAAAGCATATTCCGTCACTTGGAGTGCAAATATTGTGGCATAAACAAGAGGATGAACCAATCAATCTCCAGGTAACATGGCTATCAAAGTATCATAAATTAAGGATTATATATTGTGAGGAATACAAAAAAAAATGAATAAGTAAACTGTTCTCTTTACGCGGTTATCCAAATACAAAACAAAATCATGTGAACAATAGTCAACAGTGATCCTACGGCCTGTTTAAAACATAAGGTTTGTTCTTTAATATAGAGGAGGAGAGAAAAGCACGAGGCTCACTTGATGGTAGCTGAAACAGCCATATTACATTTAAACAAGATGTGTGTACTATACTTTTTCATTTCCTAAATCTAAAGAAGCCGAGGGATTTATAATTTAATGTTATACCGTAATCACATTATAAAGTTATTTTTTTTGCTGCAGGGATTAGCAATCGGTAACGGTTTCATAGACCCTCTAACTCTTCAGAGGTACAGCTACTTCGTTCGGGAAGCAGGACTAGTTGATGACAAAGCAGCCAATTTTATGAATCAAATAGAAACTGCGGTGGTACAGTTTATAAACAACGGGGAAATGCTGAAGGCCTACGCTGTACGTATCAAGCAACTCACTATGTTTCAGCCCATTTATAATGAGGCACAGATGTTTTTTATTTCTTAGAAGACAGTTTATTTGTTAAGACCCACCAAGCCGTGGCTGCAGTGCGGATTGGTGGGGCTGATTGTCTTTCACCACGCTTTTTGGGGTGTTGATACAAAAAAACTTAAATAAATTCCAAATCTACCACCACTAAAGCAACATACTTATAAACTGTGTAGGGCTTTCATGGCCAACGTTCAGCATATCATTGTTTACACAAGTTATTAATCGCCTCTACGGGTTAATCTAAGGCCGCGGCGGACAACACATAATTCTTCGAGCCAAAAGGAGCATCTCTGATGATGCCGCCTGCTCGGGATGGCGAAATGTCGACAACATTCTTCTCGCTTGCATCGGCCAAACAGCTCGAAAAACAATGATATACTTTTAAACTCTTTTACTTTAATGGAACTTCTTTTTTTAGTACTACAACTATTTATTACAACTGTTTCTCTCGGAGTCAAAACTGAACAACTTGTACAACTACCTTCAAGATGAAATAAGTCTAGATGGTGCATATTTAGATTACATCCAAAGGGATGACGTTCGTCGCGCTCTTCACGTGGGAAATACGAATTTTACATCAATTGGTGTGGTGTACAGAAAACTCGTTCCAGACTTTATGGGCAGTGCAAAGCATTGGCTTGAAGAATTGCTTGAAAATTACAGAGTCATGCTTTATAAGTAAGGCATCTATTCAAGATTCGATTTTGTTGGATGACTTTATTCCGTGTATTAAATTGTAAATCATTTTTACAGTGGCCACTTAGACATCATAGTCGCTTACCACCCTTCAGTAAACACATACGATTCTTTGTCCTTCTCCGGCTCATTAGAATACCGAGTTGCGAAGCGATATCCTTGGTATCACAACGATGAATTAGCTGGGTAATCTACTACTATTTATTAATATAAAGTTATTTTAATTCACAGATTACAAAGGTTTATTACATTGTCGTAATCATTTTTAGGTACTTTAAGATAGCGGGAAATCTTACCGAAGTAATGATTCGTGGAGCCGGTCATATGGTACCAGCGGATAAACCATCACCAGCTTTTGGGTTAATATCAGCATTCGCACGCGGCATATCATTATATAATGATACAGGCTACTTAGTTCCTGAAAACGTCATGATAAGAACCCGCCAACTTCCAATAAACTGAGTAAGATCTGTCTACCAATTATTGGTGCTAATTGCCCATCAAATGCCCACTAGGCGACAGCGAATAGTGGTGACACAGCCTGTTATAATTTTAGTAATATACAAGACGAAAAAACTACGGATATATTTTATAAGTTTAAGAAGTTCAGTATACGTAAGATAATTAATGTAAATAACAACAATAAATTGAGACAATTTTGTATTTATTTTATTATTATTTTTTCATACATTTTTACATGTTAGTTTACGGTAGTGATATTTTTTTTATCATACAAAATTTCAATGTCATAAAGTGAAAACCCAAATCAACACTGAATAATGAAAATAAATAAAACAGAAAGATAAAAACTTACAATATATGTATGTATATCTTAATTAACTATTACTTAGAACTATTAACTATTATAAGATCATATGTTACAATTCTTTTGATCTCCTCTCTTTCTTTTTATAAAAAACATTTTAACATAATAAGTAAAAATTTTGTAATCCAAAAAAATTATTGCGATTACCTATGTGAATATGGTGGGGTTTGTTCAGAAAGTATCGTTAGAGTTCGGATATCGAATTTATCATAAGATAACTTTAATAACGTCTAAAATACAATGATTATTTATATTGATTGATTGTTTTTTGGTTTTTTATATGTACAGAGCAAGTAAAAATTATCTTCATAATTTGCGTGTAACGGGACGATTTATCATCGACGTGTTATCGATTGACATTTAAGATCAATGACAGTTGTTATTGTCTTTGTTTTGATACGAATTGTATTTTAAATAATAAATACTTGTTAAATTTACCCTCCCATAAACTCATTCTGCTTTGTATAGCTTTTATTAGTATAAATAGAGTCATTATTTATAAAAAGCTAGTTTAGATTAAATACTGTCTGTAGTTTACGCGAGTAGTACAAATTTAAATAAAGTGTTTGTTTAAACACGATATATATCGTGTTTAAACGCTAATAAATATTATTAGTAAAACTTATTTGACTTTAAGTCAAATAAGTTTAACTAATAGGAAAATGGTTTAAAATTTAAAGTCTCCCTGTGACTACACAGCTGCTGCAAAGCAGCCGAAACGTAAAGTAGTTAAAAGAATTACTTAAAATAAATTAAACTAATATATATCAAGTTTTAAACAGTTACAGTGTTTTAACTAGTTTTGATTACTAATTAAACTTTTTTTTACTTTAATCTCAAAAGTATTTTTATTTGAAATTAAACCCTTTTACAAATAAAACATTAAAAAGACTGGTGGAGTAACCTAGAAGAAGTGTATGATTTTAAGGCTATTAAAGTTAGTTAAGTCATCATGGTCATAACGCCTCATGTTTTATGTGTTTTATTGGTATTGATGCCTATAAAAGGACATTATTTATCCGGTTTAGCTCCTGTAAACTACTGCAAAGCTGGTGCAGAGAGCGAAAAATGCAAAGTAAGAGAACGAAACATACCTACGTATTTCCTTGCCATGATAAGAATACATTATTATAAACACATGAATCCACATTTAAGTGTTTGAATTTGAAAAGAAACGACAATAAATGAAAATAGATGATTCAATTGCCTAATGAGGTAGTTGTTTGATAAAAATTAGAGCATAAAGTTAAAAAAAAAATAGACATTTTCTGACATAAGATTTTATCAGTTCATGTAGTTCATCACTAACACATACATAACAAACTAAAATATAAATATTAATTTATCAAACATGCACTAATGATTATAAGCTTATTAGGATTTTGATAATTATGCCTTTATAATAAAATTAGTAATTTGATAATTTAATTAATATTTCAATTTCAATTCTTGGAAAAATTAAAAAAATTTTTTTGCAGAAAGAAATTCCGCTCTATGTAAATAGACTGAACTCAGAAGAATCATTTATACCATTTGAATATCATCATTTTGACTTTTGTTTATCAAATGATACACAGTTGCCAGTGGAGAACCTTGGTCATGTAGGATTTGGAGAACAAATTCAGCCAAGCCCATACAAAATAAATTTCCTTGAAAATGTTAGTTGTCAAACTGTTTGCACGAAGTCGTACAAGGGTTCAGATACAGAATCAAAAAAGAAGCTTAATCTTTTGAAAAATGGTATGACTCTATTCTACCAACATCACTGGATTATTGATAATATGCCTACCGTATGGTGCTATTTAGTAAATGAAGGTAGCAAGTCATATTGTAGTACTGGATTTCCCATGGGATGTCAAATAAGAATGAATTTTGTAAGTACAGTTGTTTGTTTGTTTCTACTTATAATAGAGTGCAGGAGGTTCAATTTTCATCCATGTTCGACGCGGACATAAATTTTTATACAAGAACCTGATCATCTTTGTTCTGCCTGGCTAAAACACCGAATGATGAATACCAGGATTCAAATATAGGACTCATTAATACTGCAACAGTGATCCTAGTAGTATTATTTATTTACCTCCAACAACATTTTAAGGTCTATCTACTTATATATTCATGAAAATAATCTGTCATACTATTAATATCCTAGTTAATCTACCACATATCTAATCTTAAACAAAACTATATAATCTGTAAGGTTTTATAAATTATTTTGCTTTATAGATAATAATAATATTTTTAAAGACACATTTATATATGTTGACTTTAACTATAAAATTAAACATTATCAATATTCTTTAGGATACATGCACTCCAATAGTCAACACATCACCCAGTCAAGTTGGTACATATTTTCTGTTTAATCATGTTGACATTAATATTATCTATCACAGTGGTGGGTCAGAAGAATGGGGTGTTGCTTTTGGAGATAACGGGGGTAGAATTATATCTGTTAAGGTAAGTGGTACTCCTATATTTTAGTCCCATTGACAGGCCTCTTATACCAAGGTATTGATGGAATAGAAATGGCCAAAAATATGATAAATAAATAACGACTAATTCATGCGCTGAGATACCTTTTAAGGTACACAACACACATTTTATTATTGGTTTGTTGCAATATGCCTGATTCTCAATTCCGCTCTATTTGCAGGTTAAGCCAGCTAGTATCAACCACCAAAACCCACAGAAACCAGATTGCAGTGTCAGAAAACTTCTAAAAATCCCCAACTATTTAGCTACAGATGAAACATTTAATATAGTCTACACATACAATGTGAATTTCAAGATAAATAACACTATAAAGTGGTCATCAAGATGGGATTATATCCCCGAATCAATGCCACAGATTAATATTCAGTGGTCTTATATTTTGATTTCACTTGTAATAGTTTTGTTTTTGAGTTGTATTCTTGCAATGATTTTATTTATTTATTTATCATTCAAGTCTTTATGCCATAACAGGTGGAAACCCAAATCAACACTGAATAATTAATACAGACAGAAAAATAAAAAAAATATCTCAATTAAGTATTATATGATCATATACTATACCTCATATAATTCTTTCTATCTTCTCTCCTTTCTTGTGTAAAAACATTACATAGTAAAATTTTAATGATTCTAAAAATTACCTTATATTGGTTGACTGCGGCAACTAAAGAATACAGGTAGAAAGTTTGAAATCAACAGTCAAAAGTAAATGGCCAAATAGTGATGCCCTGATATATTTTATATATATAAAAATTCGTTATTTTTACTCTATGATATATTAATATTTCATATTAAAGCCAAGAAAAAGCATATGATTTCTTCATTCAAATATTTTTTCCTGATTGTTTAGAACGTATCGTTACTCGTTAAGAGTTCGAATATCGAATTAATTTTTGTATAATGGAGGCTCTACACGATGGCGAAGATATTGGCGAACATTGTGGCAAAGATTTTGTGTGAAAATGTGACATTAACAGTTTGAGTTGGTATCAATTCATGACCAACTTTTTTCATGAATCTCCTGACTGCTATTATTTCAAGTGTACATGTCAATTTACTAAATAACTCTTTGTTTGATATGGTTGCAGGAACAAATCTTATAATACCTGTTTTCTCTATTTGGGCTGCTGGTGTGTATGCTTTCAAGGAAGCTGTTATTGTTTAAGAAATTATTTGCTGTATTGTGTTGTTTAAAAATCACTACAATTTTGTTGGCATCGATTCGTCTGATCCTGAACTCCTTTTATATTCGAAAATATATGGTTCAAATAAACTGGACTTTTATTTCCTATTTTATCTTGTCCGTTTTTGTTTTCGATAAAAACTTTGAATTCTGTGTTTATACTATTTTCAGAATAAAATCTTTTATAGTTTGGTTTAAAATGTGGCAAAAAGTCTTTCTCACCACCTCCGCCGCCAAGACCAGATCCATTCTGGTTATCATCAGGCCGTCGTGGTCTTTTTTTGGAGGTGGGCGGGCTATCCACGCCCTCCTCCATTTTTACTGATAACACTCTACATAAATAATGTATTTATGCTATTTTGAATAAATAAATACTAAAACATTAAATTATTTTGTGCTAAAGAAAATTAGTCGACCGCCCTTTTTCAAATTCCCACCAAGAACCCGCTCTACTGTGTATTTGTACTTAATAAAGTAAATATAAAATAAGTAGAATGTCTCGTTGTTTTTATTTTTATGATCTTTATTTTTCGGATTCCACAGACAGTTTTCAGCTTGATAGAGCTCTATGAAGCGAAAAGATTGATTTTATTTTCCTATAAAATTAATAATGGTATCGTTTATTAACAACACCATTCACTGTTCTCTTAAATCCATTTACTACAATATACCATACGAATTAAAATCCATAATCAAAATCGATAAAAATCGATTACGAAGTTTAATAGAATAAACAGTCGACATTGAGTCAGCCTAGATCTCCGTCCCGCGCACGTGGCTCTTACCACCGTTAACATCCTTAGGAACATTTCTGAGCACCGTTTTGCGCTAAGTTCAGACTTGCCAAGTTACGTCGGCCGTATTATAATATGATGTATTTTTAACGGCCAAAATTAAAATGGAACAGTGCGCGATTAAAAAGCGTTGAGAATTAAAGCGCTGTCGTGAGGACATATAGTTGGGGTTGCATTTGTTTTTGTAGAATGCTTTTCTAAAAGCTGTTGTGGATTAAAAAATGTTAATATCGGATAGTCGTTACTCATCCTTGAAAATATCATATATTTTGTTATTTTTTAGCAAGGACAGGACACAAATATTATTTTTCTATGGTCGAATTGATTGTCAACGTGTATTGACAGTTAAACTGACACATATTGACAGTTTGACGTTTACAATTTCAATTTTTTCATCATATTGCGATAGTAGGTACCGAAGTAAAATTTGGATTCCTAATGCTAGATAATTAAACCGGGTATTCTCCCGGAGTTTTTCTGTGTATGGTAATATTAAAAACACTGGTGAAGTGACCCAGTAGAGGTGTATGATATTAAGTGTCCTGTATTAAAGTGTCATCATGGCCATAACGCCTCACGTTTTATGCGTTTTGTTGGTATTAATGCCTATACAAGGATTTTATTTACCCGGTTTAGCTCCTGTTAACTACTGCAAAGCTGGTGAAGACAGCGGAAAGTCGTGCAAAGTAAGTGGGAAGAAAACATAAGTATTTCCTTGGCATGCTAAAAATCCATTATTATATACACACGATTCCACGTTTACGTGTTTGTTTGTGATTTGAATATGAAAAGAATCGTATAGATGATTCATTTGCCTAATGAGGTAGTAGTTTGATTAACAGCTAGCGTATAGTTAAAAAATATATTGAAATGAAATGTTGGAACATAAGATTTTATCAGTTCATGTATTCATCACTAATACATATAGTAAACTTAAATAAAAATTTAAAACTTAAATATAAATTTATCAAACATGCACTAATGATTGTAAGATCTGAACTGCTTGAGTTGATCTTACTTGCTTAAATAAGTAATAATGAAAATAGTAACTTTATAATTTAATTAATTTTTTGATTCCAATTTTTTTGTGTAAAATAAGAATTTTCTTATTGCAGAATGAAATTCCACTCTATGTAAATAGACTGAACACCGAAGAATCAGTTATACCATTTGAATATCACCATTTTGACTTTTGTTTATCAAATGAAGCACAGTCGCCAGTGGAGAACCTTGGCCAAGTCGTATTTGGAGAACGAATTCGGCCAAGCCCATACAAAATAAATTTCCTTGAAAATGTTAATTGTCAAACTGTTTGCACGAAAACCTACAAGGGTTCAGATACAGAGTCAACAAAAAAGCTAAATCTTTTGAAAATGGGCATGGCTCTATACTACCAACATCATTGGATTATTGATAATATGCCTGTCACATGGTGCTATTTAGTAAATGAAGGTGGCAAGTCCTATTGTAGTACTGGATTTCCCATGGGGTGTCAAGTGCGAAGGAATTTTGTGAGTACAGGTTTCTGCTTATAATAGAGTGCAGAAGGTTCAATTATCTTCTATGTTGAAAAATTTTCCACCCAAAATTGTTAACATTTGTTCTACCTAGCTAAAACACTGAATCATTAGTACCAGGATTCAAATATAGGACTCATTAATTCTGCACAATCATACTAGTAGTATCATTTATTTACCTCCAACAACTTTTTAAGATCTATCTATATATTAATGAAAATAATCTGTCATATTATTGGTATCTTTAGGTAATCTACCACATATCTAATCTAAAACAATGCTATATAATAATCTCTAAGGTATTGCTTTATAGATAATAATAATATTTTAAAAGAATATTATATATGTTGTCTTGAACTATTAAATTAAACATTATCAATACTCTTTAGGATACATGCACTCCAATAGTCAACACGTCGCCCAGTCAAGTTGGTGCATATTTTCTGTTTAATCATGTTGATATTGATATTACCTACCACAGTGGTGGGTCAGAAGAATGGGGTGTTGGTTTTGGAGATAATGGGGGTAGAATTATATCTGTTAAGGTAAGTGGTACTCATATTTAGATGGAACATAAATAGTCAGTATGTATGATGAATAAATAAAGACTAATTATTAATTAACTTAGCTTAGATACCTTTAAAGAAACAATTTACAAAACACACATCTTATTAAGGTTTGTTCTTCTTTCTCAACTCTGCTCTACTTGCAGGTTAAGCCAGCTAGTATCAACCACCAAAACCCACAGAAACCAGATTGCAGTGTCAGAAATCCTTTGGAAATTCCGAACAACCTAGCAACAGATGAAACATTTAATATAGTCTACACATACAGTGTGAATTTCAAGAAAAATAACACAATAAAGTGGTCATCAAGATGGGATTATATACTCGAATCAATGCCACAGACTAATATCCAGTGGTTTTCTATTTTGAATTCACTTGTGATAGTTTTGTTTTTGAGTGGTATGGTTGCAATGATTTTATTACGAACTCTCCATAAAGACATTGCCAGATATAACCAAATGGAATGTGGTGAAGATGCGCAGGTAAAGTTTTAATGGCATTAGACTGTTGCAATGTTATAACATAATTAATTTGTATTTATACTTTATGGTAATTTTAGGAGGAATTTGGTTGGAAACTTGTTCACGGGGATGTGTTTCGACCACCCCGTCGAGGAATGTTGCTTGCTGTTTTCCTTGGATCTGGTTCACAGGTAACAAAGTTTTATTACTTTCATCTTATACATAGGAAAAATATTTGAATATATTAACTGATACAAATTTCAATATTCTCTAAATTTCAGGTATTTGGTATGACGCTAGTTACCTTAGCTTTTGCCTGTCTTGGTTTTCTGTCGCCTGCGAATCGAGGTGCACTAATGACTTGTGCATTAGTTGTTTGGGTCCTACTGGGAGCAGCGGCTGGTTATGTCAGTGCTCGAATTTACAAGAGCTTCGGTGGTCGACGATGGAAAAGTAACATTTTGCTTACCTCTATGTTGTGTCCTGGGTAAGCTAAACATTGCAGAATCTTAATTGACATTATACATTTTTCTTATTTCTAGAAGTAGATGACAAGTTTTATAGACTTTTTTATATAAAAAAATAACAAAACCTTGTTATAGATAAATAGCTGTTAAATGTGTTTGTTTTGTAGTAATTAATATTTAGTAGTTTTATAGTAATTTATTATTTAACATGTTTTTAATCCATTCAAAACAACAGGGTGGTCTTCTCGATATTTTTCATCCTAAATCTGGTTCTGTGGGGCAAAGGATCATCCGCAGCAATTCCCTTCTCAACACTTGTGGCTCTGCTGGCACTTTGGTTTGGAGTCTCTGTGCCACTCACATTTATTGGCGCTTACTTTGGCTTCCGAAAAAGGGTGGGTATAAATATTGATGCCTGCACATAAATCTTTGCCATAGGTGTTAATCATGTTTATAAAGAACAAAAGTATCTGTAGATGCTTTATTTCGAATCGAAATGGTTTCTCATTTATCAACAGTTACATATTTGATGATGTCTTTGTCTGTTTTCTAGTACATCAAAAGACATGACTTTTAAGAGAAATAATTCTTACAACTGTAATTTGATATCCAAATATGAATTGTGTGTACTGTTTAAAAAATTCCAGAATTTTATATTGCACTTCTAGTTACACCAACTTTGTTTATTGGCGCAACTATAGTTAAAATATGTAGTTTATATATGTAAATAAAAAATTGATCATTTTCAGATTCTTGATCACCCAGTTCGAACAAACCAAATCCCTCGCCAAATTCCAGAGCAGTCTTTGTACACCCAACCTGTGCCTGGTATCATTATGGGCGGGGTTCTGCCTTTCGGTTGCATCTTCATACAGCTTTTCTTTATCCTTAACTCCTTATGGTCTAGTCAGGTATGTGGCATTATATATTTTACAGTCCTATGCTAATGATAAGAACAATTTGTATTTCTTGCTTTAATAAAACATTTACATAAAACTCATTATCCTTTTGCTTTACAGATGTATTACATGTTCGGCTTTCTTTTCCTCGTGTTTATGATTCTCGTGATAACATGCTCGGAGACGACCATCCTCCTCTGCTACTTCCATCTTTGCGCTGAAGACTATCACTGGTGGTGGAGAGCGTTCCTCAGTTCCGGATCAACTGCCGGCTACCTATTTATCTACTGTTGCCATTACTTCGTCACCAAGCTAAATATTGAAGACGCCGTCTCGACGTTCCTATACTTTGGATATACGATGATCATGGTCTTTTTATTCTTTTTACTAACTGGCACAATCGGCTTTATGGCCTGCTTCTGGTTTGTCCGGAAAATATATAGCGTCGTTAAGGTAGATTAAGTCTTGAATGGATGTGGTTGTAGTAGGATTTATATTTATAATTTTAACGAGGTTTTAACATCTAATCATCGCTAATGCGGTCACCTACCATACCACTAATTCTTGATCAGAATAGTCAAGCAATTATCAGGCAGTTTTGCTGGCAATTTTGTTAGAGACAGGGACTTATCCTAAATCAATTATAGCGTTAGAGATTTTTTTGTAGAAGCGACAGCATGTTTATGATAATCTTGGTCCCCGATAATATCTAAATCTACCAATATGAAATTAATTAAATAAAAATGAATTCGGTTTACATGGTAACAAAATTTGCATAATCTTATTAAAAATACTATTTGAACAGTTGCTTCAAAGGTATAGTGAAGAGTCCACGTCAATGCTAGCTGCCGCATAGTTGGCGTTAGTTTAAACTAGAGTATCTTAGTCATTATAATTTATTTACTAAAAAAGTATTTTATTCATTCAATAATTGTGATGTTTTCTTGTAATGTCAATTTAATCCATTTAAGATGTTTTTATTTTATAGCATATAATAAGGCCGCTAGAGGCAGAGTGGCCTAATAAAATATATGATTTTCAATAAGGAGAAAAATAAAAATGCGCAATTAACTTAGGCGCAAATGAATTTGTCCTATTATTTGTGTAAGAATTATGCTCTTGTAGATTAAGAAGTTTAGACTATAAAAGTATAAATAAGTCAAGTCATAAAATTGCATTTAGGCTACTCTGCCTCTAGTGGTCTCATATATGCTCTTTTCAAGAATATGGCTTAAGAATTGTACCTATTTCAGACGAAGTATCATTTTACTTAGATACAATCCATCGTTAGTCCCAATTTAGACCCTGAAAATTAATTTGGGTAAAATATATTTATCACAATCTGGTTTTGCTTATTAAATCTCCATTATTAACAAACTTTATAGATTTTTTTTCTTATTGTACAACTGAAGAGGTTTGCACAACGCCACCAATCGTTTTAATGTTATTAGTTAAGATAGTACTTAAGGATTGGTCTATAGATCCAAGTGTTAGTGTAATAAACCCAAACCATTTAATTATATACAAATTATTTACATTTTAAAATTATCCTATATATATTGGGAATTGAATTTGATTTGAAAATGGCGCGATGTATTAGTTTTCGTTCATAGAAGGGGCATTATAATTAACGTTTGATTAACGCCAATAATTTGCAATATTTTCCATTTCATTAGTATACTTTAGTCTTTTGGCGTTGCATTTAGTTCGTTCGTAGTTCCACCATACCTATTTGTAAAGTTTATTTTACCCATATTGTGTGTATATTTTAAGATTGTTTGAAAGCTTATTATATATTGGCAAACTGTATAAACAATAAAATAATTATTTTATACATTATATTTTTTTTTTACAAGGAGAAATATATGAATAACTAGGTAAGATGGCAAAAAAGTAAATTCCAATTTATATCTTCACTAAATGCAAGCAACTGATAAAACAATTCTGAAATAATCTTCGAAGTTACGAATGTCCATGCATGATTATGTTAATCACTGTCGCTACTCTCGGAGAGCTCAGCTCGATCCTTTGGCAGAGCCGCCCTTTTTTTGGTAAGTTTCTGTTTTCTATCAATCTTTGTCTTTCGAAATATTTCAATAGCCTTTAGTTTATTTTCCAGAAGACTTTTTTTAACTCTCTCTCTTTGAGGAATTAGTTCCTGGCAAGTGTCGCTTTTAGGCACAATAAAATTGAAATCAGACCTGTCTTCTGTAGTTGAAACCTTAACAACTTGTTTAATATCTTTAACTTCGCCAGTCACCTTCCTCTTTCGTCCAGTTTTTTGTTTAGCGTTATTGTCAACCTTCTCTTGGTTTGTATCATTCGGACTATTAGGATCCAATTTCTTGACAGCTGCTTTTACTCTTTTGCTCATTTGATCGTCTAACGATTCGGAATTTGATTTCCGCTTGAAATAATCATGGACAGTTTTTTGTTGTTTTCTGTCTAGCATTCGTTTTAAAACCGGTTTAATTATTTCATCCAATTTGTTTTGCGACCAGCCAAATTTATCTTTTGTATAATCTCTTAATACGGTTATATCTATTTGGCCCCATGTAAATTTGTCTTTGTTTTTTTCGATATTGGGCTCTAGATATGCTTGTACAACCTTGAAAAGAAGTTATGTTATTAATGTAAAATCCTAAAAAACGAACATTTAATCAAGTCCATAAAAACTTACTCTCACACTCGGAAAATCCTCAGTAAGTTGAACATTTTTGAGTTTTTTCTTTAAAGTTACATTGTCCGTCCTTCGTCCAGTCCTTACCCATTGTTTGAATTCTTGGAGGCCAGACAATATTAGCTTGTATTGATCTTGTTTCGATATTTCGCTAAATAACTTTTTTTTATTAAAAGGAAATGAAGCAAGTATTTCTAGTGCTGTCACTGGACCCACACCAGACACGCCCGTTGTATAATCACTGCCTACCAGTAAAGCCAATAGTATTAATTGTTCCCTAGTAAGATCTGAAATAAAGTATCTATCATTTAGAATAATAACCATCACCCATTTATAGTTACAACGACATATAACTTACTGTAAGATTTCTCTATTCTTTCGCTTACAAACTGAAGTACATGTTTTTTGTGGTTGAAAAAATTTTTATAAACTGTTTTACCGCCAAATAGCCATATATCGCTATCATCGGTAATGGTGCCATCTGTTAAGTTCACATCTTCTAAGAATGCACACTGCGCCTCCGCCTCCATGGGGGCAACAATATATGGTATGCCGAATACACGAAGAAGCTCTTGCGCATCTTTCGTCATTTGTTCTGATATGTTTCTACCAATACGATCAAGGCGGCCCTTTTCTTGTATTAACTGTTGTTGCTCACTTTCTATTGTTACTTCCATAGATTTCAATTTCTCTTTTGTGTTTGCATCTACCTGGCTACCATTTTTGTCAGCTGTTTTAAGTTCATCAGTTTCTGTATGTGCTTTTAATTCTGCATTGCCGTTATTTTCTTTTGATAGACTTTTCGTTTTACTCTGTAACATTGTTGAATTAGGTTTTTCTACGGTCTGTCTCTCAATTTCAATGTTTTCCTTGGAAATTGCTTTAGGTACACTTTGATTCTTTGTCGGATTAGTATCGATAATGTTTCCGCTTTCATTATTTTTATTTTCCGATAATTTAACTTCCTCTTTAGGCTTATTAAAAACGTCAGCAAAAATATCATCTTCAATATTTTTGTCCTCTAATTTAAGCATTACTTGAATTGTAGGTTTGCTTGACTTATTTTCTGTTTCAGAAACCTCTTCGAACTCGTCTTCACTATTCGAACTAGTACTATTATTTAAAGAACTATTAATATTCGATACATCCTGTATTGTATCTAAATCATAGATATTGTTTTCTCCTTTGCCCAAATAAATTAAAGATGAGTCATTTTCATTTGAATTCAGATTTATTTCATCGGCTTTTACATCGTCAACTTTTGTTTTCCGATAAGGAATTTTCGATGTACTACTTTGGCCAGGACTATTCTCAAACTCTACCTCATGATAAGTTTCTATTTCATCATCTATATCGACTCGATCATCTATAATTGAGTTTTCATTATTTAGTTCAGCTATAATATCATCTACATTATGCTCTCTTACTTTGTTTTTATCTGACATTCTTGAAGATACAATGTTGTCAATTACTTTATGGGTAAAATCACTGTACTGCATGATGTATGCTTTAGCTGATGACATAGCCGGAGGTAAAAAATCATCTTGTTCATCATCTAAACAATCTGAGTCAGAATCTGTCATCAATGTAGACCAAGACTCATCTGCTTTTGAAGTTGTTGCGCTACTGCTCCCTCCAGCTTCATCTACACATTCTAGTGACATTTTAATCGCTCTTTGTAAATCATCTTCGAGTTCATCGAACCTTTTTTCTTCAGTAGTATCGACTACATCTGCGGGTTTTTGTTCCATTTCAAGACCTAATTGTTTGGTTTTTCTTTGTTCTTCTTCTTCTTTCAACTTCTTTGCATCCGACAGTGCCTGTTTTACATTGTTTATTAACAAAAAACGTGTCGTTTGATCAGATGCAATACGACGAGTTGGTAAATCCTCAATTTTTGTATCAATACCTTCTTCATTAAGTAATGACTCTAATTCATTCAAGGACATACCAACATCCCCAATTTCTTTCTCTGTTTCTTCAATACATTCTTGTACTTTTCTCCTCTTTAATAATCTTTGCATCTAGGGACAATGAACATTAAACATGTTAAGTCTATTATATTATCATTTTGACAGCTCAAAATACTATTCGAATTTTGAGCTGTCAATTACAATGGCCAAACAGCTTAAACACCCAAGTACATTTGCAAGATGGGGGCGACAGCCTGACCCAATTTATTAGGAAGAAAATTATAAGAAAAGACTAACTTACTTGAAAATCAGAAAAACTATCACTCTTTTTTGGTAAAGTGTGCAACTTTCCCCAAGAATTCATTTTTCTTGTTTCTTTTAATTCAAGTAAAAGTTCATACTTTTCTTTTGATGGCATTGTTTTAAATTCTTTTGATTCTAAGTCAACTGTGTGCAAGTCAACAGTAGATGCACTTGAGCTTTCTTCATCTTCAGATCTGACAATTAATAAATATCAATGTGGCTTATATTTGAAATATTAAGAAAAATTTGAAGCTAACTACAAACAAGCAAAACAAAATATCTATTATTTGCATTCTAAAGTACATACTCAGAAACACTCTGATCCTCTTGTGCAGGCAGTTCGGGCAATTTAAATATATCTTCATCATTCTGATTTAAATTTAATTTTTTCGGTGATATCTCTTTTCCTAATAATGCACCGACAGCTGCCTTTTTGCCAATTAACAATGCAAGCTCTCTTTTGAGGCGCTCTGATTCTGAGTTTTGTTTATTCTTATTGTCTTGCCTTTTAGCCTAGAAAATGTTCACTTGAGAAATGTATAAATTAAACTACAGTTTATTTGCATTGTACTTTATTAACAGCTTGTTACTTACAATAGTTTGCCTTTTCAAATCAGGAACTCCACCATCAAAGACAAAAATTGGTTTAATTCTAAAATATAACAATTTACATAAACGTTGGAACAATCCCATAAGATGTGCATTTGGTAGTGGCGCCCCTTTTGCATCTTGATATCCCTTGACCACTTGATGTAACCATATAGAAATATCTGCAAAATAAATATTGGAAAGGTTAATTTTGTTACAAACTACGTGGTATATAGTTTATAGAAAAATTCAATATGTACTTACCGACGGCTAAAACTTTATTTTCCAAAGTTTCCACTGGCACTGGTTTCCCTGCTGGTTCAATAAGCCGCCACAGACCAGTAACTCCCATGACGCAATATTATGTTTGAATTCAAATACACAGATCAGTGAATAAACTAAGTTTGATTCCCACGAAATCTTTGGTCTAACGTCGGTGTCTTCCTCACACAGCGCTACCTTTTCGCTTCATGAACTCTTTATGTATATTTTATAACACACACAATAACAAACCGATCTCGGTTGCTACTGGAGCATTCGTAAGTGTTCAGTTCACTACATACAATATCAAATGTTTTACTACGTCGTTGCGACGCCCACTCTTTCCCACACTTTATTTTCTCACGCCCCGTGCGTAACCCCACATCCTATGACCGCCTGTCTGTCAGTCGGCACGCCAAAGCCGACGAATCTCGTAGACTCGAGTTTATTTGAGCGCGCGTGCTATCGACAACACACTCACATCCCTTTGGCTATTTCGTAAATTGTGCTGTGTCTATGCCATTGCTTGACAGTTTGCGTTACTAACGTTGTCGAATGTCGCTATTGCTTGTCTTGGATAAACAACGTTTTGCAAACATTTTACAACTTTATCGCTGATGAACAATAAACAAATACCTATGCTAATAATAAAAAAGCTAAAAAAATATTAGGTGAACACTACGAAATTCTTCATACAACGGATCTGAAAATTCCTCTCGGAAACAGGTGTTTTTGATAGAAAAGTGTGTTGCTGTTCCCATCGTAATTATTTATTTACAGTGTAGTGAATAACATAAAAGTGTATCGATCGAGAGTCTCCTTGGATTATTCGACTATAAGAAGTGATAAAACTCAACGGAAAAGTGTTTTGTGAGGATTTATTAGTCGTCGTCGTTGAACGGTATGAAGTATTGCTGCAGAAAAGTGTTTATTCACAGGTGATAATGTTATATAGGGGTTCTTGGTTGTGAAGAGTAATGAGGTATCGATTGAGGTGAGACTGAGCCGTGGCTAGCATGCCACACCAGTACGGCGCGGGCGCTGGTGGGCTAGGCGCGGGCCCCCCATCTCCGCCGCCGCAGCCGGGTGCTCTGTACCCCCGCTATGCGGCAGCTGCGGGCCCCGGCGCCGGCGCCTACCGCCCCGAAGAACGACGTCTCACCAGAGAAGCCATGGAGCGATACCTTCGCGATCGTTCCGATATGGTTGTGGTCATTCTACATGCAAAAGGTCGCACAAAAGTCTTATGGTAACGAGAAGAGGTTTTTTTGCCCTCCACCCTGTATCTATCTGTTCGGAGATGGCTGGAGACTGAGGCGAGAGAGAATGCTTCGAGAAGGTGAGACAGAACAAGCCTCACAGCTATGTGCATTCATAGGAATTGGAAATTCCGATCAGGACATGCAGCAGCTAGATCTTAATAATGGCAAACAATACTGTGCCGCTAAAACCTTGTACATATCAGACTCAGATAAAAGGAAGCATTTTATGTTATCTGTAAAAATGTTTTATGGTAATGGCCATGACATTGGTATCTTTAATAGTAAGAGGATAAAAGTAATATCTAAGCCATCGAAGAAAAAGCAGTCACTGAAAAATGCTGATTTGTGTATAGCTAGTGGAACTAAAGTTGCTTTATTCAATAGACTGAGGTCACAAACTGTATCAACTAGATATCTCCATGTTGAGAATGGTAATTTCCATGCATCGTCAACACAATGGGGTGCTTTTACAATTCACCTATTGGATGACAATGAGAGTGAATCGGAGGAGTTTGCCGTCAGAGATGGATACGTCCACTATGGCTCTACAGTAAAACTTGTGTGCTCAGTCACAGGCATGGCGCTGCCTAGGCTCATTATTAGAAAGGTATTTTATTTTATTAAAATATTAATTACTTTACCTAATGATAATGTGGATAAATAGTATTATTGGAAAAATGTTATGTAAAAGTGTTTTATTTATGGAATATATTTAAAACAATATGTTAATCTTGTCATAGGTAGATAAACAGATGGCTTTGCTGGAGGCCGATGACCCTGTCTCTCAACTTCACAAATGTGCGTTCTACATGAAGGACACAGAGCGCATGTACTTATGTCTCTCCCAAGAAAGGATCATACAATTTCAAGCTACTCCTTGCCCCAAAGAGCCTAACAAAGAAATGATTAATGATGGAGCATGTTGGACTATCATATCTACAGATAAGGCAGAATATCAGTTCTATGAGGGAATGGGTCCAGTGAGGTAAGTTTCTATATGCCACTCTACTACTTTATTACAGCGTTTACTTATTTACAGCTCAAATAAGCCCACTGTATATCTTGTCTTAGCAATTGGAATAACAAAAATATATCTTATTTAGAACACACTCCTGTTCTTAATATAGTATTACTAATAGTAATATTACATACAAAATGTAAAATCACAACTACTGTACTATTGGATTTATATTAAGTATTTTAAAATTTTATTTCTATTCTACAAACAAAAATATAATATAGTATATCAAGCAAGTATATCACAAAATATTATAAATCTACATATCTATGTTGGTCCACTGTCTATAGCCCTTTCGGCCCTGGCGTGAAACACTTATAAAATAATATGAGGGTCGCGATAAATTTAAAAAAAATAATTGTCAGCTTGGTTACAATTAGCAACACGAGAATTTTATGTTATATTAGAAATATATAACATAATATACCGGAAGACGTTATCAATAAAATTATAACCGGTAACCACATCCAGTATTCGATTCACCATTTTATCATAGACAATATATTAATGACGCTCGACTGTTTCTACCGGGTCATATTATATAGTTAAAACATATTTTAAGGCTGAATAGTTGATAGTAGATTTTTAAATAAGACATTGAAATATTAAAATAAAATTAATTATTTAATTAATGTCAAACCTTTATCATTTGACTACATCTGAACCCTAAAAAAAATGTTTGATAAACCAATGCTTCTAGGAAATTATCAACAAAAAAAATATTACATGTTAATACAAATCCCAAGCAAAACCAAGGGCTGCCTATGTATTGTATTTGATGTAAATTATTAAACTGTACATTTTGATTAATTTATATTTTCAATCGAAAATTTTGAGCAAACATGTTTGTCATGATAAAAGTTTGTCTACAATACGTTTGTTCATTATCGACCCTAGTGTTGGTAAATACGAGTAATGACGCCTAATGATATGGACAGAGGGGCACTTTTGACTCCCACGACAATAGAACGCAGCTCAATTCACTCACACTCGACTAGTTTACGGTGGCCCATAGTGAACTAATAAGATTATTATTGACTAGCTCTGCCAGCGACTTCGTCCGCGAGAATCGTTATTTTGGGCACCTAAATGTTTTTGCAAACCCCTTAAAGCTTGAGTTTATATATATAGTGTCGCGACCTTTTTTTGTAGTTAATTTATAGAGGAATCATTATTTTCTACACATTTTTTAGGTATCTTGAACCGTTTTCACAGAGTACGCATCTGAAACCCACAGAGATCCCGTAGTTCCTGAGAGTAGCGCGTTCAAACAAACAAATTCTTCAGCTTTATGTTAGTATAGATATCTGAGAAGTCTTTTTTAAATATACGACGTTGTACGACAGGCTGATTGGTCTTATGAAATGGCGAATGATCAACGGGTTTTGAGTTCCACCATGTTTCTAATTTTGCAATTTATATTTTTTCTGAAATATGATGAACATCTTGTATGCATTGTCGATTTATTTTTGGCTTTGGTTTATTCGCAATTGGTATTTGCCAATATTATAATTAACTTCAATGTTCATTCATTCAATTACATTTGATTCATTTATAAGGTTATCTTAGGGCGTTATTAAAAACTGTTATGACTCTGTTGGGAGTCCGAATCTCGAAGAAACTCGTAAACGTCGTAAACGGACAACCCATCCACCAATCAATTGATGTTTTTAGCCATCCATTGCCGATGTATAACTGCTTATATGCTATTAGGTAACAGTTTTGTTGTTAGACTAAGTACATAGTTTAAGCAGTCTTGTAAAATTATGGGATCAACGCATTTATTTCCTAACTCTTGTGCGTGTGTATGAAATTGAAGTTTATTTCAACTATTATTTTTATCTCCACCCGTCAAACAGATTCTTTGCTCTATTGTGACTGAACTAATACGCCAGGCAGTTTAGTTAATTGTTACACAGAAGATTTACAATTTCATGGGATTTTTTATTCTTAACTAGTCTAGACGACATAATAATAACAGCGCTAATAGCAAACAATTTTTCATTAATATAAATACATATATAGATATAATAAAATATTAAATCGGCTTAGTATTTTAAGCGCTATTAAACATACCTACTTACATACACAGACTGACAATATAATTTTATTTGCTTTTCTCTAAATGCGATAGTAATAGAAAATATATATGGTTTTATCGACTGGTTTCAGCGTAAATGTTAGCTACTTACAGAGTACCTCTAAATTAAAACACATCTAGCAAATAAGCAGTTTAGTCAAGAACGAGGGTTCATAGTTACTTTGTTACGAGGAAACTATATGTTCTAATTACTTTTTACCGCTGTTTGTTTGCTCTGTAATCTGAATGGTGAAATTCTGCAATTATGTTCTTGTGAGAAGTTGTAATCAATAACAAACAACTGACAATATCAATCAATTGCAATATATAGCTGGCAAAAGTTCTTTTGCATATCAAGTACTTCGATCAAAAGTCGATTACGATGAAGCCTGTTGTGAGTTAATCTATACTTACTATATAAAGCTAAAGAGGTTGTTTGTTTGTTTGAACGCGCTAATCTCAGGAACTACTAGTTACAATTGAAAAAATATTTTTGTGTTGGTTTGTCGAGAAAGGCTATAGACTATAAAACATTGCCCTGTGACTAATACAAGCGAAGATACAGCGGGAAATGTGAAAACAATTGGAAAAATATTTCATCATTATAAGTTACCGAGGCGTACGCTGCAAAAACTATTCCATATATACAAAAATATGTATAAAAGAATGATTCCTATTTAAATTATCTCAAGTCCGCGACAGTATATGTCTATCTTGTAAGATTTACTTGCAAAAATGACGGAAAAGGACGCGACCGACGTCGTCGTGAGTAACAGCTAAGTTTATAGAAATAAAGGGATTTGCGAATATATACTGTCGCAGATATATATATTTTGGGTATCTTTATTAATATAGATTTAAACTAAAGGACAAGCAATACATTTCAGGTTTTTTAATTTGTTATGTTACCATTTCAAAATCGATTCATTTTTTTACGATTGGGTAAATAATTTTTCTATTAATTTAAATATATAGTAAAGAGCGTTTCTAAGAAAAATCCTGCACTGCTTGAGGAAATTTTTCTCTGTACATTAAACTTTGATTAGATCTGTAGTGCATTTTTTTAGTAAGTCATATGCGCATTATCAGTTTAAAACAGAATCCCAACTTTTATAATGTACGAACTACTCCCCTGAAACTCTATTTTATTTACTATCTCACGCACACTGTCTGTTGTTTACGCGTAGTACAGTAGTAGTACACATTTACATAAATGTCTCTCCGTGACACCCGAGATCACGGCTGCTGCAAAGCATCCGAAACGTCGGGCCGTAGTATTAATAATCTTCAAATTAAATTTAATTAATATTTGTCGCGTTTTAAACCGTTAAAGTGATTACATCACTAACACTTCAATAAAAATTTTGAATATCATAGTATCATTTTTGTCTTAGATCACCGGTTACCCCCGTCCCGTTAGTCCATTCGTTAAACCTAAACGGTGGTGGTGATGTAGCAATGTTGGAACTAGCTGGGGACAACTTTACACCCTCCCTGCAAGTCTGGTTTGGTGATGTGGAAGCGGAGACGATGTACCGCTGCGCCGAATCGATGCTGTGTGTTGTACCAGATATTTCGCAATTCAGAGGACAGTGGCTCTGGGTTCGACAACCGACACAGGTAAGACAGACCTACGTTAATTTAAGTGTTAATTAAACTTGGCGATAAAGGGAGTGGCGGCGACTTTCTTGCCAGTTTTTCTCGTTCATTTTACGCCCTTGATTTGAGAACTGGTAGTAAATGTAAATATAGTCTTCAGTTATTAACTGGTGTGACGTTCATAAGTGTACCTTGTTACCTACGTGAATCTATGATTTTTGACTTCGACTAAAATATAACGCTGTACACTATTCAGGAAAATATAAATATAATAGGAAAATAAATATTAAATTATAATGTGTATATAACTAAATCTTAGAAGTAGGTACGCGAAAGCACCAGAAGACTTCTGTGCTTTAGCAACAACTTTGACGTTGTTTTAAATTTAGTGTTTTAAGCCTGTTTGAATACTATTATTATATTTACATATTCTATATATCAAAATAGATTTTTAGTTATGCATTATTTTTCAATTGTTAAATAAGGCTACCGCATATAACGATCCGGTTACGATTTTAGATCTATTACCTTATCATACCTATACCCAGCAGTATTTTATTCGTTAATTTCAAATCGAATCTCTTTCTCCAGGTGCCAGTGTCCTTAGTAAGAAACGATGGCATAATTTACGCCACTGGCCTGACTTTCACTTATACCCCGGAGCCAGGACCTCGTCCGATCTGTCCGCCTGTCGATGACGTCATGCGGCCAGAACCGGCCTGGCACCACGACGCGCACAACACCCACAGACTGCCCGATAACAGCCTGCAATAGCCAACAGACTGCAGGTTGGGAACTGTCAACCTGCAGTGATGCCTTCTGTGTCCAAAGAGTTTGTCGGGTGCGTCGGTGAGTGATCTGTAGCTTAGTGCCTCAATGCATACGTAGACATCTATGTACAGTGCTCTCCAAACTTTTGGCCGGGCTGAAGTTAGCGCAGATGGTTGCGCAGTTGCTTAAAATTGACAGTAACATGCGCAAGATGGCCGTCAGCCCGGCCAAAAGGTTTGGAGAGAACAGTAGTATGTTACGTGTTTAATATGTTGGTAACTACCTAATGTGGTATATCCGTTGCGAAGGAATCGTGAGCTAGGAACTTGAGAAATATTTGTGAACCATTACGATTTTTGAGTCTTTTTTTTATTTCTAGAATCTTTTTTTTCGATCTTGCGAGATCTACATTCGGTAAATCTTGTCTTTCGAATCTTGTAAACTCATCTTAGTATTTCATATAAATGAATCTGTTTGAAATAGTTTTTATGCCAAATATTGTAAAACTTTTTGTCTTCGTGCCTGTTTCTAGAAGACGTTAATGTATCCAAATATTTTTATTACAATTAACTATTACTAGTCTGGGTACAAAGCAAAGTTTTGATTTGTAATATTGCTTTTTAAATGTGGTTTAATAACTCGAAAACAATTAATCTAAAGATCCTAAATTTTTCAACGCAACATAAATCTTAGATCAAAATGAGATCGTAAATTTTTTATTAAGAATATAATTGCTTCAGATGTTAATGTATTAATTATAATTCATTAACGGAAACCATGGGAATGTTTAAAACAATGCGGATTTGAGTTGGGCAAACGATTGTATTTTATGAAAATGGTTTAATAAAATTATACGAATTTAATTTTAATTTTTAGTATTGTAGGTAACTAAGTTACTATATAATTAACGGAGACTCAATTTTAAATTTAGCACTTTATGTCGACTCTCATAATGCTTCAAACCTATTTTATTCGACTATATAGGTATTTCAAACGAAACCTCGTGAATTTAATCATTTTTTTACAATTTCAAAAATACGTCAACACGATGAATCGAAATAAGCCTTTTAGGGCTTGAGATTATAAACCAAAACGCTTTTAAAATAAGTTCTTAGTAATTACATAAATAAGGTTCTAGATTGTCGTCAATTTCCTATAGAGTTTTATACGTATCTTATAGTTGAACCGTTCGGGTTGTGCATTTAGGTAATTTGATTATCGTTATTGATGGCGATTGACATCGGTCACTATGCGTAATATTTAATGGTAATTTTCCAGTATCCCAAGTATTAGTTTCACAATTGACGAAAGCTTTTGGAAGTACTGTGGTCATAATTTAATTTTGATTACTAGCTTACGTTACCGAAAGACTACTACGAAAGAAAAGAAGCCTTCACGAATTTAATGTACCTATAATATCATTTTTTAACTAGTGGATTATGCTACTTACTAGTTGAAACATGCGTCTTTTAACATATACCTCTTCCATATACTCTAAAAACTTGTAATTAAAAATGAAATTTATGAAATACGATTACTTCTAGGGTTTTCGTTAATTATGAAACTTCTACTAAAGTGGAAATATTTTAATTCTCCATTTCACAACGCACATTATATCTACGCGATATCTTCGTGATAAAGATGACCAAAACACATTTACCGTGTAGATAAAGTTAGGCAGTAGTAGCTTCTGTTTGGAAATTGAAAAGCAAGCTTCCATACAAATGACAACTGACCAACAGTTTGTATGTGGTTATTTCAATATAGTTTATTAGTTGGAACATCTTACAAATCTTTTATGTAGCTACTGTTGAGATGATCGACACGACATGAAACAAAGTATATTTCTGTTAAAACCGTCTGTAATATTAATAAACGCTTTTAACAGTTTTAAACAAGAAATATTGGTAAATTCATTTAAACTACGATATGACGTATCGGATGTTTTACAGCAGCCGTGGTCACAGGGTTTCGAATTTCGAAAGAAATTTTTATTTAAACGCGTACAAGTCGCATGAACCATAGACAATGTGGTTTTAATTATGTTAATAGAAACTACCGTATACAGGAGCCTAAAATATATTGGCTGTTTTAAATAATTGTCTACTAACTTCAGTGCAAACCATGTAACCGTCTCTATAAATCCGATCTTTCACGCTCTGCACGATTTTATTAAAAGTCAACTCTAGTTCGTAAAGCCAACAGTTGATTTCAACACATAAATAAAACCGTTGCATTTGAACCACAGATTTAAATATTTTTTGTATATTGTGTACACCATGTGTGACTTCTTGCTTGCTAACAGTGTAAATAAGTCAGTTTTTAAGATCCACGTCGAAGGTCATCTTAATTATTAATTGTATTCTCTTAAGTTAGAACCGCTACATCATGTAAACACTATGTTTCTGTATATTTTCCGATGAGTAAAGAACAACGTAGCTTTAAGCTAGTATGTATTGAATCGTACATTATTTTAGGGCGGACGAAAATATTTATTGTAAACTACGAAATTTTACTAAATTTGCTAATACGATTTGTATTTATATAATATAAGAGTGTGATTTTGAACATTCCAAGTGGAAAGTTTTATAAGAAGTACAAAATATATCAATATTTTTGTAGAAAGACGTTTAATATTTTATTTGGAATACACATTATGACACATCGTTTGTTAGATCCGTCGAAGTATTATTGATTTACAGAAAAGGATTTTACCTCCCGGTAAACATTCAAGTCATGGTCCAGAAATTGTGTTTACATTTTGAAATACGAATATTTTAATAAAACTCAATTTGAACATTTTGTTTTTCATTTTGAATTCTTCAGAAACGATTTCTCTGATCTATTTGAGATAAGTAAATATAATCAATATATACATATGACAAAAAGGCTAGACGATCATGGGCTTACTTGATAGAAGATAAAATACCAGCCATATAACATTAAAACAAGATTTGAGGAGTGATTATGGCTTTTTAAACAGACTGAATCCAAAACGCGATTTCACCTCACTCTATTCTAGGTTCTATATTCGTACCCATAAATAAATTTATAACTAATTCGCTACCCAGCGAGCATTCCCACAGGTGTAAAAAGCAGCATAATCAAACAAAATATTAATGTAACGAGGGTCAAGAGATCGTAATTAGTCAATTATGAATCAAAGTTAATGAAGGAATCAGTGCTGTGGGAACGTCTTGGAAAACTCTTCACATGTTAGTCTACCCTACATTGCGTTCCGCACTGCTGGCGTCGACCTCAGATGATTATCACAACTTTATAGCGACCAGCTATTGTCTCAGATCGAGAATTAAATACAGATTTGTTATGCGCTGGTTCTGCAAATTTTCAAAGATCTTAAGGAGCTTTGTAAACATTTGATTGCCATTTCGATCTATGGCAAAAAATGTCCCGCAGCGATCATATAAAGGAGTAACACTTTTTGGTAATCATTAAACAAGTATGTTATTTAATAAATAATAGTGTCAAATATCTTTAGTTTAAATAATGTATTTTTATTTTCACCGAATTCCTCCGACGAATGATAAAAAGTGTTTAATGGTGAAAACTTTTTTGTTGTGTAAAAGCTGATCCGGCAAATGATGTTTGCAAGATTAATTAACTGTAACAAATAATTGGTAATCATGCATTAAATTTGATTACCACAAAAACGGTTCTCGAGAGTTCTGAACATTTGCTGTCGCGGACATTTTTTAAGATCATTTAAAGAGGGTTCTTACATACATTTTTTTTTACTATTTTTTCACTCCTATCGCAGCGTGATGTTTTATACTCTTAAGATTTCCTCGATCCACAATATGTTCTAACCAAAGCAAAAATATTTTTTTCAATTCGAACAAGTTCCTAAAATTACTAAACTCTCCAGCTTTATAACATCAGTTAGATAGTAACACATGTAATAATAATAGATACGGAATAGATTATCCTACTAGAAATAGGTCGCTCCATTTCATGCGATCAGTGACGTTTCCTTGACGACATAAATAGACGTCAAACAATTACATCTTATGGTTCTATTAAACGCAACTTAGTGCTTAGCAAAAAAGACAATGAGCGCCTTGATTTTATTATGAATGAAAATAGCTTTTCCACATCCTGGTTCATTCATTGATAATTGCTAAGAGCGTAAAAACCATTTGAGGTATTTTCATAAATATTTTCAACCTCTTGCTGTCCCATTGCTGGGTATAGTTGTCCTCTGTAATAGAGAAATAGCTTTTACCCACCATGGCCGTCAAATTAGAGATGATGACCCTAACGGCTTTCCTACTTTCCGATGATACGATAGCCGGAAATTTTCTTATAAAACACTGAATAAATATTTCACCTGACCCGGATTCAAACCTAAAACCCTTATAGGCACTTAAGTGTAACCACTTTATTTATAAATTAAAAATCGATTTTAGATTGAAACTATTTTACGACACGGGTAGGACTTGGATGGAGCTACCGTGTCCTACACGTCATCGTCGGTTTTTTCAATCTATTGATACAAGCATCTATGCACAATGAAATTTCAACCTTAAATCTTTCAAAGTAAGATTCAATGACCAATGCTTCATGTCATACTTTTCAATGTAAAACGGATTTTGAATTTATATAAATAATGCCAATGCAAGAACATTTGAATAATATTAAAGTATTTAAACAATTAATTTTCTGTATTTTGCTTTGGCAATAAATAAACAAAATCGTTAATTGTATTATCACCAGTTTCGAAGATGATCAGAATCCGAACAATTGGGGTTGAGCTCGAACCACACCACCAAGCTTAAATCAACAGATTTACTCAAGCTATATATAAATATTATGTTCGTATTTATGAAAATGCCTTAAAAACCTATTATGCTAAACACAAAAAATAACTATAAAAATAATAAAAGCGTTTTCCCACGCGTTTGAATTTTGAACCAATAATAGTATCTCGAAACTTCTGCACTTAGACTTTTTGTTACTTAAACCAGTGGTTTTATCGTCAATTG